GTATGTACTTAGCTGCTGAGACGCCCAGTCGCGTTTCGAGAGACAACTTCAATTTCGCACTCCGACAGCAGAAACTAGTTAATTAACTTTATCAGTCTAGACTCTGCGACGACGAGAATGACGCAGTATATAACACGATTATGAGGAAGGTATAAGAAGAAACCAATCGTAAGTATGTTTAGCTATGGAATGGGTTGCGAATCCCATGGCGACGGTATGTACCTAACTGACCGCATCTCAGTTGAACGCTCTTCCCCACTCGAGTGCGGCTCCGAGCCTTCTCTTAGCGCCAGTCAATTTTGAAAGGTGGGAAATGTTCAGTTGAAAATTTCCAGCATTTTTAACTTCAGATAGTTGCCTAGAGGGGCATCGCGTCAAATCCAGATCTCATTTCGCTGAGTGTGGCAACGACGTGATGAGCAAAACTGCAAGCTGGACAATATTCAGCATACAACGTCCTCCTGCTCGCAGTGGGTATCTAAAATGATGCTCAAAGGTGTAGACTAAGACGAACTCTGCCACATGAATAGGAAAACGTGTATACAGGAAAAAGGATAACACCGACCAAATAACTCGATCTGAATCAGATCCGATGAATGAATTTAATCATCAACTCTGTTATAACAAGCAATCTCTAACCCAACATCTTTCTCTTTTAGTACCGTGACTTCTGGGTTTGTTTCCCCAACCCATTACGGTAGGTTCTTCATATCGTAAATGCTTGCCAAATACTGAGTACAGTTCTCAGTCTCAACCTTCTGAATCTGCTTACACCTCCACGGACTCCGCAGAACCATCCACAGAAACTAACCGTCTCTTTATCCAAGGCCAAGATCTTATCTCGCCATCCTCAAAAAGATCTCACCCGAACAATTCAAACGTCCTTCCCACAAAGCTCGAGACAATGCATGTCATCAGTCCAAATCCAAATGGATTCGTGCGTACCGCCCTCGATGCATACAACGAATATCGTGAGCTTATCCTCTGGCCGGGTGGCGGCCAGTCATATCATTGAAGATCGAAATCGTAACACAGCAGATTTTGCGCTGGTGGCGCGCCAGAAGACGGACTTTATGCGCATACGCATGGTGGATTGGATCATGCCTAGGTTTCAACAACAACCGACGCGGAACGGAATATGTATGACATGTCCATGATGGCGATGATGAACAGTATTTCCGTGATACGATAAAGATGGGCAGTGAAAAATCGTTCGGACTGATCAGCGGAATACCGCGTGTAGTGCGGCTATTCCGTTATGACATAGCAGGGATAGTATGAGAGCACTTCCTCCACCCCGTCATCTCTTGGTCGCAAAAAACCTCGACTTCTGGTCCGAAGCCGCGCACCATGGCGCTGAAGGGAGCGGGCCGACATACCTCTCAAGATGAATTACTGTGTCCTGTGTATCTACGAGCACCGCGTATGGTAGGGCCCCGAGGATATGCGAGAGGACAATAATCTACTTGAACTTAGTTGGCCATGACGTACGTGCGCAGAACGGGACACCCATTTGCTCGATTGGATGATCGCCCGTACCCGACGATCGATAACCAGTGCGCATTGTGCGGGTGTGCACACTTCGATGTGAAGCAGCACGATAATGGAAAGTTTGATCCAGAATTTATTGCGGGAGCAGTGGACTCGCAGAATTGCCCGAATTCGGGTAGGAATGGGTGTAAGGACTGCCTACTTTATCAACAGAGTGATCGGTGCCATGTTACGTTGCTCGTACTGGTACTTTCCTTGCGATACTGTTTCTCAGAGCTTCGTGGTATAGATATTATTCTAAATCCTCATGAGCAACGTCACAAGAATCATGCACGCAAGGTGATTGTACTTTCGTCCCCTTGAAAACCCTGTGCACACTGCGGCAAACACGAGGTGAATCAACTTACGTGTCCTGACAGTACTACACGATGCACGACTCGAGGCAATGTGAAACGGGATAATGAGCGCACATCCAAATGCAGGTGAACTCAAATGTACATGAGTGTGTAGCACCCCTTTGTGTCGTCTCCCTTGTCGCTTCAGTATTACGAAAACGCAAGGTAACACAACATGAGTATGAGGATGGTTTTATACATGGCTACATGGTAGCACTTTTATCCAACGTGACATCCTGTATACCGCAGCTGCACGATACAAATCGTCAGCGCTTGACCATACAGAGAAAACCACACCATTACATCACAGAATCGATTCCACTTGACGGACATGAATAGAAGTACACAGCACTTTAGGCTAAGGCTTGAATGGACCCTGCACCTCGTTAGACGCCAGAAAAAAGCACTCCTGTGTGAGGCTAGCAAATGCATTACGAGAACCACGAAACGCGTGCAACACGCGTGCGCCTTGGCTCGTGAACAGCATGTGCCTACCTGCGTGGCACAGTGTACATATACCATGACCTTACACCCCCAACGCCCATGAATTTTGAATCCATAGCCATCGATTCCCATTCCCAGCACATGAAAAGATTCGTCAATCCTGAAAGGCGTGAAGACGCACCTCCAGACCCCGCGCGGCCTCAAGCGTTCGAATCACAACAGCAGCAGCAGCAACCACAACTGCAACCGCGACAACAGCAACCGCAACCGCAACCGCAACCACGACAACAGCAACAGCAGCAACTACCACCAAGTGCGAGCCGCCCAGAAATCTGTGAAAACCGTAACTAACACAGACCGTTACCCCGCAGATATCCCGCCAAAAGATGATCCCCCACGGCCCGATGACGCCAGCAGACAGCTTGCACCGGCTGTGCCCATCCCAGAAGACCGCGAGCGCAGCCGCTCGGGGCAGCGTCAAGCTGCCGCAGAAGACAAGGGTAAACAACGTGCACCAGCAGAGCTTCTCACCGAGGACCGCACCAGGCAGCGCCTGAGCCCAGCAGATGACCGCGGAAGACAACGTGCACCAGCAGAACTCCTCCCCGAAGACCGCACCAGGCAGCGCCCGAGCCCAGTAGATGACCGCGGAAAACAACGTGTACCAGCTGAGCTCCTCCCTGAAGACCGTGACCGCACGAAACAGCGCCCACCGCCCACAGAAGACCGCAGCAGACTACGCGCCCCCGCCGAGGACCAGCAAGCCTCACAATACAACGAGCGTTCTCCCCTCTTCACGCCCCCTCAGTCGTTGTACGCAGCCGCAGGCCCGAGCCGCGGGTACGACGCATATAGTCACCGCCAGCCCTCGCCCACCCACTCAGATGACATCGTCATGGTAGACAACCGCACAGAACCCCAGCCCAAACCAGGCTTCTGGGCGCGCTTTACAGGTGCTGTAAAAGACAGGGGCGAGCCAGAACCCGTGAGCGCAGGCACGCGCGGCCGGCTCCCCCCACAGCCATCCCGCCCCAACGTCGTGCTCTTCGGCGAGCGCAAATCGGGCAAAAGCTCACTCATTAACATGCTCGTTGGCCGGGATGTATCATCTCCATCTAACCCAGACCTCGCAGCGTTCGCGAGCAGGGGTTACGCTGTCGACGTGGGCGGACGGGAGGTGGTGGTGTGGGACTCGGTGGGGCTGCAGAAGGGGGAGCATCACGATGCGCTATCCGAGGGCGCTGAGAGGAACCTGAAGGGGTTGATACAAAACATTCATGGCGGCCTCAACCTCCTTCTGTTCTGCGTCAACGCTGCGAACGTAAGCAAGGCTCTAGGAATCAATTACGACGCGTTTTATAGCATCATCGGAGGAAAGAAGGTGCCTGTAGTGCTCGTTGTGACCGGTCTGGAGAATAAGGATCCGATGGAAGGGTGGTGGAAGGAGCACGAAGCTGAATTTGAGAGGCATGGGCTGGGGTTCGATGGGCACGCCTGCATCACCACTACAAGAGGGAAACCACTCAAGGACGGTCCTGGACACTGGCATGACGAGCAATATGAGCAGTCCAAGCTGGCCGTTAAAGAGCTGATCAAGGCAAAGCTTGGTGCACCTGTCATCATTCGGGAGGAAGGGAAATTGGCGGAGTTAAGGGAACTCTTGCGAGAGCAAAATGGGATCGCGACGGGCCAAAACACAGATAAAGGAAAGAATGGGTGGAGTCTGGGAGAAACGGAGGGCACTCGAGAAGTACATAGCTATAGGGGCTACGGGAGTACGCATGACGAGCAGAGGAACGATGACAGGGCGGACAGAATAGAAAGAGAGGGAAGGACTGCCGCATTTGCATTGCTGGGTGGGTTGTTCGCCGTATTTGTTTTCCTACAATCAGGCGTCATCACTTGTTTTTGATTACGAGACCTTCGGACATGGAGCGTATTCATATCCCAAACATTGACCAGTCCGTCTATGAGGCAAACCGTCGAAATCTGGGTTTAAATTTGGATAGTGCGCGCTTTGGAGTAATCACATGACGGAAAACCCTGCTTAGATAAGTCTGCTAAGTTATTGCTACTGTGATCACGTCAAAGCACAGATCCGCGTGAACTTGTATTACAGTAATACAGCGGCATTTGCGTTTGCAAATTTCATGCACTCACCTGCAACACAACAACGCAACATTTCGAAAATCGCCTTGGGCGATGAACTTAATTATACATAAACTTCGTAGTTTCAAATTTTGAAGCACATCAGATAAGTCGTTGTTGCACGATGAATGTTCACTGAATTTGAGCCCTTATCCCCAGTGAAAATCGACAAGTTAGAGGTAGATATGTAACGATAGACATAGAAAAAAAATCAGGACATCAATTCTATCGACCCATTTCGAGGTATATCCCTAAATTGTGACTTTTCGAGACACAAAAAGATAGAGATCGAGACGAGTTTTTAACGTTTAGATAGGATTCTCGATGGCTTTAGATTTCTAGATAGGCATTTACATACGAATTATCACTCGATTTGAATCGAAAAACATATTGATATACAACTAATGCGGACAAATGAGGATATCTACAGGTATCGCTAGGGTTATGATGGTATCGCTATCATTAGGGGAGGGTGTAGGGTATCGCTGCTCACTGCACCTCGCCCGCCAATCCCGCCATCCACTACTCCACATCATTGCTGGTAGTGCTGACTCCAGCTGATTTGAGCTATAAAACAGGACTGTTAGTGTAGTATGAGATAGAATATGGCGGGCAGTGCTCACTTGAGCATCTGCTTTGCACTTGTAGACCTACAAACAGGCCACAGCAGACAGTATTAGATAGATATCAATATAAGAAAAAAAGATGCACCTCTTTGTCGGCTTTAGACAACCCATTCCAGTAAGATGCGAAGACAGATGCTGGTTCCTTTTGATGGCCGTCTGATTGCCAGTTGAGAGTGCACAAGTTCCTGTATGACATGAATTGTAGAATTAGTTTTGATTGGTCTGATTATGATAGAATACCTTACTGTGCAGTAATCTTTGCGCTCACCCGCATTGGCTTGGTGCTTGGCTGGCGCTTCTTGATGGTATCAGGCTTGGCATCGATCACGATTGTGGTCTTGGTATGATTAACAAATTCAACCTTGACAGCCAGTGAAGCTGCATGGGTGCTCGATGGTATGGAGGGAGGTGTTGTGTTGTCCGACAACACCTCGGTGATGTTAGAGTTGATCTCGGATGTAGAGGTGTCGACAAGAGGAGTAGCCTGAGTAGGGTTAGAGTTGATTTCAGATGTAGAGGCATCAACGAGAGGTGTTAAGAACCATGCTCAAAGGAGAGAGAGACTGACTCAGAGGGGCTTGGCCTCAGCTCGTATGCTGTGCCCCTTACCTGAGTATGTGCCCTTCATTTCAGAGGAAGTCCAATGATGGTCTGACGAAGTCTGGAGGACTTCTGGAGGCTGGCTACTCTGGTGGAGAGTGCGGGAGGACTTCCAGAGGAGTGCAGGAAATGTCCAGAAGAGCATGGGAGAGTTCTGGAGGAATGCAGGAAATGTTCAGGAGAGTTCCCACTGCAAGGTAATACTTCTACAGGAAAACAGGATGGAAGGATAGGAGGTCCGGAGGACAGGAGGACAGGATGTCCAGAGTATGGAGGACAGGAGGTCCGGAGGTATGGAGGACGGAATGTCTGAAGGTACGGAGGGCGGAATGTCTGAAGGACAGGATACCTGGAGGTATGAGGGACAGGATGTCCAGAGGTACAGAGGACAGGAGGTCTGGAGGTCCGGAAGGAATAGGGGCTACATTGGACTTCATCCGATGTAGAAGCAAACAGAGGTAGACTACCCTAAGGTAGAGTCGGAGGGACAGGAAGTGGACCTAAGTCCAGAAAGAGGGTAAGTGCTGGAAAGGCAAGACTCCAGCCTAGGGAAGCAATCCCTAGACTTGGGATAGAGACATAGGGGACAAATCCGAAGGTCCGGAATTCCGGCCTAGGGAATCCTTCCCTAGGCCTTATGGAAAAGGACGAGACTCAGACAGACTGAAGTCTGGAAGATGATTGGCAAGTAGAACAGGATCTAAGATGATATTCAGACTGAGGACTCTACTGTAGTTGTACAGGGGTTATATACTAGAGGTTATCTGAGAGGATCAGTAAGCAAAGGAGTAAGGCTATGTATGAGCATGCGGAAACACATTGGTAAGTAAGATGGAACATAAATAAATGAACTCGGAGATGAAACTAGTACAAGGATCAATCAGCAAGATGGAAACAGAGATAACCGAGAACCGGAAAGGCGGAGATGCCTAAATGGGGATAGGTGCAGGATCTTGGACAGAGGGTGGGAATGGTCCGGAGATCTGGGGATCCGGAAGGCAGGGCAGAAACAGGACTGAGATATGTGAGGTGGTGGATGTAGTCTGGAATCCGAGAGGAGGTAAAGTCCAGATGTCTTGCTGGACGGAATGTGCATAGGGTGGACAGGATAGGGGATCCAGGAATGAGTTGGATATGGGGTCCGGAAAGCGTGGGAATATGATGGGATCTATGTCTGGCATACGGGATATGACAAGAGGAGCATCAATGAGAGGGGTGTCGACGAGAGGAGCATCAATGAGAGGAGCAGGGTTGGAATTGATTTCAGACATAGAGGTGTCGACAGGAGGAGTAGTGATTTTTTTCTGAATTGGTTTGGGTCTCGGCTTCAATACAAGATTAGAACTAAAGTAATGTATCAGTAGAATCAATGATCGAAATAAAATGAACTTACAGAGGATCAATGACCTGTAAGACATATGAAGTTAGCATGAATGCAGCAGATATTACATGCAACTCACCTCCACCATGATTACCTCCTTCTCTTTTCCTTTGTCGGTTCGTGGTGGGGGAGTTGGCTCACAGTTGAGTGGTGTGTCATGGCATGATGGTGAAGTGGGTGATGCTAGTAGTAGCTGTAGATTGATTATGTTAGGAGGGAGAAGCAAACAAGCATGAAACATACTATTTGTTCCGATGATGAAGGAGGTGATGCATCCTGTAAACCAAGCATGTGAGTAGTGACAAGCAAAAAAGAATAAACCTTACTAATTCATCTATATTTGAATCGACACATGAGCGCTTCAGAGTGGTAGTGTGCTGGATGTCATCTGAGTCCTCAGTTTCAGATGAAGACCTTTTTCTAGTAGTTGATATTGGAGTATCTTCAGACTTGGCCTTGATAATATGCTTGCTGGCCCTTTTCTTGATGTGGTAATTGTACCATTGAGAATAGTTGTCCATCATGAGTTTCATTATCTTCCAGTTGTCGGTGCAAAGATGGAATTTGATAAAGTGTTTCCACAATGTGTGAATGAGCCACTTGAGAACATCTAGTGATGCTTGACTGATCGATTCAGGTGCAAGCCCCCGAGTCTCCAGTTGATGAAAGCTTGACAACATCATTTGACGGATGACCTTAGCATGCTCAGCCAACACAGGGACACCTTTCTCATCCTGGAGATAAGTGCACGACACATTAATACCTTGTGCCATGTGTCCAGAACCCTGACATGAAGAACTTCCAGGAATGGCTGATGTGGTTGCTGGGTAATGTTCTAGCCATTCTTTTTTTGTCCATGACCTCACCAATCAATAGTTGTTTCGATCAAGTTTGTGATTGCAGTCGTCTTCAATCATTCTGTCCAGTAGGGAAGGTTTCCGTTCATCGCAGGTATTGTTGGAAGGGGATAATGACGACAAGCTCGATGCCACAGAACTGGCAGAACCCTGCATATTTACAATTACATTCCTGTATGTGTTTATATGCACATTTTAAGTGAATATATGCACAAAATGATACACTTACTGTAATGTCTGGCAGGTCAAGGTCAAAGATGCGTTCTCATTCATGACCTTGAGTAGATCAGCTTGAAGACTTGCGACTGCATGCTGTTGTTCTGCAAGTTGGCGCTTGAGCTGTGCTACTACTGTACCATTATCAGATTGCCAGTATAACAAGTTGTCTTGCTCAAGAATAGACTGTATGCTCATGCTGCCTTGATGTAGAAGAGACTTAAGTCATGTCAATGAGTCGTGTATCAGTTTATCCCATTGCAATCAGAGTTATAAACTCATGCTATTCGAATCAGGGGTTGTATTTGCTTGGTCACACATGTACAATGTTTGATGGGAGGCACTGGAATCAAAAGGCAGAGAGAAGAACTGTTGTGAATTAATGCGAGTGTTAAGAAAGTCTGTGTATCTGGCAGGGGGAATTGCTGCAATATTCATGTTGTTGTTGACAGACATGATGATGGTATAGAAGTAAGGTACGCGTATGTTTGGCTGAAGTCAAGAAAGGAAACTCACCGAAAACTCACCAAGTTTGCTACTGCAATGCTGCCACAAGCAGTTCAAGATTTTTTAAACATACCATCAGATCCTGACCTAGATGGTTATCAGGGCGATATAAGGTATGCTTTGCTTTGATTTTTAATGCAACAGGTATATACAATATTGTCTAGTTTTGATGATACTGGCAATGGCGACACTCGCTCTAGTTCCCCTGTGATGACCCCGTCTGATGACTTTATTTTGGAACTTTTCAATCCCCTCAATCCTCTTGGGTCCTCTCTTTTGAACAGGAATTTCTTTACAACATTGGTCCAACACAAACTGGTCAAAGCACAGTGAGTTTATATTGTTTTATTCAAAAGTGAAACTGAAGCAGGTAGCAGATCAGATACCGGCAGTATCATGGAACCTGAGAGTGAGCCTGAGCCTATCATCACTGTATCAACTGTCCCCCATCCAAAATACAATCCTGGCAGTACCACTGAACCGGAAAGTGATGTACCACCCCCAAAATACAACCCTGGCAGTACCACAGAGCCAGAGAGTGAGCCAGAGCCCATCGCTATTGAGCCACACACACCTGTCGCTCCGCAGAAAGTCCTGCCTATTCTTCCTCCGAACTATGAACCTGGCAGCACAACTGAGTCAGAAAGTGAAATGGATGCACCTAATGCAGCCCCCCCTCCTGCAAACAATCCCAGTAGTGTCACAGAATCTGAAAGCAAGCCAGATGCACCTTCCACCACCATGACTCTACAGAACACCAGTGTGATGACTCTGGTCATCAAAAGAAAAAGCTTCTTCAGTACACCAAGTCCACCTGGCCCTGATTCCATCTATTGGAAATATGTGTCACGTGAGGAAGATGCAAAGTGGTATGATCATTTGGGTACTGACAACAGCTTTTGCACTGTTCGCCAAATGAAAGAGGAGTTGCAAGAGCTTTGTGATCAATACATTAGTTCTACTGTAGGAGCAAAGAAAGATGTAAATATGTAATGACTTCTGTCTATGATTAATCCTTGTCGGGTATGTCCTCCTCAATGCCACCTATCGTCAATACATCCAAACCTGGCTGTTCTATGAGATAGAAAAGGGTCCTGTCAATACCTGGAAATTGGTGGGGAACCATTGCCACCACTGATTGAATGGTGTGAGCTTCAACCAGCCGTAAGGAGGTGTCTGCATGATAGCTACATGCGAAGACCATCTGAAATGAATCTTCGAGAAGACCTGGATGGGGTGGACTGAATTCAGAAACGAGTGCAAATGTCTTCTCCTGATCATGGATTGTCATCTTGAAGTAAAAATACACCTCAGCGATGGATGTATGGTCATTGATGAATAACTTTGAATTCAAGTTAGAAACTAATATACTATGATCTAGATAGATAAAAAAACTCACCTTCACATTCTGTGCGATCCTTGGATGCCTTGACATTGCGTTTTCCTTCCAGGCTGATCGTGCAACCTGTCCATTAGGAAGATGTAGTCAAGCCCATCGAGTAACAGAAGGAGCAGACATGATGTCAATGCCATTGGTGGTCAAGTAGCGAAGAATAGCATCAGCTTCGCATGGCCATACAATGCAAGCACTTCTTTCCCTTCGCCGCAGCAAGATATAACCCTGGCCAAGATCCAATGATCCTTTGGGTAGAGCATTTGTTGAGGGTTCAATTGTGGGAATGATGGCCTTAATAGCATTTATTTGGCAGTGACGGGCAGCACGTTGAGAAAGGTTGGCATAGACTGATGAATTGTGAAGGTGTATTTCTTGTGCAAGATTGCCAATTGTCCATTCCATGGTCCACTGTGATGAGCAGATGGGTGGACCCTTGTTGACCATCTCACCAGCAATATGGGTGATCGAGTGAAGCCATGGTCAAATGAAATGAAGCTGATTGATCCGACACTGGTAATACAATTCTTTGAACTCATCTGCAAAGTCAAGAAGGTGATGGTGACCGACAACCAGATCTGAGCAAGATATGTGGTATTGTTGCATGAGACGAAGCCCTCGGGCAAGATGACAAAAATTGGTCCAATATGGCTGAGGGAGTATACCATAGAGTGTAGCAGGTGCCATACCATACAGGTAGAGGAGCCATTCCCATGCTTTATAGCCACTGTTGATTTTTTCTGCAGGGTTCCAAGGTGGGCGATCAAACGAACCCAGCAGAAAGGGTGTTGCATCCGTGATCAGAGATCCATGGGCCTTCCAGGCTGCCTTCATCAGAACTGCCCAGTCCCATCTGGACTTATCATCTGTAGCCTCGGCTCTAAATGTTCCTCTCCAGAGGGGTAGAAGGAGATCGCTGACATTGATGGCAGCAATGTGCATGATATTGGAGCCAAAGCACAGTGGTACGAGCAAAATACGGTCAGTGTTGAATCCACAGAAAATGCTTGGTTTTGTAATGCCTGTCTCAAGGTGTGCAAGCTCATATTCTGTCATGTTGGTACAATGAATCACATGCTCAAGATTCCATTCATAATCAAATGATCCAGGAAGGGGAAGTTGATGGATGAAGAAATCAGGGTGATCTAGTGGATTAGGGCCGTTGGGTTGACATAGTGCAGGGTAGTAAGTAGGTGCGCCAGGTTTGTGTCTGCCTGGAAGTCCACAATAGAGGTGACATGCGAATCTGCCATGGTGACCAACAAGGCCAGTAAGGAATGCCATGCCAGGACCATTGGCTGTTGCAACAAAGAGAAAGGGATTGGAATGAAATAGAGTGTTCTTCGCACCATCCCAGATTGGAAGCCCTTCAGTCTGGATGGCATGAAGATGGTGTAGGCCAGGGAAAATGAACGAATCAAGATTCTTGGGTTTTTTCGGGCCAGGGATGATTCCACCTGGGAGTACATACTTCTTCTTGTACCGCTCATCCGGTGCATGGTCAAAGACAACCCAGATATAGATCCAGCAATCAGACTGCTTGGATTCATAGAGTTGCGCCCCGTCGATCGAAAACATTAACACAGCATCCCCATCTTTGATTCTCCCCGATTGGCAAGCATCCAGATACTGCTTTCCATAGAGAACATCCTCATATACATCAGGGACACCACCAGTTGTCTTCAACTCATTGAAGATCTTCTTCATATACTCCTCACACCAGCGCATTTTCTTGGCTTGGTCAGGATGGCACCATAGAGCCTGGAGCTGGGGACTAATGGGAAAGGTATCAAATGTTTGATGTGCTACCTTTTTGTCAGGCTTGCTTTTTTTGGGATCCCATCAATCTTCCCCACATCTAGGACAGTTATTGAGGTCAGAGTATGGGCCTGTGAACACAAGGCATGTGTTGATGCACATGTCATGAATGATTGGCACGACACCGCTAAGTTCTGAAATGGCTTGCTTGGCAGAGTAATAGCTATATATTCCGTCTTCGGGGTGCTGTTCCATGGTTGCGTTGTGGACAGTATTGTAGGTTTTGATCGTCATGTTGGCAAAGTAGTATTTTAGGGATAGTAGGAGGTCAGGATCTGTCGTATCAGGTAGTTTGCGAGGAGGGTTTCAGATCCTATCTATCGCATCTGGAGGTAGTCGACAATGTACATCATCCAGAGAAGCCTTTCTCAAGGCATTAATGAATGCCATTGCATGCTGTGCATCTTTGAGCTGTGCCATCCGATGCAATTCCTCCAGATCTTCATCCATCCAGCCCATAGTTTGCCCTGAGTCAGCCATGCCTGCTTTGTTGTGATCAGGACCAATAGCCTCGATATCTGGGTTCTCGGGACGAGCTTCCTCAAGATCTACTTGCTCATTGGTGTTGTCATGCCCTGTGTCAATGAGAGCAGTGTCCTTGAGGTGATCAAAATCAGCCTGATGGACATCATGGTCTGGGCTGTGGCCAATTGCTGGCTCATGCTCGTAGATAGCATCTGAATGTAGTTCAAATCATCAACAATAGCAGTACTATGAATATATAACTTACCTTCGATGCGATCAACAGCATTGGACACATCATGGGCTGAACTGTCTATTGCAGGCTCATAGCCGCTATCTGGATTGGTTGCATATAATCAACTTCATCGTTATTGGAGTGGTGAGAACATATTACTTATCATCAATGTCTAGATCAGGGACCTTGTTGTTGTCGGAATCATGTAGTATATGATTATCTGGCCCTGGGAGGTCACTGTGGATGTCCCTTTGGCATCCTTTCTTCCTAGGTGCAGGCTCTTGCTCATTGTCATCACACATATCCAGACTTCGCTTGCTGGATGAAGGGACAGCTGCTACAAGCTCAGCAGGGGGTGGTGGTGGAAATAGCCTAGCGGTTCTGGCAGGCTTATGTGCGAAGTAAGTGTTTCAATGGACTTGCTTGGGCTTGCCTCCATGCTTGCGCAGACAGGTATCACAGTCGCATACATGAATTTTGGTACCATCATGCAGTTCGTATATTCCGGCTTTGTTAGGATGCATGGACTCGGAGTGATTTGAACCTCGATTGCAAAATCTGATCTAAGCGCAATGTTGCAGTAACAATTTGTGATGTTTTGTTTGCAAAATTTCATTGCATTTTGCATAACTTTGTATTTTTGATGTCTCCAATTTCTTAGATTTCTATCTATTTGCTTCTGTCCTTCGATGTCTATTGCCATGTATCCCTCCCTTTCTTGTCGATTTTCACTGGGCCTTATCACCTGCACACTGTCATTTGTGTCAACTCGAAAATGGTAAATGAACTTCTGCGATCAGTTCACATTATGAAATTACTAATTGATGACAGACCCTCAATGCCTAACAGTTGTCCTCACCATCTTTGCCATCATCAGACTCAGATTCCTCAGCTGCCTCCTCATCAACGTCAGGTTTTCCATTCTCCCTCCATTCTTCAGCCACCTCCTGACAGAGTGTCTTCAGTGGTTTCTGTTCCGCGTCTGGTTTTACCAGCTCGATTCTGTAAGCCTGCATGGCATGAGCAATGGCTCATTCTTGCTCCTCACATGCGAGCTTTTTTTTCCTGGAGATGGACTGTGCATGCTTGGCCATGGTGAGATGTGAGTGAAGTTGATTGAAAGGTATTCTTATTCATTGTGCCAGTCAACAGACTTGCAAGTCCGAGTCACATGAAGTGTGCGATTACATATTGAAGCACAACCTTAGCAATGATCGACGATTGTGAAGTCTATCACTCGCTTATCAGTTGATTAGAGACTCTTGAGACATCCTCGACTGGCATTGCTCTGGCAATGCACTCGCTCATTTGATCACCTGCAGAATACAATTGTATTGTATATAGAGGCTATATACATGTATTGCATCAGTTTTGGAGTCAGATGTCAACATGTCACACATTGGGACCTATAATTGTGAAAATTTAAGAACAAAACATAACATTGCACAAGAATCTACACTCATTTGTACCTATTAATGCTGCCAACACATGGTCCCATATGAAACCTATGTAAACCACCAAAAATTTTGATGAAAAAGTGTCGCAGTGGAGTGTTGTGTGAGACAAATGCAAATGCTGCTATATTACTGTAATATTTCAATCAATAATCCGCCCTGTTTCTCATCAATCCTGGCCATAGTTAGCCTTTATATACACCCTATATAATATATATGAGCCTGCTAGGTAATTCTTTCAGTGGTAAGTGAGTATAACCATCAAAATTGCGAAAATATACACCCATGCAAGCAGGAGGAAGTATTGGTTTATAAAGGAGGATACTGCTACTGTTAGCATATATTTATGACATATATATACTCTATATACACCTAGAAACATATTCCCTGCATTTCTGGAAGGCCGGTGGCCCAGGGAAAAATTTCCCAGGAGAACCATCAGGGGAGGGTAGCAACACAGCACCCCAGGGACTGGACCTATGATCCTATGCTGCTTTTATATTGTATATACTATGTAAAGGTTGTTGGGGATCATACTTTCAAGTCTATATAGTTAAAACTGAAAAAAGCGAAGCTATTTGTTATTTTCTGTGTGCATTCTACATCTGGTACTGCAGGGACCTTTAGAGGGCCAAACAAGCAGTAGAATTGACTCAGATATACTAAGAAACATATATCTAGTGTGCTAAGATATCATATCATTAAAGGTGCAAAAATGCGGATGTGTTTTTGATATGTTTTTCCTGTATTATATGTACAGGTTTCTGGAGCTTGTATTGGGACAAAACTGGACAAAAAGCGTCCTATTGTATGTACATAGCATAAACTAATAGTTCCATACAGTAGATAGGTGGGTATGGTATGGTGGTGGGCAGGAATGTGCTGAGGAGGAGTGTGGGAAATGTTGAGATCCAGGAGATGACCGGAAATGGCTATGTTTTAGCAGTGACAAATTTCCCAGTCTAAAAAATGTGGTGGTGGGATGCATCAAAAGATGCATTGGGTGATGCACCATACATTAGCAGGGGAGGGGAGAGTGCTACAATTGTAGTAAGAATGCATCACAGGTGTGCTACAACTACAGCAAATAATGCATTACAACGACACAAACCTGTGTGCAGATGTAGGACAAGGATACTGTGTGGAACATCTCCCATGCAAAGGTTAGCCAACATGGTGGTGGCCAAATCAGGAAAGGTTTAAGGTCCGCATAAGTAATTTACAAGAGGTCAAGTCGACATTGACAACTAGGCTTGATACCAGCCTGGCTTATATAACCATGGATGACTACATCAAGATTTCCCACTCTCAAAGGATGTACGTCAGACTGGTCACGAGTCTAATCGACAACAACATTTTAGAATTGAACATCCCTGAAGACTACCAAGTATCTACTTTCGCGCGGAGATTGAAATGGTAAGTGTCTGGTTTGCAATAGATGATCGCACACTGATCACCAGTCCAAACCCTGTCTTCAAACAGTAATCCCATAAACCAGACGCCCTCCATTTGGTCACACCCAAATAAGGTCAAACCTAGGTGCATATCTCAACAGTACTACTAGAGTGCTAGCTGAAGTGCAATGTTCACTCATTTGAATTATATTGCTAGTGAGAATCTGATGTAGGAGTTGAGTTCAAATGCAGGCGCTACCAATTTTACAGGTTTCTACTTGTACAAGAATATCCCAACTAGTATTCTACTTTAACACATCTGAAGATGTAATACTTAATACAGCATGCACAGCAACTTCATGGCCTCTGCATCAGAGAATTTGTGACATCTACCCAGGGTGCTTTATGTTGATCGTGGTGGTTTTCTGACATTATACATGGCTTTATATGACTTTATATTCCAATATCTTCGGTTCATGAGTCATCTGATGCCCCCTCTGCTGCCCCTGTGACTGGATAAGCACCCACTTGTCCTGGAACTGTATTTCACCACCCAGCAAGCTTTCCATAGATTCAAACATCCATTTATCTCATCCTGTCTCCTAAGTTGACAACTTCAAGACTTTGATTCCAACAGATCCTTCAAATCTTTGTATGTCATCCCTGGAGATAAATATTGCCCAGATGATTTCTAATTGCACCCAGCTAGTACTCTCAATTTGACCATTTTATCATGAATATCACAACCTTCATGAATGAGTGAGGAACAATGTTGGTTTTTCTCACTCTTGTCCCTCTCTCACATTTTGACCTTTTTGACAGTTCTTCCATTGTTTGAAGGAACTTGGGCAAGGCTGTCCCAAGTTGCTGTCAAGGGTGCTCAATATAACTCCAGTGAATGTCAGCCTCACCTGAAATGTTTGCAAGGGACCTGGGCTAATCTCCTCACATACATCCACCAATTACTAGACAGAGAAGAGAAGAATCAACTTATATGGCTGCATGGCATGGCAGGTGTCGGAAAGTCTGCTGTTGCATTCACTGTAGCTGAAAGGATGAAAGGTCTAAAAGTGACAGAGGAGACAAATGTCGAAAAGCAGCTAGTGGGGACATTCTTTTTCTTGCGCAAGCACACCAAACATTGCACTGCTGGATATTTCTTTGCAATGCTTGCCTACCAGCTTGCCAATAATTTTCCATCCATCTGGAGGGATGTAAACACAGTCATCCACAACAATCTCACTCTACTAGACCCCGATACACCTCTCTGTGACCAGATGGAGGCTTTTTTGCTCAAACCTCTCCAGTGGCTTCGATCTAGATTGCACAAGTGTCTGCCTTTGACCTTTGTTATTGATGCCCTTGATGAATGCATATCTGAACCCAAGCTTATCAATCTCATCCACTCCCTCACATGGGCTCTTTGTGAGCCTGATCTTCCCATGACCCACGTTCTACTCACAAGTTGCTCAGAACTGCATATTTGTAAAGTCTTTCATGATGATGAGGTGTGGCCATTGTTGTGTGAAATACTGGTGCAAACTTCTGGGGAGGGAATTGCTACCATAATCTCGCTTGACAGTGCCAATGTCAATGCTGATATCTATATTTTCCTGCAGCATTCCTTTGCAGAGCTAGCAAATTGCCACCCTGATTTCCCTTAGCCAACGATGGATGAACTCACACAGCTGGTGAGCCGCACTGGCAGACACTTCATTGTGGCATCCACAATGGTGAAGTTTATCATCGACAATGAAGATAAGGATCCCCATGATCAGTTGCAGCTGATGCTAAAGCTAACGAGTGAGCTGCTACCAGGAACGGAGGTGTACAAGTTATATGACCATATCCTCTCCACATGCACCGACCCCATGTGAGCATACCTGCACTTGTCCATTGTCACTGCGCTGGCAGACCCTCTTCCCATCTTGCAAATCTCTTCACTTCTTGGCCCTGGTTTGGGCAGGGATGTGCAGACAACTCTGATGCAGCTATGATCTATTGTGGATATCCCTGCCGACAGCATTCTCCCTGTGAATATCTATCACTCATCCATTCACGACTACATTTCCAACCCCTTAAACTGTGGCCTCCCTCAAGTATATGATATCACATCACCCCACTCCCTGCTTGCATATTCATTTCTTCACTTGATGATGGGGATGATGGAAAAGACAGCTCTCTTGGATGTGCTCTCAGAACTGAAGCAACAGCACCAAGCTATGCAACCTGAGGACCCCCATCAATTAAAAGTTTTGCTATCCTTCCTTGTTCAGCCACCAGAGCCACTGTCAGTTCTCATCTGTATGCTATGGCTTCAGGGAGATCATGCTTCAGATTTACAATATTGGCTGGGGACCATGGATGGGCATGCCTGGGTGCAGACCACAAATGGGCGAGACTGGCTGCAGACCAAGGGAGCACAGGAGTGGCTGCAGACTGAGGGAGGACAAGACTGGTTGCAGACCAAGGGAGGACAACACTGGCTGTAGACCCAGGGAGGATGATACTGGCTGCAGACTGAGGGAGGACAAGATTGACTGCAGATTGAGGGATGACACTGGCTGCAGACCAAGGAAGGACACTGGCTGCAGACCCAGGAAGGATGAGACTTGCTGCAGACCAAGGGAGGACAAGACTGGCTGCAGACCAAGGAAGCACAAGAATGGTGGCTGCAGACTAAGGAAGCATGAGACTGGCTGCAGACTTGGATAGGATGAGACTGGCTGCAGACTGAGAGAGGACAAGAATGGCTGCAGACTAAGGGAGGACAAGAATGGCTGCAGGCTGAGGAAGGACAAAAGTGGTTGCAGACCCAGGAAGGAGGACACTGGCTGCAGATCCAGGGAGGACAAGAGTGGCTGCAGATTTGCAGAGGACAAGACTGGCTACAGACCTGGGAGAGACGAGACTGGCTGCAGACCTGGGAAGGACAAGACTGGCTGCAGATTTGGGGAGGAGACTGGTTGCAGACCTGGGAAGGACAAGACTGGCTGCAGATTTGGGGAGGAGACTGGTTGCAGACTTGGGGAGGACAAGACTGGCTGCAGACCATGGGAGGATGAGAGTGGTGGCTACAGACCAAGGGAGGATGAGACTGGCTACAGACCAAGGAAGGATGAGACTGGCTGCAGGCTGAGGGAGGACAAGACTGGCTGCAGACCAGGGGATGAGATTGGCTATAGACAGAAGATGGACGAGATTGGCTGCAGATCAAGGAAGGACAAGACTGGCTGCAGACCTGGGAAGGACAAGACTGGCTACAGATTTGGGGAGGAGACTAGTTGTAGACTTGGGGAGGACAAGACTGGCTGCAGACCGACATAGGAGGATACTGGTTGCAGACCCAGAGAGGACAGTGCTGGCTACAGACCTGGAGAGGACAAAACCGGCTGCAGACCAAGGGAGGACCAGACTGGCTGCAGACTGAGGGAGGACAACACTGGTTGCAGACCCAGACAGGACAAGACTGGCTCCAGACGCCCCATGGCCAAGTGTGGCAATCCACTCCTGTGGGGTTTGTGTGGGCGACTATGGAAGAATTCTTGAGTACATTGGAAGCCATCAGCAACTATATCATTGTCCCAAAATTGGCTTTTCTGCCAGCCTTCAAAGTAGTCCAACAGCTCAAAAGCTTACTGGATTTCTTGATGTTTCCAATGTTCCTGGCATTTACACCCCAAGATCATTTCACCTCTACATCACCAGAAGTTCCTGACAGGGAAATCATCTGTGCCATGAATCTCTTTTTAGCTTTTGCAAACAAGGCACAGGAACAAAGTCAATCATCTTCCAGTGCTCTCAAGTATGCATCTCAAAACTGGGTTGTTCACTTGTCACATGCTCCAAATCCATGGGACAGCACTCTCAACCATGTATTCCAGGTTTTCTGGAATCATCATCTCCTTTCTTGGTTCGAACAGCAGTGGTGTTTGAAGGGACTGTGGTCTTGTCTCAATATTTTATCCAAGGGACAGACACTTGCAAATGTTATTGCCTTGCTTCAGGTTCGATTATTTCTTTTTTCATTTTGTGAAACCTCTTTTAATCATCTCTCATCCTCAGTTCGAACCTTCGATGCACAGTCTAATGTAATGAATGGTTGTCAGCCATCGATCCCAATTCCCGGCACACAACAACTGAAGCTCTAACTAATCACCTTTCCCCTCTCTGAGGTCCAAGGGCCAATACCGTTGTACTCCATGTTGGCACATCCAGACAGCGAACTTCGGATGAGTTTCTGGTCAATAGCAACAGTGCTGTAAGCCTGGCGCTTACTACGTGATAGCATACTTCGCGCTGATTGGACACCGCACATTATGTGTTCCGTGTTTGGACTGATGCACGCCGACTCAAATATATAGGTTCGCATGCACACTCATATCTTATCCCTCTCTTACCGTACCGTCAATCATACGCTCTTCCACGTCACTGTTTGTCCGTTAGTGTTTGCCATCGACGTGACGACTTTCCAAGTGCACTCGAATCGGACACCTCCAATAGCCCATCAAAACGTCGGAAATGAATCAAACAGTGTTTGCAACATCCTGACACTGATAGCATACGTGAATACCTGCATACCCTTCTGCAGAGCAGAATTTCGGGGTTTGAAGCTTGAACTAGAACTGACCATACAGTTGAAAGAGGAGGGAGACTCATTGGATAGTAGATAACGCAGGGTGAGCCTACAACACTGCACATATTTCTATACAATTTAATCGTATGCCGTGCCATCGCCCAGTTGGACCCAAATTGACTCTTGCGATTGACGCCTGGTTTTCGAGGGGCTGAAATTGACCCCGTCATTCACGGTTGAATTGCAGTGACTTACAACTGTGGCGGCTTGCAAGTCACTACAATTCCGCTTGACTCGTACTACTAGTACTCACGCAGATTAACGATAAAATAATTCAAGTTAGTTGTATGAAGAACATTTCTCCCGATTAGAACAACTCTTCATGATCATTGACCGTTTGAGATTCACGTGTTTTACTGTGACTCACTCAGACTCGCACCCGCTTCGCTCTACCCCAGTACTAGTAACTGGTACTTGCCAGTGGTTTGGGGTGATCAATTGATCATTGACACGAGGGTGGACGGAAGGGGATATGCGGTGTGGCTGAAGGAGTTATCAGAGGCATTTTGAAAGTCCGGCAGCAGTAAGAATCGAAGGTTCTCAACCTTAGCTCCTCGCGTTCGAGTTATCGCATTCGATTCTTCAAAGATAGGCAAAATCTGACATATCGACTAGGTCTCTCATATCGGACATTAAACATCGGCAGCCGCAAGTACAGGGATCGAGGCAAGTTATATACATTTAGGTATTTTATATCCATTTTACTCATCGATGACAGCCTTAATAGGGGAACAAACCGAGAGGACGGGCGCACATGCCGCTAAGATGAGTCAAATGTTATGGTGAACGAGGACTCCACACGAGCCGGATCATCAAAGACCATCATGATAAATTGACGATCGTTGAGCAGATGCTGTAGACAGACCTGTTGAAGAATGTCTACCCGCACCTGGTCTACACAGAGCACAGGCAACTCCAGAACATGTGGGTTTTGTGCACCGTTGTTATTCGGACAACAATTAACTTATCATCATCCTCGTGCATGATGACGATGGCTGAGTAGCATCGCCAGACGTAGACTTCTTCGTTATCAAGCGCCCTCCGCAGGCAACCTTCAGAAAACTTTGTCAATCTCGAACTCCTGTGCGTTGTTTCGACTCAGCGTTACGTATCAACCGATATACCCTCATATATGCCAAGGCGAGTGGCTGTTGAAATTTGTGTCATGTTGGAGGCCCGGCTTATCACCCCTATTAAGAGAAGAATTCGAGACCTGATCATTCGACATTTGGACCTATCCAGACTGTACGGGGATTTGCCTCAATCTCGCTTGGATTTTTTAAAACGCGAGGTAAGAAATATTCCATTGTATTTTGACAGAGCGCCGGCATGTTCGGGTCTGAATCTGGATTGCAGGTTCTACTGGACGCAGAATTATCGTTCCTGACACAGTACGAAGACGGTTGGGCCGTGGATGTACTGGTTCGTAACCTGTATTTCCGGCGTTGTAGAATGATAGAATACAAGGTGATTTTAACCATCTTCTGAGGATTGTTAACAGATTGTGCTAATGTAAGACAAACAGCGGAAACTGGGTTGGAGTGCACCGGTTTGGATTCCCTATTCCACTACAAAGTTTATTGTCCAACATATCTTACAGTGTCACTATCGCCGAAAGCTATTTACTGGTCGTTCTCGCGCCTCTCCAGAACACCACCTGGGCGGCAGGCGTACCCGAGCGAACGCCTCGTCGCGTGTAGCTCTCCTGTCCACCCGTTTAGATTCAGCAACACCAAGTCTTCTTCGCTTTCATCCGGCCCTCGTCCAAGCTGGCATCTGCACGGACGAGCACTTGCATCAGCTATTTCGCATGTCGCCGACATCGAGGGACAAATTCATTGTACAAGCACTAGGCATAAGGAACTCAACCTTGTTTGAACGAGTTGTGGTGATGGACATTTTGGAACGGATGAACAACGAGCAATTGTAGTTTGTAGATAGTGAGCTGGAATTCTGCGGGATGGTACAGAACCTCAACGGTGGCGCCAACCCTCTTGTATCATAGTATATAAATACCGCGCCCGTGCGCGAGGCTGGGGAAGTCAATTCTAAGGTGATTGACCGCACGTCGGAGGGAAAATGCGCCCGCTGTGGGAAGGGGCCTGAAAAAACCCGGCAGAGTTAAATGAGTTCTTACGATAGCAGGACGCCAATGTAAAGAGGCAAACTATTTGTTTGTCATATCTGTTTTCCAAATTACGAGACTCACCGATTCATCGCACCTGTTGCATGAGGAAGGATCTGATCCTTGCTAAGCTGAAAAATTCAATGACCAGATCTTACGCGTTTGAGCAAAAAGGATCATACAAAATTTACAAATTAATACAGTATCATACACACTGCATCTGTAAGCTACACCCGATAAAAGTCGGTATTTACGCATACTACACAGAACCCAAGTTAGTGTCGCGAACCAATGTGATGAGCGAATGAACGACTCACTCTTGTAAAAGTACCCATAGTCATAAATGTTTCCTTCCTAGGAGCATCGTTCTTGTTCCGGTATAACGACTTGACTGCATCGCTCATGCCAGCCTTCCTCTTCGCCTCTTCCACAGCAAGACTCTGAGTAAGAGATCGCGATGCTGCAGATATCTTCGGGTTCAAACCTGGTGCTGGAGAAGGCGGGTGACCCTCGGGGGATCCTTTCGTCTTCTTGGTAGCGACCTCGTCAGCCACAGCATCTGCACCGGCCTTACGCTTCTTTGACTTCTTCGCAGGCTCTAGTGAACGACGAAGTTCCATCGCAGCGTACATACGTTCCTCCTCTTCCAAGGGTGGGTTTATCATGAAAATGTTGGACGACCTAGAGAATTTGGTCCCGCATTGGGGACAGACTTCTAGCTGTTCATCCTCACCAGCTGGAGTTTCTGCACCCGCGATGTTCCCGTGTGAAGGCGACGAACCAAGGACCGTACGCAGACCAGACTGAGTGAAAACGCATCCACAAGTCGAGATGTAGACGAAGGGCTGTCCGCCGTTCATTTCCTTGAACGTGAGCGGACACACGAACTTGACAACATCAGCAGATGAATCAGGCGGAGGAGGTGGAGATCTTGGGGTTAGTTTAAGGACTTTGATGTCCTGTCGAGATATAGGTCAGTTAAGTGTTAGTGGTGATACCAGAGCTATCACGCACCTTCAATGAACGTAGGTGTCCGCATATTTTCTCCGCATCTCCATAGGCAGTCTTATCAAGTAGGTGCTCAATTATAGCATCCTTGTTATACAGTTTCCCAAGAGCACAAGACACGATGGGTTCTTGCAAAGGACGCTAGGAAGTCCATCAGAAGCAGTCGGCCGCCGAAACAAAATATGCTCACCTTTGAAAGAGCACAGAAAAACCATACAGCACGAGTCTGATTTGCCTTATCAGCTTGTTCTGCCTTCTTTTTGCTCTTTACAAGATCGCGTCTGTCGGGAATGCTGCCTCCATCATTCCCCATGGTGGTTGTAGCAAATCAAGCTTAAGCGTGATGAGTAAGCGCCACGATCCAAACTGTCAAACGTACAACCAAGGACATTCCGATTCGCCACACAAGCTCCCTGCCCCTCCGGCAGCGCCATGCTGCAGGAACTCTCGCACATGGACCGTATCACCCAACTTCAAGATGAGATCCAACGCGTGGGTTACGTTCCCTCTTAAACCAATTCAAATGTTTAAGCAGCACGTTTCAGCTCCTGACAATCATGTCAAGCACTATCGCCTACCTCACCGCCAGGTCTACATTCCTGCAAGTCAGCGAGCAGATACCCATAACAAAGACTCGCAATCCGGATAAATACGATCCCCCAGAATTATTTGAAGGTGCGTGACCATGCATGTGCGCAGTTGTGGTGATCAAACGAAGTTTTAGCAAACAAGAACGAGCTTGTTCAGGATCTTATCGTAAAGGCAAAACAAATCGAATATCTCATCCAGTCATTACCGGTCCCTGAACCAGAACAACAGCAGGTCAGGCGCGCGTAGGTTTTGATACAGCTAAAATGTAATTATGGAACAGGCAAACCGACTTCAAGCACTGGAACAACAAATGCAAGATGCAAATGAAGAATATATCCAAGCGGTTGACCGTGCCAGTAAGCCATCGTTTTCTCGCTGGTCTGCAAACAGCTTACCGATGCTTAGAGAACCTCCATCGAAAAATATCTGAATTTTTGAGGACCATGTTGGACAACGCAGATGGTCCGGTCGAACTCGTCCGCTGATTTAGACCTGTCTTAGCGGACCATTTGCATGATACGACAGAGCCCAGATAGATGTTGAACATCGTTCGGCCAATAGTTCCCTCTCATCGTCATCCAAAAAGGTAGTGAGAGCCGTGAAAAACGCTTCTGTACGATGTCGAGCTACGTTGTCAACAAAGGAAAGTGCTTTTTCATCGTGACCCCTCATGCGTACGCAGGTATTAAATAACTTTCAAAACACAGACATGAGCCACGGTGATCAACAGATGGTACAACTATATCACGTCGTCAATACACATCATGCGTTCCTACGCTATGTAAATATACAAATTGCGATCCTCTTCGTCCCGTCTCAAATACTCCTGCTCGACAAGCCCGTCAATCCGCAGCTTGATAACGCTCACCTCCGGCACAAAGTGACTCTTCACAGCATCAATCGTCTCATTCTTCAACTGCTCATGCGAGAGCTCCTTCTTCGCTTTCATAATCCGCACAATCGCTGCATCCAAATAGTGCTTGCGGTCTCCCTCGATGTGCGATTGAGTTCGCTGGTTTTCCTCAGCCTAAGCAGGACGACCAACCGAATTAGAGGTGTAGATGCGCTTCACCAGAAGAAGAGAAACCTACCGTCTCCTTCGCTTGAATAGAGTTGATGTGCACCTTCGCCCGCGCATCGGTGAATTCCGGATTAAAGTAAAAGACATCGTCATCGTTCACATCCTTTCCTACCGGACGCTTCTTCAACACCTTCTTGTTCGCGCACGCCAGACTCTGCAATGTCCTCCTCAGCTCCTCGTCATCTATTGAGACTCACATCAGTATCCTGTAACAGTCGTGAACAATAACCGATACTTGCCCATACGTGTCTCCTCTAAGATGTGTCTGAACCCGATCTCTGTCTCCTTGTTGAAAAGAAGCAGCACGACAGCTTGGTATAAGCTGACCGTAAGATCCTTAGGACCAGCCGCAAACCGCGCCTTTACCGTAGCTGTCCCAAGCGAATGATCCCAATCGAGTTTGTGCCCCTGATGTTTGATCTTGTAAAAAGTCGCGTAATTGTCCAGATCTGCTTGCATCTTATATCATTGTCATGAGTTCACGAGGACACCGTGTCAGAAACCGCATCACTCACTGGAGAAGGCAAGTCCACGCCTTTCGTTCGCGTAGGGAACGGCCAGACGCTGAGTTGCAAAACCATAACAGAGAGTTTCTGCGCGGAGCTATCATGCCTGATACGAGTGTGGTACTCCCGCATGATATCTCGCGATAGGGCAAGGTCGTTGAACATATGATCTCCCATCCCAAACTCCGGATCATATTCTGCCCAAGAACGATCAGCACGCGACTTAAAAACAAAAAACACTCTATCACGTACTCTCTTTGAGTTTCTTGAGCATGGCCTTCTCAAAATCATCAGAGGCGCTGCGTTCCAGCAACAATCTCTTCGCTAGCGCCCGATGATAAAATGTTCTAAACACATCCTTATCATCTGTAAACCTATAAAGCGCAAGAGCAGCATCCAGCAACGCCTCAAACGCAGCATCCGAAACGCCCCGCTGTCCATGGCGCATGAGTCTATCGACATGCTTCGCAATCTGCTCAGCAGGCTTATTGCGCCGCGCCTTGAACCCCTTGGTGAACGCATCGATGAGCCCGTAGGCAAAGTCTTGGTTGTTTTGCTTAGTGGAGGGATTGACGAATGCTTCCTTGAGTGTTGTGTCCGCGAAGGACTTGAATTCGAGGAGACGGTTGACCATTTCATCATCCTTGGATGCATCTTTCACGATATCTTGAACTGTTCTCTAGAACATGGTTATATCAGCGCGAGCTCGGGAAAGAGATGATAAGACACCTGCCTGGACGTAAGCCTTGAACTCCCGGCAAAGCACGGGCAGGCCGTCTACTGATGCAAACAGCGCATACGCTTTCTTGAGATCAGTCGTACCCTTACACTCCATGAACACTGCATAATAATTTCAATACGACGACCCCATGAACTCAGTCACACTAACCTTCTTTAGCCATCCACTCTAGCCTCCCCTCGAACAGCGCCCGAATGGCGGTATCCTTTACAAGGGCGACCGTACCATCAGGCATCACATCCCTCGCTCTACCCTGTTCCTCATTCGTCCGCTGGTTGCAGTGCGCGAGGAACACCTTCGCCTTGGCTTTCTCAACCTCGACCATCTGATACGACTCTTTTGAGAAATACTCCCGAGTCTGCTCGATGAAGTGTCGCTCGAAGATAGCGTCGTATACGTAGTGTGTGACGAGGTGGGAGACGAGCTCTTTGAGGAAGGGGCGGTTGATATGTACCTGCCTGGTTGATGAGTGAGTGTCTTGTGCAGGCACGGACAGATGAAATGAATATTAGACAACGTACCCCTCGTTCCTCTCCCATGTAACCCATGTAGAGATTCCTTTCTGAAGCTTGTCCACGACTGATATAACCACTAAATATGCGCTCTCTGAAGCGAGTGAATGCAAGATCGCTGAAGTTCTGAGCGTCAACACATCGAAATAGCTTTCGTGAAAGAAAACTTACCGAATAGAAAGAAGACTAGGATTCTTTAGCACATAAGCACGATCGAGGTAGGTAAGGAGCGATTCCAGGAGTGCCTTGACGTGAATCCATGAATCAATAACCTAACGAATCCCCGAATTCACTGTATGTCACTCACCACTTGTCCTTCGAACCACGTACAGGTCTCGACGAACTGTCCGACCCACTCTACACCCTCCTTATTGGTTTTCTCAAGCTCTTCCGCCAGCCGATTGACGCATTTATGGATCTCGACTTTCAACATCTCATACAGGCCCTCGCCCCTCCCAGCAACACACACAACGCTCCGGCATGCAGTGTAGACACCCTCATACGTCGTACTCAGTTCATCAGATCCCTTCTCCAAAAGTGCCCTGATGCTGCGCGATAGCCGCACGAACAAGTTATCATAAGCCTTGTTCAACGCAGATCCGACCACACCGCCTACAATGCCCATTATGCTCCCGTGAGTACCACACCCTGAGAACAAAATGAAATGCGAACCCGTAAAACCGTGCACCTGAATCCTTACTGGGCCGCCTCTGTCGACGTTCTTGCCTTTGACACTATTGCGCGACCTGGATGCAGAACCGGAGTCTGAGTCGGCGTCCAGGCGCGGGGTTTTGCGTGGATGAGATGCTGACCGATCGTCAACATCGACTACTGTAGACCGGTAGGCCGTGAATGCCTTGGATGTGTCTGGAAATGTGAGCAGGCTGATCACATCAGTCATCTCGCATAAGTTGATAGTTACTGGAAGTCTTATGTAAACTTGCTAGAGGACTTATTGCTCGGTATGTCTTCCCTTCCCACCCACTTTTATTTTCAAAGTCTTTCTCATCGAGATGAGCACACTTTCCACCAATTCAAAACTTTGTTATCGTTGTTGTTCCTATATTCCTGTCCACCTCACTTGATAGTTCTTTCTTTGTACAACCGCTCGCCCTCTGCTTCGCACAACCAGCCTATTTCTTTGTACAACCTCCCACTTTCTTTGTACGACTGCCCTCCTCGCTATACACGCCGATCGTGTTCTATGACAGGGAATCGGATATGACACATGTACTTTTGGTCGCATTTGTACTAATCAGTGAATTGGAAGAAAAGTTGTCATGTCGTACTTACGGTCGAGCGTGGTGTTACTGCGATCACTTAGAACTAGTCAAATGGACGAGGATGAAGGACTCACCTGAATCTACTTCATAAGCTTGCACATACTCTTCACTAGCAGGAATATCCACGCTAGCACTGCGCTTGGCCTTTCCAATGCACTACGGCTGGCTTCAAGCACTTCCTTGCCTTTCCCTTTCCCATCCACTGCTCCAATCAATCCATCCCTCCTCTCTTCACTAATGCCAATTCCAAGCGCTCTAACAAAATCTGGTGGACGTGGACTCAATCCAGGAGACGTAGGAGGCCTCGCAAGCGGGGCAGAACTTATAGAATGCGCATTTCGCCTGTGTGATTTCTGAACTGGTGCAGGTGCTGACACTGCTGAGTTGGGCGTTGTATTGTTTGGGCGGGTATTGGTGAATGTAATTGCGACGGTGAATGGTTCGCCTGCAAAGTGTGCGCTTTGGTTAGGGATACTTTGACTTTGAGAAAGGGATCTGTGTCTGCTGCGCGTTAAGTATACGTTTGTATTATTGTGCTGGAGGAATCTCGAATTCGATTAGAGTCTGGGTTGTTTGGGAGTATTTGGACGTCTCAGTTGATCGATCGTGTTCAAGGCAGGGTTAGCCTCGCCCGCTGCTCTTCGTGAACGGTGACAAAGCGTGTGTTCCAGCCTACCTTCTTTTTACATAATTTATCGGACAATTTTTACGTTGCCAAGGGTAAATCTCAGGATAATTAATGTTCTTCCTCAGCGTCTTCACTTTGGTGCTGCCCAAGTGGCGGTGTTAACCACATGTGTATTACCATCTTCCTTGTCGTTCGAGGCATCTGAAGCCTCGGTTTCTTGTACAAGCTAGTCCACTAAACCGGCAACTGGACAACGACACGACACTCGCTCGTTTCAGACACCAACATCAATTCAAACCAGAAACCCGATCGACCCGTCAAACGTTTAGATCGAACTGCAGGGTCCATCGCCTTCAAGCACACTCGGGCATCAGCTCGAAGTCTTGCAGAACAGCGGACACGTTGACGAGTATTAGGAGGCACGGCGTTTCAAACTTTGCCCTGTACTTGCCTGATTTTGAATTGAGGCTAAGTCTGTCGAAGCTTTAGCCGGGAGTTTGAAGCATTTAGCTGGTGTTTAAGCGAGTTTTCAAAAGTTTCAAATTTTGTGTTGAGTATCATTATTAATGGTGTCTGATCTAGAGAGCCCGGAACACATGAATACGTGATGGTGTTGGACTTTTGCACCTTCAATCGCTGAAGAGGGTGGAGTCATCTGCCTTTTGTATCTGCCCGATTGACGGGAGTGCATCGAGGACACGCTGGAGGTAGCAGGTGATTGGTGGGTGCGACGAGGAGAAGAGTGTGAATTAAGATTAGCCGATGCATGGAACCTCGCTGGGTGAGGAAATATGAAAGCAGCTATCATCTTGGATAACACAGCCCACCACTCACTGAGGGCCTGATCTTGGTACCGATCAGAACCCTTGGAGTACTACAAGTCGGTGGACGATTATTGGACGATTAGATCCTTCCCCTCTGCCCAATATGATCCTGTGCAGCTGCAACGCCTCGAGGCCTGTACTAATAATGGCCTATTATTTTATATAAATGATGTAAGACCCTTCCCAGTATCTTGCCTGCTATTCACAATGAGAAGAGGCAACTCATCGATTCAGAGGGATTCGACTCTCGCAACTAGCGAAGTAACAGCTCGTGGAGGCTCGGTACGTGACTGATGGGGATCACTCATTCCACTCCATTCCAAGCACTGACGCATCCTTCGTCTAGCACCGACCTCGGGGAAGAGTCGGTCGGCTTCTGCAGAAGATCAAGAGAAAGTTAAGGATTTTGGTGAGTTCACGAGCACTATATTGAGTATCCTGGAATACGACTAAGATTGCCATAAGCGCTCGAAGGATTCCCACGGCAGCAACCCTGTTCCCCCGAATGTCGATCATGACCGTGCTTCATCGACCCCGAATCTCGAGGTAAGTTTTTATACTTGTCCTCCAATCTCTGTGCTCTCTCTAAATTCTGGTGGTCGCGCAGGTTCAGGCAGCTCCGTCTGGTGTGGAAGTGGAGGCTGATACTACCCAATTGGCACTTCGGGATGCACAACAGGCTACAACACGCATGCATCCACTTTCGGGGGCTGTGACATCCGTGGTTTCTCTTGTTCAAGACACACCAGAAGATCTCGGTGGTGTTGACAGTTTCCAGGACACATATCTTGAACCCCTCAGGAAATTCGACACCGCTATCGAAAATATTGCGAACGTATGCAGGCTCCCCTCTCCATCAAAACCGAACTAATATAGTTCCACAGGTACGTCCATATGCAAAAATGGCACTGGGCGTCTTGTCTTTTGCAGCCAAAGTGTGTTTTCTCTTTATCTCTTCCTATCTCCCACCGCTCAGCAATCATTTGCACAGATTATTCTAGCTCAGGCGGATCGCGACGCAGCGGTACTCAAACTTCTCAAGAAGTTATCTGAAATTTACGAGTTCATGACGCAAGACGAGAAGCTTCACCAAATTTTGTCGATGCACGCTATCCTTGGAAAGATTTCTCAGCAGACTCGTGAATGTGCTCAATTTATCGCAGATTATTCGAAGACCAAGAATTTTTGTGAGTCTTAACAAGCTGTCACCCTCTTTACCGTCTCAAGCTTCTACTGTCATTACAGGGAAGAGACTTGGAAAGGACGTCGTCTCGGAAACAGACGATACGATCAAAAACTACAATGACGTGTTCGATAGGCTCATGCAAAACTTCCGGGACCAGGTTGCTCGCGACGTAGCCATAGGCGTCCATGACATAGGCACGCACGTCAACAACACAGCCATACACGTCCATCGTATGGGTAAGGGTTCGGACGTCCTTGTCACTTCACATTTATTTATACCTTCTCAGAAGAACCATTGGACCTCAGCGGTATGACTTATGCAGATCGCGCGGGACTAGATACCAGAAAAGAATGCCTTCGAGGGACGCGCACAGAAATCCTTTCCCAGATCACGGAATGGGTCAACAGCACTGGGGACAACGTTCCACGCGTGCTGTGGCTATCTGGCCCTGCAGGCAAGGGCAAATCGGCCATCGCCCACACCATTTCTAAGTGGTTCAAAGACGTGGGAGGGCTTGGTTCGTGTTACTGTTTTGACCGAGGAGTAGATGGTCGTCATGAAAAGATCTTTTCCACGATTGCGCGCGACCTGGCTGACCGTGATCCGGAGATGAGGCGGGCATTAGCAGATGCAGTCAAGACCGCGAATTCGCTCAAGAATACAGCGGATATCATCCAGCAGTGGCAGAGCCTTCTTGTCGAACCACTAGGGAAGTCAGCCGGGTCAATTGTGGGACCCATCGTGATCGTGATCGATGCACTAGACGAGAGCGGTGGAGTAGAGACACGAAAAGACCTCCTCCGTATTCTAGCTGGCAAACATCCAAACCCTGACGTTCCAAAAATTACAGACCTTCCTGGCAACTTCCGCTTCATCGTTACCTCTCGCCCACTTGATGACATCAATGATGAATTTCACGGTGTTCCGCATATTCGACAGATGTCGATGGATGATATTCCGCCAGCATTCACAGAGCGCGACATCCATGCTTACGTATCCAAGGAGTTGGAGCGGCTGGATTTCCAGGATAGAGAGTTCGCAGTCCTCGCTGAGAAAGCTGATGGCCTTTTCGAGTGGGCGCGTCTCGCTTGCGGATACATCAAAAAGTCCCATGTGGGGCTATCTCCAAAGGATTGCTACGAGACTGTGGTGTCACGTGATCCCGCCGAGAGAAACCCGCTATTGCACAACATGTATGACCTTGTTTTAACAGATATCATGCACGGGGATACATCTCTTTATACGCCGAATCAGCGTTTGACGAAGCTGGCAAGATTTCGCTCAGTGATGGGACAAATACTAGGCACAGCTGAACCCCTTCCTTTAGCTTCTCTGAAAGCCATGAGGTCCCATTTTCCAAACGAAGAGGACCATTTCGACGTGGAGCTTGTGGTAAAAAACATGGGCTCCCTCCTCAGCGGCACCACCAACCCAGATTTCCCAATCCGACCCCTCCACGCGTCCTTCCATGATTTCTTGACGGACAAAGAATCCAGTAAAGAATTTTTCATCGACCTCTCAAGGGCGCAACGCGACCTTGCATTCGCGTCACTTCGAGTGATGGAACACGGTCTTCGCTTCAATATCTGTGCTCTAAAGTCGTCGTATCTACCTAATAGCAAAGATCCCGGTCTACAAGAACGAATTCGGGAATGCATCTCCCCACATCTGTCATATTCATCTCGATTTTGGACGTCGCACGTACGATCCACCGCCTTAGACAAGGAACTCGCGAAAGAAGTGGAACTGTTATTCGACCACGAGCGGGTGTTTTTCTGGCTGGAGTCACTCGCCCTGACCAATGCGCTCAGCGGTGCGGTTGGTGCCCTTCCGCTCATTTCCCAGTGGCTAAAGGTGAGCACATTGCTACAAGGTGTCAGGTAAAGCGCTCATGGGCAACCACAGGGCCATCCGAAATTCAAAGATGTCTCGTCGACTGCAATGGACGTGCAGAGGTTCATCCAAGTCTTCGGCGGCATTATTTTATACAGCACACCACATCTGTACATATCAGCACTCTCATTCTCGCCTGCCAACTCTCCCCTATCGAGAAGGTTTTCTGCACGGTTTCCGAATACTCTTCGTGTGGCATCTGGACGTGATAGAAATTGGCCGGCTGTTCAGACCGTGCTCAGGGGGCACACTTCTGGAGTTTCGTTAGTCTCGTTCTCGCCGGACGGTACTCGCATCGTCACTGGTTCAAGGGATAAGACTGTTCGGCTGTGGGATGCAGGGACGGGGGAGCCAGTCGGTGAGCCCTTGCGGGGGCACACTGATTCAGTTTGGTCGGTCTCGTTCTCGCCGGACGGCACTCGCATCGTCACTGGTTCTTGGGATAACACTGTTCGGCTGTGGGATGCAGGGACGGGGGAGCCAGTCGGTCAGCCCTTGCGGGGGCACACTGATTCAGTTTGGTCGGTCTTGTTCTCGCCGGACGGCACTCGCATCGTCACTGGTTCAAGGGATAAGACTGTTCGGCTGTGGCATGCAGTGATGGGGCAGCCATCGCAACAGTGCGCTGAGTTAGGTCATCCAGCATTCTCAGATGAACATCGCACGATCGAAGCTGCCACTACCATGACATTGAACACTCCGAACAATCACTTCATTCGCTTCTCGTCCAACTCTATCCATGCGCTCTGCGACACTTCCGAGTTAATGGAGGGGGGATCCCATGACGACCGCAGTTCGACCCCCTTTGTCCTGGATAGTGACAGTGGATGGGTGACAGGACCCAAGCGTCGGCTGTTATTTTGGGTACCACCCGCTTCTCGACATTCATTTTGGAGCCCTGGAACTGCATTGGTGATACCCAGTGGTGCTGAGCTTGATTTGAGCCGCATGACACATGGACAACACTGGCAAAAGTGCCGAGAGGAGTGAGTCTTTTTGAAACCCTCCTCGTTCCTTGCGCTTACTAAAATCAACACTTGCAGACCTTAGTACCAACGATGATCGCAGCAATGTATCCATTATGAAGATTTCAGATGCAATTTACATGTGACCGAGTGTACAGTAGATCTTACTTCGTATTCTATTCTCTACCCAGCATATATCCTGAGTTTAGGGTTGTCCATGCGAGCTGACTGTGTAGCAGTACTCAAGATTTTCGTGCTAGTTCGTGAGAGCACGTAATGACGGACAAAGCATGCCGATTCCATCAGAGACGCAGTTGCGTGTGCCGTGGGTTGTGTTGAAGTGATGCATAGCATCGGTGCTTCCTCATAGCGAACTGAGAAACTGAACAGGATACCGTTGTTGCGGTCATCTGTGCACGTGGTCGTTCAAGTCGGGTACATTCAAAGTGGACTAAAAATCCGAGATAACAGGGTAGGATGGAACACGTAGTTCATCGCAAGTGTTCACTGCACAGTACAACCTGTAATCGCGATATCCGCGACGAAAGCGGTGAGAATGAGATTGCTATGAAATTGATGCGTGTAGGATGCAATGAAATGTAGGGCCTGAAAAAACAACTAGAGGGAAAAGCACTGAGCGAGAGCAAGCGGACGGGGGATGAAATCGAGGCGATACGAAGAGTAGAGGCTAACATGGGAAGTTCCGGCACGATAGATGACATTGAATTGAGGGTGATATTGGACGCAGGTGCATCATGGTGTCACAACGGACATCCTCGTCAAGGAGCTCTTCGGTAGTCGGTCCCTGGAGACTCAACAAGAAGAGTATACAATTGAGTTCCATTAGTAAGTCTGCATTGAACTCGCGATAAATGTGTGACGATGTGAATCTCTGCATATGAGACTAGGAGAAGTAGACGCGACTCATCATTGGATGGTGCATGCTGACAATTTCCGTAGCCTTTCCGATGCAAAAATAGGAGGGCTCAGCGTACTATGCCGTGTCTTCATTTCCGCAGAGGCGTGAACACATATGCGAACGATCGCAGTTGGAGGAGAGAATATCAGGGTCTTGATATCATGTCTGCGAAGTTTAACGCACGAGTCGTACTTTGAGAGGAACTGTTATTTGGATCAGATGACAAGGCCACGGGACAGTTGATCGTCTAAGGTCTGCCTAGGGAAGATGGAGGATATGTTTATAGAAAGAAAGGCGATTGAGGTACTTACCACAGTTGAGATGAGGCCGCGCACCTGACAGATATGAGGCAGTTGTGTATAATCTATACTCACTGCATCCCAATTTCCTAGTTCCTTGACGACTATCTGGACGCACCTCAAGTACAGTTCGGCGAGTTTTGATTTCAACTGGTGCAAGACTCGATTAGAGTTTCGATTGTTTGGGAGTGTTTGGTTAGCCTTTGGACGTCTCGGCTGACAGTGTTTTACCTTTAATGTGTCGCCCGCCGCTCTTCGTGAACGATGACTGGATGCAGATTAATCGTCTTTCTGCTGGAATTCAGCCTGAAATACTCACTTTGATCGATCAGATCTTTCAAATCACACTTCTGCAATGTCCATCGAGCACGAATGCGATCATTATATATGTCCACCAAGTTCTTCCGCTCGCTCATTCCGGTCCTCTAATAGCATGACTCTAGTCTCGAACTCTAGCTCCTACAGCAAGGCATGAGCATTAATGTTACAGGAAAGGTGAAGACCTCGTTCACCGCTCAGCAAGCAATTGGACCTTGCATTATCAGTCCATTATTGTTTTCGCTCTTTCAAGTTTTCTGCAGATCGGTGCGACGGGCGGGTGATTGATCATTGATCATTACCGAGCGGTGCTGGACAAGCGAGGTACGTTAAGTGTACTCGAATTTAGTTCTGCCGCTCATAACCGGCAAAACAGGCAAAACTTTAGGCGCCCAGCTAGGCTATGTGGACTAGCCTATGTGTACGACATGTCACATTCCTAACGATGTTGTCTCGTCCTGGCATCCGTCACCCTCGCCTTTTCAACTCTTCCCAGCGTCTGCGGCTTTTACGGCGCTGTGGTTTCCCTGAGGTTTGCACGAATTTTGCCGAGTGTTTCGAATGTGTCAACTGAGAGAATGCCCTTGTTACTGCAAAGAACTTCAGTGGGTGGATTTCGGATTGTCACGACCCTGGATTTGAGCACCTAATGATCGATAGGTTATGAGTGTCACCGCAATATTCTCGTTCCAGGCGCTCGAAATTGTCGTTGATCGGTAATGCGAGGGGGCGCCCTCCAGCATGCACCATCTTACTAAGTCAGGGACGTCGGTCTTGACGTTCTCTTGAATTCAGATATGTTATCAGAGATCCAAATCACATCTCCACGAGTCTCGGATACCCTGGAGTTCTGCCAGGTTCGGCCACCCCGCTTTCGTGTGAGTTCTGCCGCGGAGCAGGCACAACCAGTTTTGCCAAACCGGTCGGCAACACTCCTGAGCTCTACCAACAATACGAGCTGTACGTCGTACACTTCTCCTATTTTGGAGCCAAAGCTCCTAGGAATGATAAAAGGTCACCTATAAGGCTACGACTCTATTGTACACCCTCTTGTTGAACTTGCGGACACCGAGAACCTACCTTCAACAAGATGGCTACGCCCACAGTTTCAACCTTCGTTGGTTATGTGATCCTGCAGCCCATCATCGTGGGGATGAGCACTGCTGTGCTCTCTTCCTTCTTGTCCTACGAAATCGCTGGACAGGTTGACTGGAGGCCGGTAAGCCTTCTGTTTGTTGATTCCAGGCCTTACAGTCTTTCTAATTACATAGCGTAAAAGATCACCGTATGCTCGACATGTGACATTCTTACTGGCAGTTTTGACCACCTGAAAGATCAAGAAGTTGTCATCGGTGCCCTGGATGCGGCTGCCACGAGGCGCTTTACCCCCCTGCTCCGCCTTGCTCGTATTTTTCTGGCGTTAAATGCGTCGCTGCTTGTTATGGCTTTATGTCGAAGTCCATCAGAAGTGACATTCATCACCGTGGTTTTTACTGCCCCCGCTTTCCTGTGGGCGACGCCGCTTGATCTTCAGCGGATCGGCAGGTTATTGAGGAAATTCATACGGGAAAATTATGATCAAGAAGTGGAATATGATTCACCCAGATCTAAGGAACCATTCATCATCAAACGAATTCCTGGCGTGAAAGCTATATTGGATGGTATCATTCTGAGGTACGTGCTGTCGCATTTGACCATTTGTTGTTTTTGACTTGAAGATAGTTGTATGCCTTTCTTCGTCGTCCACTCAGCACTCCAGCTATCATGGCAATCAGCCTATAACACACCCCCATGGATGGTCAATCGCATTTGTCATTGTGTAACACGATTTTCTTCTTGTGAATGAACTCCCAACTTACGGTCTTTTAAAGATTATGGCCGATGTACGTGACTATGACGAGGACAAGAAGACTGGAGTCCCGACCATACCCATTCTTCTAGGGTCTCCCCTTAAGACCCGAGTAGTCTTGACTGCCGTTCAAGCAGTTATGATGGCCTTCCTCCATAATCCATTCATTGTAGGGAGTTCCTGCTTCGCAATTGCTCTTGTTTGGATTCTAGGGAAAGATTCTCCGAAAGCTTACTTCCGTTTCAGTCTTCACTCACAGTCGATATTCATTATCATGTACGCTATTATGTTCGTTTTGCTCTAGAACATCTGTAACGCTCGCCAAAAGCCATTGTCTAATATTAGTTACCATCACCAATATTCTCGTTGGCACCTGTTGGCACACTTGATCTTATCCCATATGTTTTCTCCCTTATTCCATCACATCCCTTATTCTACAGTATATAAACTCGCCTTGATCTACTGCTTGAGTAGCCGACCCTTTCCCCCCGAATACACGCTTAGTTCGGCCAGTTTACCCTGTTTAATTCCCAAATCTCCAATTCTCGCGACTCGCGTGAACGTTACGCCACAACCTCTTATAGCGCACATCGAATACGCACACAAATATCGTAGCGCTGGCCAATACTCGAGCAACTATCGAGCTGATGAGCACTGAAGCATCTGATGTACCCGAATAAAAGCATCATTTGTATTTGCTACGCTTGAGCTGGTGTCGGAGTTCGAAAACAAACAGAAATGTCCCAAGTACGGTCCTGAAGACACTGCCGCTTCACTAGTCAGCTGAGTGGGCGCCTGGCCAGTTAAAATTTACTACACATGTCATATATTGTGTTTCCCAAACATAATTGAGAATACATATCAATCAGTACCACGACGAAACTTTGGAATCCAAACAGCATTCTCAACCTCCCTACAACGTCATGGAGCATTTCTTATACTACACCGCCACCAGTCGACATGGGTGCGTGCTCCTGGAAAGCAATTGTAGTCATACCAGTTGCATCGTTGAAATCAGCCACGAGCTTAGTGCTGTGCTCTCGAACGCTAAGGACAAGCCGCGGTCCCAGCAAAAACATCTGCAAAAGCGCAGAGATTAGTCAAATACCGTAATAAAGCTCATCTCCCGCGGAACTTCCGTTCTGCACAGTTGAGGAGCAGTCAGATGCATGTGAGTCAGCTATGGATGAGCGTACCGGCAGATTTGGAGAGAGGAAGCTAATGTGGAAGGAAGCAACGGCAGCAAAGCTAGAACGTGCGGAACTTCAGCGTTAAGAAGATATGTCACTCCAAGAAATTACGAGCTCACCTTGCAAAGTAAAATACATGACTTTTTATTAACACCGTGAAACAGTCCTCAATATCGATCCTTGATATCGTCCGGAATGCTTATAGCGATCCGGACTGCAAGATACAATGCGAGGGCTTCCCATACAGTGCCAAGTATCCAAGTGACGGCTGATAGAAGTAGGCTGTTTCCCCCGTAATTGCACTGACAGGTACCGGAGAGGATGCGCTCCTCTGTTATTTGTCTTATGAGCCTGACTCTGTGAGGTCCATCGTGCATTACCAAAGCTTACCTCCTGTAAGATGCAAGCTTTGTACTACCGTGATTACTCCGCTGGTGATCGTCACGGCAAGGAAAAATACAACGAGAAAGATGAGCATCTTCCTCGATCGCTGATACATGGCATGCAGCCGGGTGATCATGATCACTTGCATGATGTTTCAGCCAGGCTAATAACACTAGTGATGCACTGAAGCTAAGTAGCTCACCGCCTAGGATGATGTTTGCGATGGTGAACATCCACCATTGTTCGAAATCAAAAACAGTGCCTGAAAAACACAATCAATGATGAGTATTATAGGGGACCAAGTCCAATCTCACAGCTGTTCAGATATTACATTTAATCAACAATGTCGAGAATATCGCTCACCCCTAAATGGGTGAATTGAGCGAATTGGACTGTAATGGTACGCATTGCTCGGATCACTCACAGCATCTGTCACGGAGAGTGTCGTGATACCTGCTACATGCCACAGTTTGGTACATGTGGGAAGAACGAAAAGTGGGAGAGACACACCGGCACATTGATCCTGGTTACGAGAGATAGGCTTGTTAGCACAGTGCCAACGTGTCGACCACGTAAACATACACAGAGTATATTATTCCACCGTAGCGCAGCTAGGACGTCTTAAGGTAAACGCACTTCCCAATTATAACTTGGTAAGGTATGTACACCGAGATATAAGACACTCATGAGGGACCAGCGTCGTTTCTATCTCAAATTCATACCGTAAATCATTCGGTTGTCCTTCTAACATAGCACTGTGCTCACCCAGACCAGTTCAAACTATAGGACTATTAGTAGTGAGACGGTCGCTCTATCAATGACAACACCTACCTCTTGTTCGAATGTGAGTGCTTGGGAGTAACATAGAAACATCAGGAACTTCCTCAGTAACTAGCAACCCGACTGTGTTTTGCTCACCCCAATCATATATCACCGCAACAGTGGACGCAACTGCGGAAATAATTACTAGAAGTCAATGATAGAACCAACATCAACCGGCTTGCTTGGGCCACGAACCTGTATAATAGCTTTCAACGCGATCAAATTCGATAGTCGGCCACCAGTTGGGATCGTTTGAGACTAGGGTCATATTGAAGGAGAGCGGGGTCAATGAGTGGCGGACTCAAATACCTGAGTAGTGAGCACTCACGAGTACTAATAGTAATCATGAAACACGATGATGCCATCATAATATGGCTATAGATCGCGAAGCTTAGCCCAACTTCTTGATGGAATTTCGGCTAGGAAAAGCTAGTGGGCGTGATATAAACACCACGTTTCAAATTTGAAACCTTTTCGTGGTTTCGTCAGCGATTCTAGTAGCAACTTGTCCCTAATGCCGTTCTCGACAGCTTCTTGCATTTGCGGCCGGCTCATCAGGGAAATGCTGTAAAATCGTTGTCGGAGAGCAATAACAAGCACCAGCGCGACATGATAAGTTATACGATAATCTATCATTGGTCACAATATGTTGGAGGACAATGATGACTATCCTTCGTAGTAACTCTCAGTCTGCTAATGGAAGGTGCAATGGGGGCTACGAAAGGTTTGTCAAATTCAGTTGGTAAGACTCATCTACAAAATAAGTAGACAGCTAAGGAGTCTTGGAAAATGCTGGATGATCTTAGATGATACATGAACTTGTAAAGAGCTAGATGAGACTTGCTATTTAGCAACTTGAGCAAGGTTTAGCGTCTCCGCATTCAAGCAATATGTCCGCATCAACCCACCTCATCCGAACGTCAGTGCTTGAGAATAACACAAGAACATCAATCATTTCCGCAGTAAGTACTGTGACCACCTCGCTCACCCAATCGTATCACCGCAACAGAGGATGCAACTGCGAAACCAATCAAAAATAGAGCAACAGATATCCATCTGGCTAGCTTCGCGAACCTGAATAATAGTCACCATCACGATAATCTTGGGTTGGCGGCTACGACCTCGGGTCCTTTGCAAAGGCAGTCATATTTGAAGGATTGGTGTCAGTGTGTAGTGAAGTCTCTGTGGACACATAATGATGCTGTTCTATGTGAAAATATGATCATCTAGCGCTTCAATCGGTTCTGAATCCTGATTGACCGCAGTAAGTTTATTGTCTCATGAAATCAAGTCCATGAAGTCACTTGCCTATAAATCTGTTTTGAAAAGCTGTTTGTGCTGCAGCTCGCTGTCAAGGATACCAGGACACCGTGAGTTTTTTCCAAGGCTGTCCTCGAGAGGTTCAGCAGCCTTGAGTCCACCGCGTCAGCAGGATCATCCAAAACCCTTGACACAGGCCTAAATCGACCAGGATCCTCCCACCACCAGAAAGGTCGACAGCAGGAAACTTAGGGCATCGTTAGTGTTAAATGTAAGTGATAATTGGTCACATCTATGGGATTTGAAGCTTTCCAGAAGTGGTAGAAATTTTGCAGTTAAGTCTTGATCGAATTCAAGTCGGAAGATGATAATGACCGCACTAGCCCTCCGAGGCATGGTAAGGTTCAATAAATGAAGCGAGAAATATTCTAGTCGACTCTTCGGCCTGTAGGCTGTCGAAAACGGCTCGACCTCGGTGACGTCTGGAGCGGGGTAGACAGTCTAAGCAAAACAATTAATGTCATGGGAATGCTGGTCGACAACTTGAAGAAACTGTCGTCTTTCTAGAGGTACTATGCAGTAGTAAGCAAATAGAGGCTCCGAGGTGCACGCATCGCGTAGTCATCTGAATCTACATCAACTCCGTTGACCAAGGATGCATTATGACAAAAGCAGGATAAAACTCCGGAAATGTATTTTCAATTCCTTTCATGGACGAATCATCAAAACATTCAATCCAAACATGCGTGAGCAGGCAAAGAACTTTATCATCAACAAGGATTAATCAGTAAATACAAGAATACGCAAACCAGGAGGTGCGAGTCAGGAAAACAGGTAACGTAGATATCAAGTATGATTAGCAAACTGATGGGGCCATTCGGTCTTCTAAAGCAGGTCGAAATTCGTTTCGGGTGAGCATCGGGTAGTGGGTGGCATCGTGGCAGTGTCGTGAGTGTCATGAAATGTTCTAATGGCGTCGTAGCGTCAAGAATGTTGTGGGCCATAGGGGTTAGCATTGGTCGTGAGTATCGTGAAATGGTGTTGTCCGAGAGCGTCGTGGCGTCGTTTGTGTGCTGTCTTGAGTGTCGTGATTGGTCTTACTTGGTGGTGTCGTGGCGTTTGAATTGTCATGCGTGTCATTAAATGGTCGTGATGGTGTCGTACTCTTATCGTCGGCTTGTGGCCCATGTTAAGCAAGTTTTGAATGTCATGGGCCATAGTGATTAGCATTGTCTGTCGTGAGTGTCATGAGATGGTCTTTGTCTAAGCGTTGTAACGTTGTTTGTGTACTGTCTCCACTGTTGTGAGTGGTCCTGCTTGATAGTGTCGTGAGATTTGTAGCGTAATGTATGTCATGATGGTGTCGTATTCTTCTCGTCAGTCTGTAGCCTGTGACTTTGGTGGCTTCTTGCAGGGTCGTTGTTAGTAGGTGGTGGTTGTCAGTGTTGTAGTTAATAGCGAAGCCGCGGCGGGCGTAAGATGCTGGGGATGTTGGGAAGTGCATCGCCAGGGTAGTGAAGGTAGAAAGGTGGTGGTGGCTGGAATCGCGGCTGCGACTGCATTTGTTCGATGGCAAAGTGACGCAAGGCGGGCCTTGATTCGCGAACCAGGCTCCAAAATTGACAACGCGTCGAATGTAAGAGAGACCGGCGATCCTGGCGACGTTCGATGATTGCCAGCCAGCATCGAGGTGAGCCCCACCTCCGTCATGGCAGTGACCCATGCGTCACTGACGTCTGCTTTGTCGACACGGATCCGTTCGCAGACTTGCGTAAGGTGGCCAACTAGTAGTACTGAAATCAATAAGGTATGACCGTGAAGAGAAATGACTGACTGATTCTGTCAGCGTGTCGCTGAAGGCGAGAATGCACGATGCTGTGGCAAGCAGCGTTCATTCGCAAAGACATAGGTTTGCGCTAATGAAATATGATGAGTATCATACGGAGTCTGGTATTGAAAACATTCGTACCTTCTGCCACCTGAGTTTGCATGGGCATGACTTCTTAGACTGACATGGAAACACTGTAGGAAGAGGAGTGAGTCGATCGGCAGCGAATTTAGTAATGAGTATCAGGGGCTTTAGCCAGGAGGCACTAGCCTTGGTCTTGTGAGTTAACACGTCAGTGGAATGGGCGGAGCCAGAAGGGTTATTCACAGACAACAACGTTGGGAGGCTACCAAGTGGAGCAAGTAGCCAAAGGTTCAACGGATGAGGGAGCGTTGTGGATAGGGAGGGCATTGTCGATAACGAAAGCATTGTCGACAGTGAGAGCTGGCGCGCGTGGGCGTAGATGTGGCATTCAATGTCTTTCGTGTCCACTGGCAATGCCTCATCAGTGCCAGTGAAGATGCCCTCTGAGTGTTTGAAGTTGTCATTGGGGACTATGGACAGACTACTGTGCAGGGAATTGACGGTCTTCGTCGTCTGAAGCAAGGCGTCCATGAGGTGTACAGATCTGGGGATGGAATGGTTAGTAATAGGCGTAGGCGTTGTCCGACATTTGTCGTTTAACAGGACAAGCGGCCGAATATACGGCGTACAGAAGGGGCTAGTGATGTCGATAGTTGTGCTTGGGGCTGGGATGTTGACGTGGTCGTTGTTCGAAGTAGTGTGTGCTGGTACTTGCATCCCGAGGTGTGGCATAACATAGTTGCCCTGTAGTGATCCAAATGTTAGGCAACGGCAAATTTATGTATGATACTTCATACCTTGTCAGAGAAGACGTCCATTGAATCATCGTCGCTGGCGACCAGAGTAGTTTCGGATGCGATTGAGAGTCGTTTACAAATGGCGAGATTCGGCAAATCGAGGGTAGTAGTGATGTCACAGGGCGTTGATTCCAGTACAGGTGACGATAAATAATGTTGAAATGGTACCAAGACGTCCTTCAAGCGGTCGTCGTCGCAGGCTACAAGGGCAGCATCCGGTGTGATAGAGGCGCTTACAATTGGGGAAGTATGGCAAATCGAGAGTATTAGTAGTGATGTCGCAGGGCGTTGTTGATCTGAATACAGGTGACGATGACGGTGAAGATAACTGAAATGATAGAAAAAACTTCTGGACTAGAACTGGCCATACAGAATTCGCGGGCGGGTGACAATCCGGAGTGCCCTGATGTAGCTTGTATGCCGGGCACGCAGTTCCGAGCAGCCTGGGTGCTGTCGGGACGACATCGGGAATGTGCCCGCCAGCGGAGGGCGCACTGGCATCATTGCTCAGATAAATAGATGCGGCTTCGTCGGCGGCTAGGATCAAGATAATTGTCGACTTGAACGCCGACAGGACGAGGCCGGCGGAGACCTTCCTTGGTCCAGATCGGATTGGACGGAGAACCGTTTCCTCGAAGAACGCTACCGAGATAAAGCCCGTAATGGCTAGGCGCGAAACAATGTAGAAGGTAGTAGAAATCATAATATTGGCAGAATATCGTTTGAAGGTACGGCGTGCTGTTGGCGTGCTGGCAAGATATTCGACGGGGCGATTCCAAGATGTCCCGCGTTATTTACACCGGTCACGATATTTGTGCGTGCTTGCCCACTGGATAAACAAACCCGATCGCGACGCGTCAGTCACGTGCTGCAAAATCAACCTATGCATGCATTGTCTTGGAAAGTTAGAAACGCGGTAGAGATTGTCGATCGCTTTCCTCATATACAGACTATTAGCTTGTTATGTCCAACCCAGAATTTTGCCCCACCTTCGAAGTGATCGGCTCAGGCTATCTCGGAATGACCACCACCTTCAAGCTGTAAGACACTTGTCCGATGCGAGCCTCCCAGTCAGTCCATCCCGCCCTACTACCCCATCGAAGATTTTCATTGTCAAGCGTCGCAAGGTAGACAGGTATGATCATGATGTAGCGTCGTTCTCGAACACTAATACATCTTGTTCGTTTCCAGCGCGTGAAGAATTAGTTGGTTTCTAATATGGATCTGACCGATTCGTCTTGAACGACGTGATACAACCATCGCAATTCCGTGTCTTTTTTTTTCGAAATTGGGTCCTTGTTTCTTGTTTCTTGTTCTCGGTATGTGTTTATTAATGTCACTTGCAACAGAACGTTTGAATACTTTCCAAAAGACGATGGTTCTTCGGCCTAGATTGATCATCGGACAATGCATGCATCATCTCGGGTACATAGATCCTCCAAACGATCCTACGTCCATTTTAACGCATCCGCTAGTGTTATTTTTGCATTCGGGGAGCTCGTCAAAGCTGACTATAACGGACACATCAATTCGTGACTGCTCATTACGAGGTGTGGTGTCGATGATTCGATCTTCTGGGAAAACCGTTCGAGGTGGATTGCATGCACTAGCTTGCATCTGTTCCAGTCCGACCCGTGGTACCTTGTTGTTGATGGTCGAGGCTTTACCGACGCTATGGATCCGCTAGTGTAAAGCGTGGAGGGCCTTACTCATGCGCAGTGCAAGCGCACCTCTGTCACGACTCACGACGGCCTTTCTCTATTTACCATCTACAAATTACAATACAAACACGGCACAAGTGCGCGACCAGTGTATTTGTCCCATCGAGCTTCTCAAGTACCAACACTTTCTTGCAACTGATGGGCGTAGTATGCAACAGTGGACGATCAAATATAGTAGCCCCGGACGTAGCCCTGCTTCCATAAAAGATCTTATTGATCTGACCAGGGGGCCGGCCAGAACCATGAAAAGTAACATCTCTAAAGGAGACTTGTTGTAACCACAAACAATGTAATGCGCAACGTTTACATCAAACCAAATTATATTATATACTCACCATCTCACCATGCGGTTTATGCAGGTGTTGCGAACGTAGTTTTGTCTCAAGGTACACCAAGGCACACCTTTGTACACACATGTCCTTTTTCGTGGACTCATCACCTTATATCACCCCGCAAAATATCCATATCCCCTGTTGAGAATTTGGAATTGATGCCATTCACAGCCCCTCACTCGGTCCGACACCCTTCATTGGTAGACTGTAGTGCACATTGCGGACTCTAGGTGGTCTTGCCAATTACATGGACATGGTACATCTCCGGCACGCGCATCTGATCATCGGAAGTTGACAGGGATTACATCGCTGTATGGGATTGTTAACAATCCTTAGCTGTCTCCTGTGCTGCCGCAATCTTCCAAGGAAGCACACGGGGACTCCTGGGAGCCCAGGTATATAATATAATCATGACATGGTGATATCGTCAAGGACGGCGATCCGTACAGCCCGTGTACAGCATGATCCAATGCATATTCTTAATACCCTCGATATTCAGCGCAATATCTGTTACGATGGTATGGGGCGTTCATCAGATTCGAAGCATGATCGGATGTGTATAGATTATATGCATTTACACTGGTCTGGTCCCAGACTGCAGAGTGGTGTGATCATCGATGTCGATGATGTTCAAATTTACAAACGTTCTAAGATAAACTCCATCTTTACTCAGATCTGTGGTCATCTGGATATCTAGAGCAACATCAGAGTCCTGCGAGATAATGTAATGATCAGGTGGCCGGAGTCCCCGAAATAGTGCAGAGTATCTATCTGCATGATCATGTCACTTGTAAAGCATCCTGATCATGAGAGTGAATTAGAGCTGGTATCTGTAGAAAGTACCGTAAATCACTGTTGTCCATATCATCATTCACGTAATAGTCCTTTTCAAAGTCCTCAATAGCCTTCAGATGTTGGTGGATAAGCCCTTCGCGCGCCACCATATCCTCCTTGTCCGTAACCACCCTGGGCACCATACGCTTGCTTGCCGCCATAATATTGTGTACCACTAACACCGCCCACAAGGCTCGCGGCGCCAGCGTGGTAGCTTGATGCATCCTCCTCGTAATCTGTACTAGGAGCTGTAACTGAAGCCGTGAGAAGTGGGTCCTTAACTTCCCAAACCGCAGCTTTAGATCCAACAGAGAATTCCAGGTCTTCACGCTGTGTAAAATATATATATAGATAGACAGAACAAATAAACGGGGAACAAACGCACCGTGATACTGTCCCAGTATTTATAGACCATCATAACACTCAACAAAACACACAGAGTGAAGAAGAACAGGCCATCCAAGTAATGCGTGATGGCATTACATATGGTGACGCTGAAAGCGAACAGAAGAACTTGAGCAATCGCGTAGAACGCGATTCCAAAGATAATGTCACCGAGGGGCCAGCGGTCGTCAAGAGTCCGGAATACAAGAACGAGTTGTAATATCGTATATGTGGCGACGCACAGGATGGGCCAGATGAGGTAAACGACGAAGAGTGCGATAGGTTTTGATGGGGAGAATGAAACATAAGATTTGAAGGTGGCGATAGAGATGAAGAATGATCCTCCGAAGACGGCAAAACAGCATATCCGGAGGAGCCAAAGAGAAAGAGGTGTCCCGTCTTCAGCGAATTGGAACCCAACGAAGCCGTTGATAAGCAGACAGCAGTAGGCAGTTGCTACTAGACCTGTATAAACTGCAGCAAACCACTACGTACATTTGGTATAGGATCATCGCATGATTTTGCATGATAACTCACGGGATAGCTGACGTTTGCAGTCGGTATGATTCCCGAGTCTAGGAACATTGCGAGAAGTTCGATGACCATGTACAGCCAAAAGAACATCACGATCTCTTTTCGCCCAACTGCGGTATACTTTGAGCGAATATGATAGATCATAATTGCAGTCATGATTATTGCAACGATGTGAACAAAACATGTGGCTAAACGGATAAAAGTCAGCCTCGATCGGTGAGCACACTACACCAATGGTCTCGGAATACATACAAGGCTGGAAGATAACGGTCTGGCCGATTTGAACGTTGCGTGAGTAACATGTAGGCTCTATGCCTTGTCCAGAGGTGCCTATCAATGGACAAATGACGAGAGCAGCAGTGCTACACACTCCATCGAAAGAGCCAAACGTGATGGTCATGGTTCGGCCTAGATAAGGGTAATTAGAAGGGTGTTTTCTGAGCTTTTGATGGGTGAATGTCGGGTGACGTTTGGAGTGTGCGTTGGCAGGGCTCTGGCCTGTTACGTTCAACGCGCTTTGTGAAGAGATTGAACAAAAGTGAGCGAAGCGTGATTAGTTCGAACGATCCAGACAGGATATTTGGCGAGTCTCCAGCTAACTGGCCTGGAAGTAAACCACCTGGCGGGTGGTTGTGTGAAAAGACAGAGAGCGGGCTGGTCGCCCTATGTGAACGGGGTAATACTGTTCAAGCCGAGATGGCAGACAACGACTACAAGGTTGAATTATGATCCCACGCCACCTCCAGGCGAGTCCAGCATGCTTGCCTCTCCCTAAACCCAGTGCAGCAACTTAGAATCGACGACTTGTCCTCTCGTGGTCTTTCTAGGACATCATGATGTTCTCGTCGATCAAAGGCAGCCGGTACGCTCGTTATGTCCACCTGAAATGAAGTCAACGACACGACACGCCATTCCACTCCTCTACTACCACGGCGAAGACATGTTTCGGAACAGTTTCTTCAATAGACTTCTTTTGCCTTGGTGACCTTGCATAAACATTTCAATATAGCTCCTCAAGGACTCTACATTGAGGACAATCGATTCTGATTACAATTCAACACACTGTTTAGGAGAGGATGCCGCGCTCCATTGCAGGGCAATTCCTGATTAGGTCAGATTAGGTGCGTTCGCCCTGGCCCACACCCCGCCCATGCCGGATTGTTAACGTTGTACGGTTCGGTTGTTGGATGACCCTTTGCGGACTGAAGCAGAACAGAGCAACCGGTGACTGCAAGATCCGCGTTTTTTTTTTACGCAACGTGCGCCTGGTCAGACACGGTACCCGTTGATATCTCCCACCATGTCACACGTAAATAACGGATCACCTACATATGCCTATGATTTCGCCGCACTGTGGGGAGAATGTACGTGCACTGCACAGACGCTGCATTACCTTTGTTAAACTGTTCTGACATCCTTAGTCTGAATACCACGTGCCTCGCCATCACATCATACACGAACACGTGTACATAATTACTACAACAGCCCATGTTACTGGTTACAAGTATCAGTATTAGAACTCGGCTCTTCAAATCCAGACACCTTTCGTATTTCTAGTCTGATCATGACTTCTGCGAACACCGGAACACTAGTGCTGACGACATTGCACACGCTGATCTATGTGGGAATTTCGGGAATACAGTGCGTCACCTTGACTATTCAGTTTGGAGCATAACAGAAGTATCTCCTTTGGGAGTAAGCCGTTAGTATCTGAAGACTGTAGCTAACTGAGCTTGAGTCGTACGCCCACTCCCATGGATGGGGTAACGGCCTTGCTCCATGGTTCTCAAGGATCGTTTTGTGACACGCGATTTCTTTCGGATCGTCCGTTTCAAATCAACGCACACACCGGCTGTGATTCTTCGCAAGAAGTTTTCAGCGCCAACAGCGGCCAACAGCCACGTTGGCACAGAACCTTACTGGGTGGCGTCTTACGAACCTTTTAGTTTCCTAACATTCTAGGCCTTTGACTACAAAGTGTTACAGTACTAGTTCGTCTGCTGAGATACTCCGTGGTTCTATTGACCAAAAATGAGCCCTGGGCCAAGTCTTATTCGTTACCGCCAGACCAATGGCCACAGCCGAAGATCAAAAACATCGAAAACCCTTTTCCTTGCGTTCATCAAATGTATAATGACACCGCAGGGTCACGTACTCGCAAGTTTGGAAAGGTTTGTTTATAATCAGATCCGGATGGCCTGGCTCAGCCATTTTGGTGTGCCACAACTCAGTACTATGGATAGCAGCTTCTCGGAAGACTTCCTACAGCGGAACCCATGTGGAAAGTACTAGTCCGCACTACGCAGGCCGAAGCCGCGCATCCTTCACAAAGGCCATTTCGACCGATATTTCAAAAAACGGGTCTACCCTCATTTCGCGGGCTGAATTCGACCAAGATGTCATTTTAGCGACAGTGAAATGCCTCGGTGATTATAGGTACAAGCGCAGAATCCATTTGGTCTGAGCTGCGGAAAGTAGCGGCTAATACTGTTGTCAGCCAAACACGGCCGATGATGATTGAACGTGGCATTGTCAAATGTCGATATGGTTTCTGTGATTTGCGTCTCAGCCAACTTGGCTACGGTTTGCTCGCCTCCATGGGCTGGATTACGCGTGACAGTCATACTGCAGACTTGTACATGCGGCAGAGAAGACGTCAAATAGGGCCGGTTAACCCGTTGCGTAGCGATGGGGCCATGGCTGTTTGCCAAATCCGTGAAAGTTCATGGGGAGCGCCTATAAGTAGATTGCCGTCTATTCTGGACACTGACTCAGTACAGCAAGCCCGCTGAAAGTCCATGATGCGGCGTTGAGTCCAAATCTTCATATGTACGCCACTTTCTCCGCTTCAGGCGCATGGAAATCACTGTTGACTTGTGCCAAGTGATCAAGGAATCAGCACGATAGCGCCTTGCGGGGACTTCCTGTCTCCTGCTTAATACTTGCGATTCAATGGATGCGGCTGGGCTTACCGGATCAAGTTACGTTCAATTAACCCCTCGCCTGCCGCTGCGGCTGGCTTGATATCGAAGATGAACTTCGAAGTGATATTGGTGTTTGACGACTGCTTACCATCTTGGCTAACCGCTGCCCACTAGCCCTGCCACCTGCCTCAGCTTCATCAATCAAGCGAGAGCTTATGTGCTACGTTAGCCAACTCACACCCCAAATGTAAAACAGCCTTCCATGACGAACATTTGTTTGTACCCTCACGTACCTTAGCCACAAGGTGTCAATAGTGAGAAAAGCCCGTGCACTGATTCCGTAGCATACCCCCTGTATCGTGTACTATGTGGAAAATTGTCGAATTCTCCTGAAACACTCCTGAGAGCCACGGCTTTATAATTACGTGGACAAAGCGTGGCCTGGCCTGACGCGGCGATATCCATATTGATCAATATTGCGCGGCTACGTTGAATTATCTTATCTGTTTTTTTTTCAGGTCAAGTAATACTCGTGGCTGTACGCCGCAAGGCACCACGGGAACTTTATGAAAACAATGCTTTTGTCAAGCCTTTGTAGTAATTTTACGATCTTTCACTTCGGGCATGCATGGTTCACCAAGAAGATTCGTATCGCTACTCGGGGCTGCACTGTGAATGGGTGTGCCACGGCATGCTGTAGCTATCTTGGTACCTATCCATAAAAGTGACTCCAATCGGATGTTTTGTATGGCATTACCTGGCCCTTGATCTGAGCTTAGACCGGTAGGTGGTACTACCGCATCTCATCGTGTCACATTGAACCTTGCAATATTTTCCTAGAAACAATTGGGAACTTCTTGGAATTCTGCCGCGAGCATTTACCATGGCATTTTGACGGGAAGTGGCATCTTATTCACACCTCCATGTTATCGTAAGTTACCTCTACCAGAACATTTTTTGATGTATCATGGCTCTGAGGTGGTGGCACCCCCATTTTTAACACAAAGGGTAATTTGTTGACTTTTTCGTGTGTCCAGGTTGTCTATGCCAGGTTGACGGTAGTCCTGTGCCCGATCGGCACAGCATCCGACTCAATCACGGGAGAAGGGTGTCTGTAAATTAATAAAAATGACTGTTTTGGATGAACCAGGTCCGGAAACTTACCGCCTTGGAAGGTAGTATAATCACTTTCCGAAGTCGCATGCCATTGCTATGGATCGTTGGTAGTTTCTCAGCAGAAATCTCACGTCACAGCTGAGCACCGCGGGCTTGATGAAAACATGATCTTTCAAGTTGGTTCTTACCCATTGCAGTGTGCATCCTAACGGCGCCGGACCAAGATTTTTAGAGTTGATTCTCGTACTTAGTAGTCGGTGCAAGAAATCTGATAGATGATTAGTGATTACTCCGTTTGCCAAGCGCTAGCGGGATACACTAGCGCGAACAAGTTACCCGTTGAACAATGGATATGGGTAGGCTTCCCAAGTAGCAGCCCTGATGATCAGTGACTTGACCGAGTCCGGACTCTGATCCGGGTGTGGCGACAAAGAGTAGGTATTGTAGGGGCACCACCTCTCCATTGTATCTGTCATAATTATTTTACATATTGAAATAAAAACACCGAGTTTAACGAAATTGCCGCTTGCCGAATTGAGTAATTTTACTGATTACTGGCGTTGGCACACGCCAAGTCACGTGGGGGTGAAACCGAGATCATGGCTAGTACTTGTTCCAGCACGAACAAAGGAGACGATGAGACGCGGCGTCGATGGAATTGACCGCGGCCAGTAAATTTATAAGTGTGTTTTGAAGAAGGGAGCGGCATCGAAGTAGGAAGTCATGTGACTATGAGTTACCTAAATAGGAAGTAGGTTAGTGGTAAGGCTATGGGGATTCCCTGGGGAATCCCCTATGCCGTTGATGCCGATGAAAAAAATGTTAAGCAAGTAAATAAGGTTAAATCTGTGAAAATCAAAGAAATTTAACGGGTACAAGTCAATCTTAGCAAAAAAACGTCTAAGATCTAACGGAGCGCGAGCTGTTACTAAAGACTACGAAGCGGGCTCGGAGGCGCTGCAATTTTGTAGTTCTTCCAATTCAATCAACTCAACTCAACCCTTAGCATTCCGGGTGGCTAGACACGGTATCCCCTGTTTTTGTCTCTAAGCGGAATATGTCAACCATGTCCGCCAATTTTACACCTTCAAGCAATACATACGACATTTCCTTTTTATATATCTTCATGATCCCGACACTTGTATCTACAGCCCTCCCGAACTGAAGTTCCTTCCTCATGGCCCTTTATACTCCACCATCTTTGCCATTAACTCCTTGTAAAATGGGCTCATCATCACGTCCGTCCTTGCCCTCTGAACTCCTAGCGACTTGGTCTGCTTGGCGTCCATTAGGGCAGACCGGTCTCCTGACTCCTCCAATGTCGGCTTCTCTACCAAGGCTTGGTGCACCACAGGTGACGTCCTTGCCACCCATTACTCATTTTGATCGTCAGGTATCATACATGCATCCAAGTACGTGTTTCTTTCTTTCCTTGTCATGATTAGTTTTTGATCTAGCCAAAGTAACACCTCCGCGTACTCAAGACGCGTCGACCTGGTCGCGACCCGTACAGCAATTACACGTCGCTCGTGTCTCACCTGAACCGTATGCGGACGAGTTGGACCAGCACGTGCATCCCTTTGAGCAAAAGGTTGCAGCGTCTGAAGACGTTCCTCGACCCATTGATTGGTTTGACGACTCTCTAAAGAGATCGTCACATTATATCGCAGAGAAAACTTGCGAAATGATATGCTACCTATGGTTCTCTGGGTCACTTTCGAACTCTACATCTACCCAACCACTCACTCCTCCCTACTCCCCTGAAATTCCTGCCGCTACTTCTTCCCTCCAGCTCGCTGCATCACCGGCCTTTGTGTCCTTTATGCAGAAGTTGCTAGAAACCACCCAGGTCAGCCAATCGGTGATCGTCCTGTCTCTCCATTACATATGGCGACTCAAGGAACGTAATCGTTACACCGCTGGTTTACCGGGAAGTGAGTTTCGCATCGCAGTCGCTGCCCTCATGATGGCAAATAAATTTCTTGACGAGTGAGTCCGTCGTGCCTATTCATGTTATTGTGTTCTCAAGTTTTATTCTAGCAACACGTACACCAATAAGACATGGTCTGAGGTTTCTGGTATCGAGTTGGCTGAAATCACCCGAATGGAAAAGGAGTTTTTGATGGGCATTGACTTCAACCTATATATTTCGAAGAAGACGTACGATTCATGGATGCACCTATTGAGGGGGCTCGTCCATGCCAAAGAAAGAGAGTGTCGTAGATGGCGTCATACTCGCACTCGGCATCGGACGCCTCGTCATACTCAACCGATGTCTGCAGCACCAATTCGTTCCTACAGGTGGAGGTGCCACTCGATATCCCATCGTGCACGTTCAACCTCGCCCGAGCAACCTGTTCATCCTCGTACATATTCATCTTCGTATCATGTGACACCACCAAATCCCGTTGTGTCGCCATGTCTTGCCCCAGGTGTGAAACGCTCGGCTGCTGATGCGTTCTCACCTACATCGTCATCGTTTCACGGATTACCGCCCTTGAAGCGTCCCACTGGCATGACTTTGCAAATTCCAGAAACCAATTATCCAACTGCACCACATTCGGCGTCGCCAGTTGAATCTTTGCAGTCCTTTGCCAAGATGTCGTTATCATCATCGCCACACTCGGTACGGTCCGCACAGTCCAATCAGTCACACCAAGGTGATACACGCCCGAAAACTTTGGTAGCTGCGTACCGTGCGGAAGGACCCGTGAACGTCCCTCAAGTATGTGCTTTCTCCGTAATTCACACGATTTGTCTCACATTCGTGGTAGAACCTTTATTATTACTCGCTTGCTGGGTCATCAACTGACTATGCAGCGGAAGAGGAAAGGGTGCGTCGCAAAGCCCGATTGCGGTGTTACCAGCCTCAGCCTCCGCCTTCGCCATCTTATCCGCCACCTTACGTGCCACAGGACATTCAGTCCGAGTCAGTTAGCCCTTACGAAATACATGTCGACGTGCGAGCTGTGCCTCTTCCTCACCTACACGATGCTGTCTGGTCTCGTAAGCTTGCTCGGCCTCCTTCGTATGGCGAAAGTTCTTTGCAATTGCCCCCCTTACGGGAAAACGCAGTTCCGTCGGCTCCATTCGCCAACGCAGGACCACCTGGCGTCCATTTTTACTCAGCTTCTAGTCAGCGGGAATCACCCGCATATCCTTATAATTGGTCTTATGGCAGATAGTCCTCAGCTACTCATTTCTGTTTAATGCACACGATTATTGCATCTCATCGGTTCCCCTTTCACATCGAACTTCAACTTACTTAGCACTTTGGCCATATCATTTCGTTGCACGCAATATCATTCATTGACACTGACATACATTCTCGGCATCTTCATTTGTATTTCACTTACATTTCCACTCTGTTATCAGAGATCAACCAGAGATTACATTACCCTCATAGTTAGCTACTACTGTACGAGAAAGAATGCCAAACTGGCCAGTACTTCGAAGTCGTCGGAGCTCGTAGATTTGCTTGTGAACCAATTGCACGCTATATGAACTTGATATGATGTACTTATTAAGTCTACTAACAATGGCAAGTTGGCAACAATTTAGACAGTGCTGTCATTGGTGCGGCTTGACAGATTTATGGCCGAAACAGCCTAAAATTTCGATGTCAATGATATGATCTTCTGAGTCTGGAATGTATGTGCGCAGAAGCCATCTTTTTTCCGCATAGGTCAGTGAGAATAACGATATCATGTCTGATCATGCTCAGTTCCGCACTCCGCGGTCCCCATCCTGTCATCGGAGCCCTGTTACAGATCGCGCGCAAGACTTTTGATGCCCCTGCTACAAGTACGAGTTGATTTGTCTGCGTGGTATTTGGCACGGATAACTCCGTGTGCCTCCCGGGAGACATCCATTTCCCAGTACTTTGTACCCCTATGTCCTCATTGTAACGAGACTTAAGTTCTGGACACGTTCTCACCATAATCAACCGGTGCAGCTCAGAAATAGGTTGGTCAGTGTGACGAAACGAGCTAACTTCATACGAAAGTATTTAGCGTTCATCCCGGAGTAATCCATCACCACTGCAACCAGAATGGCATGTGTAGGAATCATATCACGGCTGGATGAATCAGACGGATACCAGTCTGATAGATACGCATGGATCTTTTCCGTCCTACAAAGGCATTGACAATGAGGGCTTTCATGTCGGACTTGTTCCTTACCACGCCTAGTAATAGCATGAGGACCATTTGGAGTTACATTTGACAGATTTCGACGCCATACAAATGCCATGTACCATCGCCAACTCACAGGTTAATAATGATGGCCTTCCGAATTATTTGGGGGGCCAGAGATCGGTTTCAGTGTCTGACGAGACAGATTTTGATCTCAATTGAGCCATGTTGGAGGAAAGGAACGCCTGGGTGAAGAAGTAACCGGATAACAGACCCGTCACTAAAGAAAAGTTCGTTTCGATCGAATTTCATATCAGTCATGACTTAGTATAGGTGATGATTTTGGGTGGACTTACAAGCACCACTGATAATAGTTTTGTTCCGGCCAAAGCCCATAAATCTTGAGCCGACTAGTGCTGTGACGCGAGTAATAGATATCAGACGGGCCGTTACAAGGCACATGGCATAATATCAAAACTTGCCTCCTGCCAGGCCCGACGTCAAGCCAGCAAACATCCCGTCTCTCCGAGCCTCCTGACGATATGCCATCATTTCAATGTCGATAATCGATGCAAATAACACGAACCTTCCATGCGGCTGCTTTGAGCTCTTCCACACCAGGCTTGTGATCTAACCCCATTGTCTGTGTTCGATTGTGCAGCAACAAGGCGGCCGTAAACGGTAGAAGTTCTAAATTAATTTTTTTGGAAGTACAAACAAAAAACTCGAGGAAAGGGGTTAACTTAACCGACCGGATTTGGAGTTATACTGATTTGAACGCGTTTCGTCACACCACGTTACGCTGTGACGAGACGCGCTTTACACGCCTTTACACCCATATTTTGTTATCGGAATAGTGATACTGTGATATGTCTCCTGTGGAGAAGAAGAGTCGGGCTCGGAGTCCACAGGAACTATATGACGAAATCAGAGGTATCAATCTCCGGCTCTATCAGACGTATTCACATTCCTGATGCTTCCCGCTATAACCCAAGAACTCTTGATCAAGACCAAACCGAAGCTGAAGGACGGAACTACCAAAGATGAAACCGTAACTGGGGATTTACATAAGATCGCATCGCTTGCACAGACATTCACAGAACAGCGCCTGAAGTCGAGCAAAAAGAGCCAGTTATCAGATTTTCTTGATCAAGAAGGTTCGTATCATTGTTCGGCATCAGTCCGAACAAACATGAAACCCAAGTGTCTCGTTTTAGGTGTCAGCCTGTGGAATGCATCCGGTGTGGTCCGTCTAGGCTCTGCGCTTGACAGCCGCGTTGTCGTCGCCGCTTGTATGCTTCTTTGTTTGCTATGATCGGTTTCACTTAACGCCAGGCTTGCCAGTACGGCTAGCTGGTTTTCGCCTCATGGAAGCAGGGTTGGAACCTAAGCCGGACACTGAAGGTTGGAAGAAGTTCGGAATTCTTGCGTGATTGTCGCTCATTTATGTCCTATCAGCATTATTACATATTCTTCAAATTGCGAGCAAGACTGGCGCAACCCTGTCCGGTGTGTTTTAACGCCAATATTTCGTATCTTCAAATAACATTGTGGGCCACGGATCCAGAACTCGGCCACAATGACACCGCATCGAGCGTGCTAGCTTGTGCGGCGAAGGTTATTTTTTCCTTGTTTATGTTAATTGTGGTTGGCATTAATTTTCTCTCAAAGTATGAAGAAGCGCTGAGAAATATTGACGACCCAAGTGGCACAAATCAACAAGCCAGGGCATGCGTTACAGCTGTCTACCTCTCAACTAGAATGGAAGCGGTGAGGACTCTAATCCTTGTGATATGGAGGCGTTGATATATTTAGGACCTCGCGAAATAGGCTTGGAGGGAAGGAAATGAAGGGTTAGCGGCCTTTATGGCTGACAAAGTCACAGGTTGTCCCTGAGTCCTTGTTGATATGAACCGCTCTGATCGTCCTCATAGAGAATGACGGACGGCTCGTGCTCCTGTCCAATCATGACGTAAGTCCCATTCGGTCAACTTACTTCTCATGGTAAACATTTTCAGCGAGAGACGCTTGCAACTAAGCTTCTTGACATTGGCAAATCACTTTTGAGAAGTTGCTATCAGGATAGCAAATTAGCGCCGGAAGAGAATAAGGCTAATGAGGCTATTCGATGGATGCAAAAGGCGTTTGCCGTCATCGAGCATCTTGATTGCGCGTCCAATGCTGAGCTCGCTGAGCTCAAGGTGACTATTTTCAAGTATACTGATCACTCCTTATTCAACCTAGTCAGAGATCGGTTCTCAGGAGTCTGGGTAAGTGAACTTGGCTCATTCTGTGGTACAACTGGGTTCAGATCGGCCCCCTATTAGCCCGTGGTTACTTCTTGTCATCATCCCAGGATCCAGAGAATTTGATCAGAGCGGAAACCGCGCTAGAAGAAGTTATTGCAACTATCAATCCTTCTGTAGACAACGTAAGTTACTGCCAGTGACGTGCTCAAGCGGTATTTACCCACGTTCCTGTAGGTAAGCTCCGAATACCAGCAACTCCGATGGATGAAGTTGGCTGTCATAAAGCGGCGAAAAGCTGGAGATACTGTTCTTCTTCAAGGTGAACTTTCCTGTACCGGAATCTTCCACATCTAGTGGCGAGTTGAATTACTCACGTTCTTCATTAGCCCTACAAGCTATCATTGACAACCTGACATATTCAGAAAGCAATCTTACCGAGTGAGTTTATGGGAATGCTGTAATCCACTCCGCTTTCTCAGATCACGTTTCAAAAGTGTCCTACAGGAACTTCGGACGCTTTCTCAGTATCAGTAAGTCGTCTGATACGGGAATGTTCCTTTGATTTAGTGTGGGCATAGCCAATTAGTCACGAGTGTAACTCAGTACTGCCTTCATCGGGCCTTGCAGTGCTCTTGGAGCACAGACGCCGTGGAAAGGCTTCTCATATCTCTCATATTCCATTGTTCCAAAGATGACAAACACGATAGAGCCATACAAGATCTGCATGCATCTTTCAAAGGTAAGTCTCGTTTCAACCTTGTTGTTGTACAGCTTGTGCGAATTATTTACCTTTCTGCGTAGAACTGAGTGATGTGGAGTTTGAGCTTCTCAAAGCTCCGGCCACAGCTTGCATCACGGTGCGTGAATAGCCTTCATTCCGCTCATTCAATTATATTGGAATTTTCGAACATTTCCATAGCTTTTATGGCAATACGGTGATCGCCATTACCATGCGGGGCGATGGAAAGAAGCTGCGGATTGGTTCAGTTGCGGCACACATTCTATATTTACAAGTTTGGGTCCTGTCAGCAGCTCGAGGTGTTTTCGGAAGGCTGCCCTAGCGCATCTTAAGCGAAAGGACTACGCTCATGCGGGGTCGATCATCCGGCGCTGTCCTGACACAGAAGCCACGACGCAATATGTAATCTTTCTTATTGCGGTTTATCAAGGTCTGCAAGCGCATTGCCTCATAGCCTGATTTTATCTCACCTATAGTCATTTCAGGACTGGAAGACGAAGGTATCTCCATTCTGAAGAAGCCTGGTCACCTCTAATCGGTCGGTCACTTATCAGCGATGATATCAATTCGCAATATGGTACACGCCGTGGACTTCGATCGCAAAATGATTTTATTGGCCTGCCGGCTGGCACATGACTTGGATATGAAAAATCTTCTTCTGAATGTGCTGAAGGCTCTTCTTGAAACGCTAAATTTCCGAGAGAACGTGGGGAACGTCACTGAAGCTATGACGTTGGTAAGATGTATAATCAGGCTTATCGTCAAGCTCCTTGGAGAACCCGCTGCCGATTTGTGAGTTTTTGCGGTGTTAAGCATCGAGATGCTGAGCTGAAATCGCGTCAGGGACCGCTTGGTTGCAGCATTACTACACCACCTGAAGATTGGTTGGTCGAAATTTATAGACTACTCACACGTATTCTAACGCGGTGAATGTGGAAGCGGTGACTATTGCAGAATCTTGTGAACAGCCTGCCATACTTGCCAGAGATGTATCCTGGCTCTGGAGGACTGCATACAACTGTGCTATCCAAGCTTGCTCGGATTGGGAAGACAGAGAGGATCAAATATCTGAGATCTTTGACGCAGCGAGACGAGTCAGTGATTTTTTGACAACAATTTTCCTGGGTTTAATCCCATCACGCAGCTTCTCGAACTCTACACTCTACACGCAACTGTAGATGTGGACCAGGCTGTCTACATTTACATAGTGAATGCCTCATTTGCATCCGCCTCGGGCCGTGGTACGCACCCTCGACCCTCCCTGGAAGACTACAGCAGCCATAATTTTCTGCACAGTTATGTCTTTCAGACGTTTGCGGTCGCAAACAGAATCGATTGAAGTACGGCAAGGTCCTCTCTCGAAACCTTCTACTGATTTGCTTCAGTCTGAGAAATACCACGATCTGTTCAACGAGATCAATCAGTCATTACAGCGCATTAGCAAGGTTTTGCGAGAGGAGAAGCTATCGCAGGAGGACCTTCCTCGACTTGAGTCATCCTTGCAGATTTTACGAGTTTTCATGGTCGAAGCGGCATGTCACTTGTCAGATTGGACGACGGTCCTGGCTACAATTGAGGAACGGTTATGATTCCCTGTTAACAAATCACCCAGGAACTTATTCTCCATGCAGGAAGCATCTCGCTCCGATCGTGATTCGTTGGAGACGTACGAGGCATTCGCTGACGCTCTAGTGAGACAGAATAGCTCATTCTGCGCATGATTTGTTCAACGTTACTCCTAGTGGGAGGACAAAAACTGTCCCATACATGGTAGATATTTATTTTCAACTTCACAATCAAGCTCATACCAGCCAAACCTAGTCCTTTTCACAGCGCTAGAGGTAGGTCCGCGTGGAAGCCGTCAATTACTTGGCTTAATTCCGCATTGTAGGCCACACTTCACGCATGTTTGGCCCGCGGGCACTTTTCTCTGGAGAAATTTTCTCGCTGGCTCCGAGCTATATGCATTATACTACTGACAAGAGCAACAGGAGCCGATCGATCCAAGGCAATTGGCTACGTGGATCAAGCCATCGCTGTCCTGGAAGAGCATGGCGACGCTAGGGACGGCGGTGACCTGGTAAAATTCCAGTCTCACAGTGTATCTTGGCTCACTCATTTATACGGAAGCTCTATCCTCTGGACGAGCGTCAGTGGCTTCTGAGCACAGCGTACAACACTGGCCTCGAGTGTCTTCAGTCAGTGGATATCTCATGGGATGTATGCTGACACAGGACTCATCTACCTTAGCGCATCCATGGTTGATGAAGCAAAGCGTTGGTTCGAATGCTCCACCATTATCTGCCGCTTCGTTCCCGATGGTAGGCAACGCGCAGAAAAGGTAGGCAAAATACGATGGAAAATTAGACCTCACGGCATCCCGCAACAGATCTCAACAACCTATAGCGACCTCCTGGCACGCTACCCGACTAGATGAAGCGATCGCACGACCATCAAACAGCTTTACCGTCGCGACTGGATCACCCCACATCTGTACTATTATGTGTGTCTGTTCTTGTATCTGTAGCAAAAACCAATGGACTACGCATTTTTATTGCTGTGAGAAATGACGCATTTGATAGAGTAGTACGCGACCGCGAGTGTTGCCGATAGCCAGGTACTCGCTCTCACGGGAGAAATCGACGGATGTTACGTGTCCGAGAGGGGTACTTGACGTGGGCCAGTTCCCAAATGCTGTCAATGACGGGCAATGGACCTATGTAATAACGCATTAAGTTGAATGAAAGCTTGGGAAAGATGCAGTATTGGCGCACCATTCGCATCTGATCTTTTTTATCGTTACTTGCAATAGCAAGTAATTGGGAGTCGTGATTGAACCGCAACGTTGAGATACTTGTTGTCAGGTTCCCAATCGTCTTTAAAGTTTTTGGTTTGCCTCCCTCAAGATCGACCGTACTCTCTGCATTGTAGACATTGACCAAACCTGTGTTTGAACTTGGGGGGGCATATTGTGAGTGTGAACACCCGCCTCACAAAACGAAAACGTACCCAATGGTCAGATATTTTCCTTGGCCATCTCCACCAAATAATCGACTGCCGAACCCGCCTTCATCCTGCCATCGTTTTACGCATTTGCGCTGCCCAATATTCCAAACATAAACCTGTGAATCTTCTGTCAAGCCCAGAAGCTCGCCTGCTCCGGCCTTCGACCACCACAGAGACTTCACATTCGCGTTTGCCTTGAGTTCGCCCATAACTTGCGCTGCACCTGATCGCCAATCGACAAGATGAACCTGGCCTCGCCGTCCTGCAACAGCGAGAATTTCCCCTGTTGGGTTGAAGGATGAAATCTCCATGCTCGCGCCTTGATCCTCACGACCCGAAGAGAATGTGGTGCCCCATAGGCCTCGAGGGGAGCGGTGGGAGGCTCCAGACTGAAGGTCGTACGTGTAATAGAAAGGTCGTGGACCAGTCATCAATATGGACGTGCCGCTGGGGTGGAAAACAGCATTGGTGATAGGAAGTGACGGGACGTGAAGAGTTTGGGCATGAGGATTCGTGAGACCGTCAATCTACCAACCAGGTTCAAATTTAAGTACAAAAACATGAGAAGCAACACTCACATGGAAAAGCCTCAAGCGACGGTCTGCACTTGCAGTCAAAAGGACGGGAATGTGAGGCGAAGGATGAAATGCAACTGTTTTTATTTCGCCATCCGCTGGCGCAGCTTGGTTAGCATCTCGCAATCGCTCAATCGAGAGTGTGCTCAGGAGGATAGCCCTTGACTTGGTAGTCCCCAAAATTCCAGCCGTTGATGCCAGTAGCTCCGGCACAACATCCTCCCCACTCTCAGATCTAGAAGCTGACGATCGTCGTCTCTTTGCACGTTCGCTTTTCTTGCGCGCAATGGATGCCCAATCTGGAGTTGGGTTTATGTGTTCGAATTGCCTGCGTAATCTGCGCTCGTATTCGCGTCCTCCCACTGTATCATCAGAGGGTGCGTCGCGCAGTTTGCGAAGACGGTTATTTGATGCAAGTGAGACTTGAACGTTTACATCGTCTGGGTCTGTCCAAGCGGGTGCTTTAGTTTTTTTGGGCTGCTGAGGGATGTCCTGGCGAATAATGGAAATTTCTTCGTCTTCATCACTTTCTGGGACCTCCGGTATTATGAGCTCTTCGTTATCTTCCACACCAGACTGTACATGGTCTTCAGGGGCCTGGCTAGACTCAGATAGTCCAGCATTGTCGTCCACGAAAAAAAGCTATATGTGATGTGAATAATGAAGCGTAATTTCGAGTAGTTCTGCACATACATCTGAGTCGAGCAAATTTTCAAACTCTCGTCCTACTTCATGTTGCCCATCCTCTGCCTCTTCATCAGATATTACCATGATTTCCTTGCCAGCTTTCTCAGGAGCATATGGGACACCGAATAGTAAGTTTTCGAGACGCCTCTCCTCATCGTCTTTACTCGCGTCATTGAGCAGGTTAGCACCTAGTGGGACTGGTTTATGTTGTATTTTGCCTGTCTTTTGACGTTTCCGAGGATTTTTGACCATCGTGACACAGTGTTATCACAAGTAATACTGTGGTGAAGACTTGGTGGATGTTGTGAGCAATGTGCTTCGCTCGAAAGCGCCGGTGGCTGTGTAGAGCTTAAAGATCTACTATCAATCGACCTCAAATCGTCGCTAGTTCGCTATCATCTTGCATATATGCTTAAATCTGATCATTCGCCACACACAATTCTCCCCCATGTGGAATCTGTCGAGGATCCAAGTCCTCCAGACCTTCACAGCCAGGTGCGGTGGTTCTTTTACTGAGATCGTTATCAAGCATGTATCACGATCTTATCAGGTTGTAGTCGATACGCAGAACCAACTGAGTATCAACCGTCTGTCGCGGACGTCTTACAAGTAAAACGGTACCTGCAGCGCAAGCTTCCTATGGAGCTTATTGACAGGATTATCGACGAGGGATGTTACTGGCCACACAGTACAGTCTACATCGAGCGGCCCATCACTGTTCCAATTTACAAAGACGGAAAGCGTTCCGAAGTAGGAATATATATAAGATCGCTCCCTATTGGCGTTCACGGCACTGAGGGCGACTTCAGGTTCGTTGAGAAGGACTTCGAAGACGGTGGTGCAGCTTGGGAGAAGAAGTTGCGAATTGGCGGACTGGACGACACCCTGCCGTCCGCACCGGTGCTATCAACGCATCCGTGCAGAAAGATAGAGTTTCAGCTTTGGACTCATGATCAACGATTGCGCAAGCAGTTTCCTCATACATTCACCGCATCATACGTATGGTGCGATGTCAGCATAGAGAAATTACAAGCACCCATTTCTGACACCATCGAATGGCCGGCACGTTTTCTCTTCGACGAGTGCAACGCAGAGCTATCGATCATCCCACGAGACACGGGCAGTCCGTTCTTTCCTCCCAGCATGAAACTGCTAAAAAATCTCGCGGCAAAGACTTCAGGATCAGACCATACCATGTTTTGGCACGCCAGTGATTCATTTGACAAGGATGCTGATGGTGACTGTTTTTGGCAGTTTCTTGATAAAACCTTCGACAGGCAAGCTGCCAAGACCGCAGAAGTGGGGAAAATGGTGCGCAGCTTGCAAGTAGGAGATTGCATGACCCTGTTGGCTCATGCTCGGTTTCCCGACTCCGAAGCTACAGTTCATGAGGCCAGGGTCACTGTGTATTGGGCGGTGTAGCATGTCACTTTATCTTCCAATTTCAAAACATGCTGTACCCAGCAGATATACCGAACCTCCTTCAATTCACCATTACTTACGAGCCGAGCTCATTTACACTACTTGCTACGTTACAGAGAAGGAATCTGTTCGTTACAAATTTCCATGACATGTTCTATGTAGTGGGCCCATTCCACGTCGACTTGCAGTAGGTAACTTAATTAGTCATATACATAGATGGGCTACCCCCCACTAGTACTGCGAACACACTCTTTGTATGTCTCAGAGCTTCTGAGGCAAGCGATGCCATACCATGGAATGAACAGATTATGATGAGAGCGAGATGATAACAGGGGTCCAGGGGCTCGGAGCTATACCTAGGTCTAGCCAAATCAACAATTCGAGCACAACTTTGAAAGCAAGCCGTGACTACCCGGTTAAATATCGACCGTGTGTTGTGGGCATTGTTGCGAGTAAAACGAGACATGCGACCTGAGCTGCGTGACGGGATTACTGACGAAGCGTCTTACTGGCCACACGGCCCAGCTCAGATCAGTCTACTTTGAACCCAAGTCCAGCGTTCCCATGTATGGAAAGACAATAGATCTTGTGGATGGCATATAATTCCTTCTTGGACTTGACGAGATACAGCTTTACATTGATGGCGAATACCGGAGCTTAACGACGTATGAGGTTGGCATAGGGAAGTTACACGAGAAGTTTATCCTCCCAAAAAATTAATAATCGAATGGCCAGCGCGTCTTCTAGTCGAATATTTCGACCCAGAGCCATTTGGTGTTCAAAGATACGCCGCCCGCCACTTCACAGTATTGCTGTGTGGGATGACAAATATTACAGGACATACCATTGATGTTGTCTGGCACTTTCTCAATTTCCGATGAAGAATCTGCAGAGACCATTACAAGATACAATCGTGGCCTGAATGTACAATTTTTACGCAGCTTGCGAGTAAGAGATTACATTACCCTGCAAGTTCAAGCTAGTATTGCCACATTGTTCCTTAGTTGGTGCCGTATGCATAACCAGAAGTCCGACGGACAAGATCACGGCGTGACACAATAGTGTTATCAGCGTGCGGCTGGAAAATACTTGAGGCGGTTTGGCAAGGTGTATAGTATAACACATTCTGGGCCTATGAATGCTGATAATTAGCCTGAAGATCCGGGCTGTATTCTTTGACAAGCGCGTTAGGTACGATTCATACAAGCGAAGGGTCGAGACAACTAACAAAGGGAGACATATAATGGTTTCTCCCGAACCGACTTGTGACATTGTGATCGGCTTGGCTGTCAGAGTACTTGATTATGTCAAGCAACTCAAGACGGCCCTTGCATTAGCGTATTTCCTTTGATCACTTACCTTGGAGGTCGTTGTTCACAGGCCTGGTGCGGGTACCAGACGATATAGGTCACATCCGCGGCATTTGCGGACGCTCCGTAATTGAACCACGCCAGCCGTTTCGTAATACGATACTCCAAAATGTAAGCAATACATCGTTGTCGGTAGGAGGGGCTGTAGTAGGGGGGCTCCATGCTGTTCGGCGAAACCGTGTGTAACCTAAGTAGGAACTCTTACGGAATTAGCCATGGACAATCATCTCACTCATACCTGTTTTTCGTGAGAGATAGTGGTTTTTTCGAATTCCTCCTGTGTGTTACTTAAGTAGGCTCATTAACCTGGGTGCACCTGGTTTATAATTCTTGATTTGAGGCGGCCACCTTCTCATGGGACCTTTTTCGTGGTATTTTCATCTTCTGTTCCCAGTGGGGAAAGGGCTGGATGATCGGGTTTTCAGGTGCATGTGCTCAACTTCCAATGTTGATTCCCTTGCACAGCGGACGTTTCTAAGGAGTAGGCCGTATCACAAGGGCACAAGGGGACTTTGATTGTGCGCGAGAGTCTCGGAGTCTCCTGGTTGGTCGAATTTGTTGCCACCATCGTGATGAGTCGCGGCCTCCGCTGCAACGTCGGCCGTTACTAGCATAATCTCAGCCCTGCGGTTATTAATCACTCGCTGCCAATCTCTATTTAGAGTTGGCATCTATTGTACGTACCCTCTGAGACATACAGCTGATCTGAGTTCTTGTACAAGTCACGTACAGCAAACGTACAGCACAAGATCTTATCACATTCGCAAGGCTTCATGTAGTATGGAGGGGCTCAGCTGAGCGATGAGACCACTAGTGAACCAGCGTAGTATTACAGATAATTTTGAAAGAATGCATCCGCGGTTTAGTCGCCATAACTGAGATTGCTGGCTTTGAAGTTTGAAAGAAGACGCAAGACGTTAGCCGAGATAGGATCTTTCCCCCGGTCCGCGCTCACCACCACCCCTTCAAGCTTCACTCAGTCTCAGGTAGACTGCACCCTGGTCTGCGCTTGCCTTTTTTTCGCAACACGACATTGTCTCTCCCTGCGCTGGAATCCGAAACACGCCAATCACTAGCACTGCCAGCGTGTTGACACTTGTTACTGGTTCACTCCTCTGGAGCATCATATTCAGCTCTCCTCCCACTCACACAGCTATCAGCGCCTCATTCGTCATTCAAACCATTCCTCAGCCGTAGGACTTCACTGTTGGATTCGTAGCCCTACTAGGGCCCTCCATTCGTTTCTGCTCCAGACTAAGAAATCATGGGTGCATGCATGTCAACAGGGGGGATGGTGGATGTCTCGGATGATGATAAGCGGAGGCATAGAGAAGCAGAGAAATATCTCAAGGAGGTGAGTCTGCGACGGAATGATGCTGACTTTCGCTCGTCGTTCTGCACCTGTCACTGGTAATATGATATTGACCGTATCCATCATATAGGCCAGGGCCAAGATGACTTCCCAGGTCAAAGTACGTTGTACACCCAAGTTCCTGTATGTTATTCACCTTCATCTACGACACCTAGGTTCTTCTCCTAGGGTCTGGCGACTCAGGAAAATCGACAGTTCTTAAGGTAAGTTACTTCTCCTAGCCCACTTACTGTCAGTTCACGAAGCTTCTTTCGTAGCAAATGCGACTGATCCATCGGGTACCATTCTCAGCAGCAGAAATTGAGACTTATCGTCAACTAGTGTTCAACAACCTAACGACGGGCATGAATTACGTGTTTGAGGCTATGGAGGACATGGAGCTCGAAATTGCGGAGGAGAACCTACCACACGTGGAACTCATTCAGAATGCCAGGGATATCCGTGAACAAGAGCCTTTTCCTATGTCATACTATGAGCCCTTGAGAGATCTTTGGGCTGACGGCGGGGTCCAACAGGCATATAGCAGAGGGAACGAGGCTGCTCTTCCTGAAAAGTGAGCCCCGTGTTGTGTGTCTTGTTTCCTTCGAGACTTTACAACTCCCGCTACAGCTTGTCATACTTTTTCTCCTCGCTGGACAGATTATTCGACCCATCATATCACCCATCCGAACAAGATATCGTCCAGTGCCGAGCTCGCACTATCGGAATAACCGAGACAACTTTCCATCTCAAAGACCACGAAATGCTTATGGTCGACGTCGGTGGTCAGAAGAGCGAGCGGAGAAAATGGATTCATTGTTTCCAGGATGTCACCAGCATTCTATTTCTGGTCAGTCTAAGTGGGTATGACCAATGCCTTGTCGAAGATCGGGATGCGGTGAGTTGTTTTGCACATCGTGAACTATCTGAAGACGAACCATCGGTTTCTTATTCTAGAACCAAATGCAAGACGCTATGACAATATGGGACTCGATATGCCATTCGCAATGGTTCAAGCAGACATCGATAGTACGCTAGGTTACCCTCGTGATTTTGAAAGCTTTTCACGCGTGTTGCTGCATCAGATTCTCTTTCTGAACAAGGATGACCTCTTCCAAAAGAAGATCCTCAACTCTAACATTAAAAATTTCTTCCCGGTAAGTTACTCTCCTCCGATTGGCTGTTCCTACTCAATGTACTTCAGGATTACGAGGGTGAAGCAGGGGATGCAAAAGCTGGACGAGATTACTTCCGGCGACGTTTCACGCGGCTCGCTCACAAAGCTGGACGTTCTAAAGAACGCGAAATCTACATCCAGTAAGCCTTTTCTCTTATTCGCTGAAGACGCAGCCCTAACGCCAGAAAGTGTAACAACTGCAACTGATACGGAAATGTTGAGAGTAGTGATGGCCGCTGTCGAAGGTCAGTTACTAAGCGGATATCTTTAGGATCGAATTACTAATTCCTTGCTTTCCAGAGTAAGTTCCTCCTTCTATTGATCCTTCCCTACCCGCCAGTGATGTCGTCCAACCGTACGCTCATCCATTTCCCACCATTCTTCCCTTTTCTCTCATAGCATCGTTCTTCGATCCAATCTCCAAATCGCGGCGCTAATTTGATGTTTCTTTTTTTGCTCTTCATCTTATGATTTATCCATGTGATCATCAACGTTCGCATCTCGCTATCGTGCTCCAAAACATATTGCTATCGCCGGGACACAATCTTGCATACTCAACGTTAATTTTCCTCTACAATCTTACCGTTGCAACCAATCTCTCCTCTATCTGCTGGTCAATCACGTTATCGTCCGATTCTGTGGGCTTCTTTTACGTTGTTCGAAAATCACCAATATTAGTGCTGTCATAAGCAAAAACGTGAGTTAGTCCCCCCTCTCCGATCGAATAATTTTTTCGCAGGGGCGCTGATGGGCTCCCTTGTCACCAGATCCGCGAAATCATGCTTTGAAGATTGTCACCCCAATTGGAGCCTGATGGTGATTAGGCTGCAGGCACGATGTATCAGTACCCCAGGAAGCGGAACCTATCTGTGGCAACATACCATCTAAAACAGGAAGACATCCCGCGCACCTCAACGACTAGTTAGCACTTATTTTACTCATTACAGAGCAGCGTGCCTTCACTTGTCGTTCTTCACACATGTCGTATGTCCTCCTTTGACATTTCTCCCAGAGCTATGTGATCAAGCTGTTATACATGCCGCACCTGTATTAGGATACTGGGTCATGTGATTTCACTTTGCTTATGATATTTATTAATCCTTTTCTTCATCGAACGCTTGGTTTAACTCGATGTATTTTTCATTCGCTTTTTCTTGCACTTGCTGATCGGCTCTGTATCGTTCTTTATGATATTTTGGCTGCCAACATGTATCGCTACGGGGCAAGAATGATGACAGTGGGTCGACTCCCCCTGATAGACTAGTCTGGAGCGCCGCGCGAGTGCTCAAGATCTGTTCATAATTTGTACAAGCTTCGTACCGAACTGGATATTGTATCAACAACTTTGATCCGAGGTTACAGTGCACCCTCCACGCGCGTTCGAAGTTTGATTGTCTTCGAAGTATCGGAGGAATTGCGGAGGAAAGGGTTAATTCTGACTCGGGAACCGCCGACTTGCGCGGGTTAAACCTTCCTGCTGCGAGCCCCATTTGCTAGTAGCAACTTATGCGGGCCATCGGCGGCTTTCTGGGAAATATAATCGAGTAAGCGCGGAATTAATGAATTGTGGATTCTTGGCTTAGTTCCGACATCACCACATCAATCACTTTCGAGGTGCCATGTGGTGATTCTTGGGATGCGAAGTGGCTCTGTGCCAGACCATATCAGAAGAAGAGTGCCATCCATCAATGTAGCCGCTTGATGAGCGAAGATCTGTCAGCAAGTTCTCTATGCAGCTTAAGTCGAGCGATGACACCTGCACTCGGCTGCGCCACCAGTGCGCCACCAAGGTTGAGGCTTGGAGTCTTTCTCAGGGAGGCGAATTCACTCACAGTGCCGGGAATGCCAAGATGAGCCTCGAGTGTATTTTGATGGTTAGCATGTAACTCCTTTCTGTCCGTGCGACTTAGCTGTGTGACTAGCATCACTAAGTACTAGAGTAATTGTGGCCAAAGTGTCGTCATACCCCTGTTTCAGGATATAGTGAGCGTGCGCGACGTCGGACGTGTGATGAGTAACCGAACCGACCTGCTATTAGAGCCGCGACCAAATACGAATTGAAATACTTCCACAATAAACGGCCGAGATTTCGAGATCGTGACGCAATACACGAAACGTGCTATCTGTGGAAAATACAAATTGGAGAAATTTAGACGCGGTGCAGACCGCGAAACCCGTCGAGGCTCATACGCCATGGGTAGCGGTGCCTGTTAAATATGCCATCGTGTTCGAGGCGCAGTCCGCAGTTATGTGGATGCTACCCTTGCGTTGTAAAATATAAGGATATATTTGAACATTGGCACTGGCAGATAGGCTGTGGTGAGTTTTTTTTCCGATTTCAGTATGCCCAGATAGCCATACCCCATTCTTTTCATCAAGCCGAGTCCCACTCCAATGCCAATGGTCCACTCGGTGCCAGTGTGATTATCAGCGGTGATACTGAGACGGCTGGCGACAAAACTGGTTATAATGTTGACTAAAGCAGCAACCACGCTAGGAAAGTCTTCGAGGTGTATTTTCAGCACTTCTATGGGCAGTGCAGGCGGGTCAAAGATAATACCATCACGTTCGGTCTTCTTGAGAATTCTGAATAATCTCCTTACAGAGTCAGAGGTGCCACGATTGGTTGACGAGCCGCAGATGCATGCTGGTGAAGATAAATAGTGGGATCTGTCTTATTCATAGCTCGTCTGCAGAAACCGCAGACAATGAAGTCGGAACTCTTGATGTTCGAAAGTTTTGCACCATCCTGAATTAGATTCTTGATTATCTTTGACGTGCTAATGAAGCCAACCTGAGTGGGAATTGAACAGAAGAGTCTGGCCATTTCATAGGCCGACTACAAGGACCGCAGGAGCGAGATTAATTGAGCTGCTGGAAGAGCATATACACAAAGCATACTCAGGGTGAGAACAACTAAGTACTAGTACGCCTTTGACAAGTGCGTGGACAAGAATTCACGTGACCGAATACTGACCAACTTGGGATCATGATTGTCCTTCGATCAATTGCATACTAAACCTAGTATTAAGTAGTACGTAGTGCATCTAGCTACCCCAGTCTACACCGCTCGACTTATAATGGCTTTCGGCGAGGTTGTACACTACGTGACCCAGCCCACAGACTGGCCTGAACCAGTCCGCGGTATTGCTTCCCTATTGTCACCATTTCACTGTCCCAACTGGCCAAGTAATGAGCATCTTGCCAGCACGTCATCCTCGAAGTTCCCGGAGCCACTTTCTTCCAATGAAGCACCTGCACCGGGATCATATACTGCAAAGGATTTTCAGGCCTTGATTCACTCGACAGCCGCAGGGTTAAGCGCACTTGCTGAGCTTCCTCACTACGGTGGCGAGAGATCCACTGTTCCCCATTGGTCTCAGCTTCTCCATGCACTGGCAAACACACTGTCTCCAGATGTTCTGATTCTGTAAGTGACGTGCTCGTCATGCATTGAACCAACATTCGAGTATCCCTACAGCGAAGATGCACCGTTCATCATGCCACGGTCTCAGAACATGACGAGTCAGCCGTCAAATCTCATTGACGGACATGCGACTCTTCTTGCTGCACATGCAATCTATTCTACGCCTAGAACTCCTTCAGACAGTTCCACCACCAGCTCACGAGACGAGGAAGACAATGATGAATCGATGTCTTCTGCAAATTTTGACTCGTGCGACGGTTCGGTTGACTCACTCGACCTGCCATTGCAAGCGCACATGCTTCTGGGTCGAGGCAGACGCCTTTCCGCTGTGGTGCCAGTCTTACTAGTCGCCGACTCCCATAATATTGTTCCCCTACTTTGCAGTGCTCTTTACCAGAGACATGTATGGGGGATCAGTCAGCCTGTGGTCGGCCTGTGCTGTTCCAGCACTGGTACGATTGCCACGGCCATCTTCGGATGGCTCGACTCCGATCAGTCAGAAGAAGGCCGCATGGCAAGTCCGAAATCAATGCATATCTTTCCACGCTCACCCTTCCTGAAGCCTACAGCGCACCTCGCTTTAGCAGCAGATATCCGCCTAGATCCCTCGATTGGGGTGTTTGACTTCAGTGACACCCGTTCTGCCATCAGCCTCGCGCAATTTGTTTTGGGGTTGCGGACTCATTTTCAAGATATCAAGGATGCCACATCGATAGAAGCAGTCGATTCTCTGACTCCGTTGCACTGGAGGTCCGATTTACCCGAGTTTGAAACTCAGTTTTTGGGACAATTGGACGAACGAGTGGCGTCCTGGACCCACCAGGTACACGTGCAGACGAGTTCCAGGCACGAGTCTTTATCTTGAGTGGCAAGTCAGAATATTAATGGTTGTTTAGCGAGGCATCATCGTCATCTAATCCTCGTACTCCGTCCCCGACCTTGGATACTGCGGTGGTATCATATGAAACGATGAGTTCTCCCTTACTTCCTACCATCGTCGAGGATGGACAAGTTCATGGCCCAAATATCCGGTCAATAATTCGACCTGTGTCACGCTTATCAATGCACAACTAACTCGAAGCTTTAGGCTGTCTAAAGAGACTCGCGCGACGAACGTGAAAGGACGGTAAGTTCGCTTTAATCACCCTGTTGACGATCTTATTTTGCCTGCAGAAGAGGGTCGCAGCCATCGTCCTCAAAAAAGTCATCAAAGAGAGCCAGTCCATCGCCACAACCGCCATCTGAGGTTAGGAGTTCGGCTTCATCGCGTGCACCCAGCCCATACCCAAACTCGCAGTATGGAGTTCGCTTCTTGGCTGACTAGCGTTAAATGACCGTTTCTCGTCTCCAGGTTTGCCGCATTGTCTGATACCGGCCTTGAGGACGGTGTGTCAATATCCAATTGGCTGTTTGAACGCCATGCGTTCACCGTCGGTCGAATCCCAGTCCGCTCTGTGGAACTAGCGAATAGGACCGGAATTAATGCAATGATCGAAACGTATGATGAAATGACGGCGTTTACCTGGTCTGACAACATCAAAACCATAGTGAGTCTGCAGTATTACATTTACTGCTGCTTCTCATCACGTCGCGCGCAGCTCTCGAGTGTCGAGGTAGATATCTTTGTATCGGACATCAGAACAGAACTATGCAACACGAATGGCAATCCCAACTGTCAGTCCAGCACAATCAATGCTCCCTCGTCGGAGGATATCGAGTTTATTTCATGCCGGATTTCAGCACTGTTGTACGCTGTGAAAGGTGCTCGCCTATGTGATGATGTCGCAAAGTTGCACGGCGCCAACGAAGCCGATCGGCGTCACGAATGGGATGCTCTACTTCTCAACTTCTTCCAACCTGTTCCCAAGCAACGGGATGTATTGTGCGTGGTTCATATGCCAGGCCATCTTCATTCTCACTATTTATCTAGGCTAGAGCGACAGCTGAACTTCACTCGTAATCTTGTTGCCGATGACCCTTCTTTTGCGACACGGACCATCGAGGTCGCTCTCGAATACCAGAACTTCTGTCTTGAACAGCACCGGTGTGTCCGTCTCACCGCAGAGACCTCTGGCAATTGGATGCAGACTGCAGCAGCACGAGATCAAGCAATCCAATTTTCTGACGATATTGAGGGTCGCGATATGAAGGGGAGTTTTGCTAAAGTGATTGCACATCACTCCTCTATGGATCCGATCACTGGAAAATGTGATGCTATCCTCGTCATTCCATGTTCCGGCGTTGCTACTGCCATCCTCGGGCGCATATCTGGTATCGACGAGCAAGAAAAGCTCCTGAAACTTTTCATGCTAGTCCAGGGTCCAAAGCCGGAGAAACTTGGCGGGAGTACGGGGGAAGCCTCTTACCAGATTGAAAAGACCGTCGGTCACAGCCGAAAGACCACACCCGGTAAATCACTTCAGGTCCCCTCCTCATCTCGTGTATCAGATTCCACCAAACCCGACCGAGCCCAGTTGCAAAATCCGTTTCTTTATCACCCTGATGCCAATCGAGCGACGCAGAAGAAAGAAATAATACCTTCCCAGGATACATCCTGTGACGAACCTAGTAGACAAGACCTACTACTGCCAGTGCTGTTGGCCGAGTACAAGAAGAGGGACGAGTCCGCAATTTCGACAGCCATGAATCAGATGAAGACCTACCTGGTTTCGGCGGTTACCTTCCTTTCCGAGTTCGGTATCACAGACCAGCCCGTCTTTGGACTGGTTGTTAATGGCGCGCTGGGTGCAATCACAATGGCATGGAAGAGAAACAATGTATGTGTTGCCTCTGTTCACCATTTCCGAAGGAGCTCATCAGTAATGTAGCGAATCTACGTCATGGAACGGAACGTCCGACACTATGATATTAGAGACCCTCTTCAGGCGCTTCAGTTTGTATCTATTCTGCCGCGCCTCGCGCGTTACGGCCTGGGCCTCCGCCGTCTGCTAGAGAAGCAGCTTCAATCTAAGCCGTGGTCCAAGTCGGCCCAGCGGCAGGAAGATGAAAGATTGGCAGCAGCTAAGCGGGCAGAGTCAGAGCAAGCGGTCGCACAAGATCGCAGGTGAGGCCATGCAGAGAGAAAATAGAGATTGGAACATGTACGACTCAAGTGGAACGTGATAGCCTTGCTTTTTGTACTCATTTACAATATTATACCAGTGTTTTTGTTCGCACTTGGAATATCACTTGACCGGTCCAAGTACTGTTTGTCGGTGCTCCGCTACACTCATAGTTAAGTCTCATACAGGATCAATCGACATGTCAGGCGCTGCTCGGTCTTCGCTGAAGCTTGCAAGTTCCATCCAGAAGTTGTTATGTGATCTTCGGATCCTGATGGATTCTGATTTGAACCCTCCCTCGAAACTCAGCCAATTCTCAAATGATGGTTGCCATGGCTGAATTCCCCGTGAACACAGCCTGAATCTGAAAATCGACACACACGATAAAGATAGATGGTGTATAGATCGATCAAAATGTTTTCACAAACAGGTGGGATTCGAACAATATCCCACTGCCACTGGTCTACATGTTCTCGGCCAAAGACTAAAACACATCTTCGAGTACTCTTGTCAGCTTTGTGAGCCGTGCTGCTGGCACAAATACTAGTAGGCTTGCCGCATGAGCTGTCCAGCAGTGTTTTATAATCAGAATGACTCCACATCGCGCAGCTACTCATAAACTTGAAAAGATCAGATAATAGAATGACCGGGATACTATCCCTCACGGCTGTCATCATCATCCCAAGGGCCAAAGTCGTCAAGTAACGCTTTTGTCACAGCTGCCATTTCCAAGTCCGCTCGGCAATGCCTAAGATGTCAGCACTTAAGTTAGAGCGAAAAATTATGCTTGTGATTGACTAGTGGAATATAGTATGGAGTGTGGGTGTAATCATAATGGTTGTATGGTACAGGATGTGCTACATGAGAACGGGAATCATGTCCTCCATGATGCGGCAAATGAACTTGATGCTGGTGTGGTATAGAATGTCTGGAAAATTGCCGATATGGTGGTATGCTACTGCAATGGGATTAATATTATAAGATCTTGTAGAACTTGTTCGTGATTCCGCCTAGATCCACTGCTCGTGATTTACCTTTCGGGCGGCTATCTTATCGACAGCCGAGCGACAAGCTTCGTCACAGCCAGTCTGAAGTCGTAGTATTGGTTTAGAACTCCGCCACGGCAACGTTCGGCTGGCTGTCACCAGCGTGACTTTGGCTGCTTTCGAAGAACTTCACCATTTCTTCATGAAAATCAGTCGTTCAACCTCGCAATGAACCGTACATGTTAGAAATATTGATTGAAGTTAGGTCGTGACGACTTATGGGGGTGACAACGACTCAGCGCTCAGCCGTGAAGTATACCGGTTCTCTCCATTCCTTGCTCTATTCGGATTTTCCGCCCCTATGATAAGTAAGTATGGATTGTCGTTGGGTGATAGCTATCCCCTTCAGTCGGAGATCAGAGACCACGGGCGCTGCTCTGGCGTTGATATGCCCTGACAACGTAATATTCCTTCAGTCGTCGATCGAAATGTCAGAGATTACGGGCCCCGCAGCAGCTGCTCTGGCATCGCTATCCCCTGACAACGTAGTTTTCCTTCAGTCACTCCCTAAGGCAGAACTTCATGCTCATCTTAACGGATCTATACCTATCAAAACCATACTGGAACTTGCACAGCAATATTCGTCTTCTGGTGCACATACAGCTGATGTCGCAGATGCTGTCGAGAAACTCGGGTCTGGAGCTGACTTTAATGAAATATCTGACTTTTTCTTTCTGATGTCTGTTATCTATGCTCTGACATCAACTCCGGAGGCAGTCGCGACCGTTACTCGTGCAGTCCTCCAATCATTCCTGAACTCCACAGGCGATGGCGCGGAAAGCCCTCAGTGCACGTATCTTGAACTACGGACTACACCTCGCATGACGACACACATGACGCGTGAGAGGTACCTCACAATTGTGCTTGATGAAATAGAGAAATATCCTGCTACTCAGGCCGCCCTGATCGTGTCCGTCGATCGTCGCATGAGTGACTTGGACGTCGCAGAATGCGTTAGTCTCGCCATCGAGATGAAGAACAGGGGCAGAAGAGTTGTAGGTATTGATGTATGTGGGGATCCACGCAAGGGCAACATGCAATATTTCACTCAGCACCTATCAAGAGCTAAGGGCGCCGGTCTTGGGTTGACCGTGCACATCGCGGAGGTTTGTGATGTTCACTCTGGTATATGCGACTCAACGATGATGTTCGGATTTGTAGCTCACGGAGAATACAACTGAGGATTCTCTGGCACTCCTCAGTTGTCGTCCGGATCGACTCGGACACGCGACATTCCTTTCAGATGAGCTCAAGGCTTTGTTCTTTGCGGACAACCCGCGGCCTGGGACAGAATCCAGCTCATTGTCTGAATGTGCACCGGGCACAATAGACCCTCACACACCAGCCGAACTCAGAGATCTTACTCACCCTCTCGACCCCAGATTTCAAAATATCGAAGAGGGTTATTTTCTGCGCTTCATTTCAGATAGCGCTGAGTCCGAGGGAGCGAAACTGCAGATGTCCTTCTGGGCCGATGCAGAGAAATTTTCTGAGCGAGCTGCGATCAAGGATATTGAAGAGACGACTAAACAAGCAGAGTCGCCCAATAACGCTCGCGCGAACGGACAGTACAAGCCATGCATCGAGATATGTCTGAGCTCCAATTTGTTGTAGGACCATGCATTGACTCTGCGAGTTATCGAATCCAATCATTCTTCTAGAGGCAAATCTGTCGCATCCCTCGACGCGCATCACATCCACTATTATCTGAAGAACGACCATCCTATTGTCATCTGTGTGAGCACGCTATCTTACGCCCCACAGGTTCTTTCGTCTGATGTTTTGCATTATCAATAGACCGACGACACACTCCCTTTCAGAACGTCATGCCTTGGAGAGTACTCTTTGCTTTTAGCGCAGCCTCCGCTAGGTCTTGGCTTGAGCAGAGATGATGTAGCTAGAATCGCGCGGATGGGCATGGATGCTGCATTCTTGAGACCTCGTGATTGAACTAGATTTCAGTCGCGAGTATGACGTCGAGTTTAGATGGGATAGATCCTGGCTCTAGAATACTGCTCGTATCACAAAGCAGGACGGCACATCGCCTGACCTGTGAAGAAGAAAGTACCTGTACGATACCTGTGAAATGGAACGAAGTGCCACCGGCCTTCCACTTTGAGGGCTTCGCTTTACCAGGTGATATTGCTGATGGACCTATCACTTCCATCGATGTGCTCATCAGCACAAGAAGCGAGAATGATATATTTAATGCATGATCGTTCCGCTCGTGAATTGTTTGAAGTTTCGATATTCTAGGAATGAAGAAATGTCGCAAAATAATACAACCGCATAGCAAATAGTTGCCATGAAATATAATGCGACACTAAATTCCTCGTCCGCCCGTTGCCTCCAGCGTATGGCCAGTCATGTACGATGCAAGCGATGAAGCAAGGCTGAACAGACCATCAGTTAGCTAAGGTACCGAGATAGAAGCTGGAACGTACAAAGCATGCCTGCGGCCGTCTCGTCAATAGCACCTTTCTGCAGAGAGGAATATCCACGAAGCATTGATGTTCCGGGCAGCAGCGCGTTGCTTTGCTCCAGGAATGCTCAGTGCAACATTCTGACCATCGATCTTAACGGTTGCACCGTCCCGCCCAACAACCCAAAAAAGGATGAGGGAGCGGCCTCTACCACGGATGTGGCCCCACACGACTTATATTGTAAATGGGTGAAAAAAAAGTTGGCCCGTTCCACTTGTACCGTACATCCAATCTCTATTTCCTCTCTGCACGGCCTCACCTGCGATCTTGTGCGACCGCTTACTCCGATTCTGTTCGCTTAGTTGCCGCCAATCTTTCGTCTTCCTGCCGTTGGGCTAACTTGGACCACGGCTTAGATTGAAGCTGCTTCACATCTATAGTTGCGAGCTGCTTCTCTAGCAGACGGCGGAGGCCCAGGCTGTAACGCGCGAGGCGCGGCAGAATAGATACAAACTGAAGCGCCTGAAGAGGGTCTCTAATATCATAGTGTCGGACGTTCCGTTCCATGACGTAGATTTGCTACATCACTGATGAGCTCCTTCGAAAATGGTGAACAGAGGCAATACATACATTGTTTCTCTTCCATGCCATTGTAATTGCACCCAGCGCGCCATTAACGACCAGCCCAAAGACAGGCTGGTCTGTGATGCCGAACTCGGAAAGGAAGGTAACCGCCGAAACCAGATAGGTCTTCATCTGATTCATGGCTGTTGAAATTGCGGACTCGTCCCTCTTCTTGTACTCAGCCAACAATACTGGCAGTAGTAGGTCCTGTCCACTGGGTTCGTCATAGGATGTATCCTGGGAAAGTATTGTTGCTTTTTTCTGCGTCGCTCGATTACCATCAGGATGATAAAGAAAGGGATTGTGCAACTGGGCTCGATCGGTTTTTTCAATCTGGTAAGAAGCTTCCCCCGTACTTGCGTCAAGCTTCTCCAGCTTTGGACCCTGGACTAGCATGAAAGATTTCAGAAGCTTTTCTTGCTTGTCGATACCAGATATGTGCCCGGGGATGGCAGTAGCAACGCTGGAACATGGAATGACGAGGATGGCATCACATTTTCCAGCGATCGGATCCTTAGAGGAGTGATATGCAATCACTTTACCAAAATTCCTCTTCATGTCGCGACGCTCGATATCGTCAGAAAATTGGATTGCTTGATCTCGTGCTGCTGCAGTCTGCGTCCAATTGCTAGAGGTCTCTGCGGTGAGACGGACACACCGGTGCTGTTCAAGACAGAGGTTCTGGTATTCGAGAGCGACCTCGATGGTCCGTGTCGCAAAGGAAGGGTCATCGGCAGCGAGATTACGAGCGAAGTTCAGATGTCGCTCTAGCCTAGATGAATGGTGAGAATGAAGATAGCCTGGCATATGGACCACGCACAACACATCCCGTTGGCCGAGAACAGGTTGGAAGAAGTTGAGAAGCAGAGCATCCCATTCGTGACGCCGATAGGCCTCGTTGGCGCCGTGCAACCTTGCGACATCGTCAGAGCTGCGGGCACCTTTTACAGCGTGCAACAGCACAGATATCCGGCATGAAATAAACTCGACATCCTCCGATGAGGGAACATCGATTGCGCTGGACTGATAGTTGGGATCGCCCTTCGTGTCGCATAATTCCGTCCTGATGTCCGATACGAAGATATCTACCTTGGCATTCGAGAGCTGCGCGAGACGTGATGAGCAGCAGTAGTGAAAGCAATGCTGCAAACTCACTGTGGTTTTAATGTCGTCCGACCAAGTAAACGCTGTCATTTCATCGTATATTTTAACCATTGCATTAATTCCGGTCTTGTTCGCCTGTTCCTCAGAGCGGAGAGGGATCCGGCCGACTGTGAACGCATGGCGTTCGAACAGCCAATTAGATATTGACACACTGTCCTTAATGCCGGTATCAGACAAAGCGGTAAATCTGGAGATGAAAAACGATCATTGAATGCTAGTCAGCCAAGAAGCGGGCTCCATACTGTGAGTTTGGATATAGGCTGGGTGCATGCGACGAGATCAAAATCCTATCCTCAGGTAGCGGTTGTGGTGATGCACTGGTCCTCTTTGATGAGAGATGCGACCCCCTTCCTCTGAAGGTAAAACAAGATCATGAATGGAGTAACTACAGTGAACTTACCGTCCTTTCACGTTCGTCGCGCGGGTCTTTTGAGGCAGCCTAAAGCCTTGAGTTAGTTGTGTGTTGATAAGCGTGACATAGGTCGAATTATTGACCAGATATTTGCACCATGAACTTGTTCATCCTCGACGATGGTACGAAGCAAGGAAGGACTCATCGTTTCATATGATACAACCGCAGTATCCAAGGTCGAGGGAGTACGAGGACTAGATGACGATGACTGTCTCGCTAAACAACCATGAATATTCTGACTTGTCATTCAAAATAAAGACTCATGCCTAGAACTCGTCTGCACGTGTACTTGGTGGGTCCAGGACGCCACTCGTTCGTCCAATTGTCCCAAAAACTGAGTTTCAAACTCGGGTAAATCGGACCTCCAGTGCAACGGAGTCAGAGAATCGACTGCTTCTATCGATGTGGCATCCTTGATATCTTGAAAATGAGTCCGCAACCCCAAAACAAATTGCGCGAGGCTGATGGCAGAACGGGTGTCACTGAAGTCAAACACCCCAATCGAGGGATCTAGGCGGATATCTGCTGCTAAAGCGAGGTGCGCTGTAGGCTTCAGGAAGGGTGAGCGTGGAAAGATATGCATTGATTTCGGACTTGCCATGCGGCCTTCTTCTGACTGATCGGAGTCGAGCCATCCGAAGATGGCCGTGGCAATCGTACCAGTGCTGGAACAGCACAGGCCAACCACAGGCTGGCGGATCCCCCATACATGTCTCTGGTAAAGAGCACTGCAAAGTAGGGGAACGATATTATGGGAGTCGGCGACTAGTAAGACTGGCACCACAGCGGAAAGGCGTCTGCCTCGACCCGGAAGCATGTGCGCTTGCAATGGCAGGTCGAGTGAGTCAACCGAACCGTCGCACGAGTCAAAATCTGCAGAAGACATCGATTCATCGTTGTCTTCCTCGTCTTGTGAGCTGGTGGTGGAACTGTCTGAAGGAGTTCTAGGCGTAGAATAGATTGCATGTGCAGCAAGAAGAGTCGCATGTCCGTCAATGAGATTTGACGGCTGACTCGTCATGTTCTGAGACCGTGGCATGATGAACGGCGCATCTTCGCTGTAGGGATACTCGAATGTTGGTTCAATGCATGACGAGCACGTCACTTACAGAATCAGAACATCTGGAGACAGTGTGTTTGCCAGTGCATGGAGAAGCTGAGACCAATGGGGAACAGTGGATCTCTCGCCACCGTAGTGAGGAAGCTCAGCAAGTGCGCTTAACCCTGCGGCCGTCGAGTGAATCAAGGCCTGAAAATCCTTTGCAGTATATGATCCCGGTGCAGGTGCTTCATTGGAAGAAAGTGGCTCCGGGAACTTCGAGGATGACGTGCTGGCAAGATGCTCATTACTTGGCCAGTTGGGACAGTGAAATGGTGACAATAGGGAAGCAATACCGCGGACTGGTTCAGGCCAGTCTGTGGGCTGGGTCACGTAGTGTACAACCTCGCCGAAAGCCATTATAAGTCGAGCGGTGTAGACTGGGGTAGCTAGATGCACTACGTACTACTTAATACTAGGTTTAGTATGCAATTGATCGAAGGACAATCATGATCCCAAGTTAGTCACTATTTCGTCACGTGCATTCTACACGCCCATGCACGTGAGGTACGTTTAATTGTTTTTACCACTGGTGTATCATACACTCTTCTGCCGCCGCAACCTGGCCCTGATGTGCCTTACAAATCCAACATCTCCAATGTTTGTAGACGACCTATGAGAAAGACAGACCCTGCTATTCAGCTTCCACTCAAGGCGCCTTGATTAGCACGTCGAAGATAATCAGGAATTTGATTCAGGATGGAGCATCTTCGGATATCGAGAGTTCCAAATTCTTGCGTGCGGTGTCTGCAGACGACCTATGAATAGGATAGATCCTACTCTTCAGCAGCAGCATGGATCCGTGGGTTGTCGACCAATCATGTCTGGGCTGCAAGTGATATGGAGGCATTCAGCTGTTGTTCGATCGAATGAGGTATGTTCTGACCACTCATCGGACTGTCATAATGGTGTACCGTAAAGTTTGACAGTTGCAGAACTCTGACATTTGCCACCCCCCTCCGAATCCGTTCGTTGCCATCGACAATGGGCACCAGTATCAAGATGTTCTTACGCAACTCCCAACCAAGCTCCGAGTGCTGATAAGGAAGTGACAAGGTGTCCCTTTGTTTCTATGAGGGTATGTCAGCCGATGCACATGCAGGTGCAAGGTGGCCCGGTAGTGAAAGGTTCGCGTGCAAGGGCAAGTTAAAGATTCCGGTGCATCACTTCCCTTTGTCCCTGCACCTCACTATTCAAACAATCATACACCCATGTCGGAGTCCGAGGAAGTAAAAATGGAAATGTCTTTCTCGGCCAATGCAGAGAAATTTTCTGAGCGAGCTAGGATCAAGGATATTGAAGAGATGATCAAACAAGCAGAGTCGCCCCAATAACGGATATACCTGACTCGAAGCTCCAATCTTTTGTAGGACCATGCATTAATTCTGCGAGCCATCGAATCCAATCTTTCTTGTAAACGCAAATCTGACGCATCCCTCAACGCAAAGCTTATTCGCCATTATCTGAAGAATGACCATCCTACCGCCATCTGTGTAAGCACACTATCCTACGTGTCATGGCTCTTTCGTCTGACATTTCCCATTATTGACAGACCGACGACACACTCCATTTCAGAATGTCTTGCCTTGGAGAGTGCTCTTTGCTTCTCCGCTAGGCCTTGGCTTGAGCAGAGATGATATAGCTAGAGTCGCGCGGATGAGCATAGATGCTGCATTCTTGAGACCTCGTGATGGAACTAGATTTCAGTCTCGGGTACGATGTCGATTTAGATGGGATGGGTCCCGACTCTAGGATACTGGTCGTGTCACAAAGCAGGATGGCACACCGTCAAACCTGTGAAGAAGAAAGTACCTGCGCGATACCTATGAAATGGGACAGCAGCGCCACCGGCTTTTACTTTCAATTCCAGAGGACTTCACTTTACCACGTGATATTGCTGATGGGCCTATCACTAGCTCGATGTGCTCATCAGTACGAGAATCGAAGACGATACATTTAATGCATGATTATTCCGCTCGTGAATTGTTTGATCGAAGTTTCGATGTCCTAGCAATGAAAAAATGTTGGATAATCATGACTGCATAGCAGATAGTTGGCCATGAAATAAAAATGCGACATTAGATTCCTCGTCCGCCCGTTACCTCCAGCGTATGGCCAGTCACGTATGACGCAAGCGGTGAGGCAAGGCTGAACAGACCATTAATTAGCTAAGGTCCTGAGATAGAGGCTAAAACGTACAAAAGCATCCCTGCGGCTGCCTCATCAGGGGTAGCACCTCTTTGTAGAGGAATATCCACAAAAGCATTAACGTTCTGAGCAGCAGCGCGCTGCTTTGCTCCAGGAATGCCCAGTGCAACCTTTTGGCCGTCAATCTCAATAGTTGCACCGTCCTCTTTTGCCGCGGTCAACCTGGATCCTGTTAGGTGCAATAGCGGGAAAATTCGGTACGTCATACCGAGTGTGCACGAGGCCATATGCAATGGTATTCGCACGAACACCAAATGGTCCCCACTCCTTTGCAATAGTCTTAGTGAGACCTACAACTGCAGACTTTGCAGCAGCATAATTTGCTTGGCCAACATTTCCATGCAGACCGGAAGTCGAAGAGACGTTAACGATAGAACGATTTTCCGCCGGATTGCTCTAACAGTTTGTTATTGTACGGGACTCACTGGACTAAGTACACTTGAACGAACCTTGACTCGGAAATAAGGTGCAGCAGCACGAATGAGGCGGAATGGTGCACGGACGTGGATTTTCATGATGATGTCGTACGTCTCGTCCGGCATGGTGTGAATCATCTTGTCGTGTGTGAAACCAGCTACATCATATATCAGATCAGAAGGCACTTCATGACTACCTCGAGATCGCTGACCGTTGTTCACGATGTGATTGATCTTGCCATACTGCCTGGAGTGCGATCAGAAATGAGGACCACTCGTATGGCGCAACAGCACTGACTTTACAGTTGCGTCCACGATTTTTTGTGGGAAGTCGTCTGCGCCGACATCTCCCGCGACAGATATTGCGTCGCCACCTGCAGCCTTGATCTCGTCCACTACAGCCGCAGCCTTATTGGCGTCAATACTAAGTAGGATAACGGGTTAGACTTTGTAGAATCTGGAACGCATTCGGGACACACTCGCTAACCACAACCCTGGCACCTTCCTTTGCAAACAGCAGCGCTGCGCTGCGCCCGATACCCTACAAATTCATGTGTTCATCAATATTATCTCCCCCTTGATCACAAAACTCCTTGCCTGTCCGCCACCTAACCGTACGTGGCCACATTAGCACCACAAGTATCATGGAATATAACACAAACTCACCAGTGATGATAGCTACCTCTCCTGAGAGAAGCCCACGTCCATGTGCATTGCTGAGGTGACCAGACACCTGTGCGAGACGGTTTGCCATAAGTATATCGTTGGGATGTCAGTGGGTGCTACGTCAACAATTGCTTCTTGAAGCTGCGAACCGAACTCGAGCTTCTTATTATCCGGCTCGGCTATAGCCATTACCGATGCCAACAACTCGTGAAATTCGGGGTATGTGCTAACATTTATTCACGTTCGCGATAGTTTGGGAGCCCGAGTTCATCACCGACGTCGTGGTGCTTTGAATTAGTGGTACAGATTTCACATGTCCCACAATTGCCGGAACACGCTTCAGTCAATCTTGATAACTGAAAATATCGTCAGCAGCTTGAAGAGCACTGGGAGGGTCATGGTCCCCGGAAGCACACTGGAGCACGAGCAAGATCCGAGGTGAGCAAGCCTAATTGCTCTGAAATATGATCAACGTCAACGTCAACGTTCCAAGTTACAACTATCGATCGTTCGTAGATCAGTAACGCAACAATACACCTCCACCGTAGCAAACTACCTGAACAACACTTTCGTACAACACTCGAGCTAAATATCTGCTATTACATGCGTAAATTATGCGTGGACAATCGTACAACATCGTACACGCGTCAAAACATGGTCTGGACGATTGATCTTGCACTGATATTAGCAATATCATAGCTAATCCGAGTCTTGTCGTCTCCGTTTAGGCGGGCGTTGCTGGGGAATCGTAGATGCAGACCCAGAAATCTTGGCTGAACTAGGATTGGTCGCTCCTCTTTGCGCGTGCCTCGCAGCTCTCGCAGAAGACCCATTGACAAGACCCATGAAGAGCGCGTCTGCATCGGCCTTGAGATCCCATATACCATCCATCTCCACATTAGCAAGCCTGCCAATATGGCGCTCTGCCTTTAATAACAGAGCCTCTCGTTCCTCCTCCGTCTCAGCATCTACGCGCAGGGCTCTCAGAGTCCGTGCGACATACTGACAAGCGGTGTACTTTCGCATACTATTTTCATGTTCTGAGGCTGGCGTTGCGCGAGGAGTAGGGAGATGGATAACTTCGTCAAGTTCTTCGCGGATGTCCTCGAGTTGTTCGTCTCGTCGTTTGAGGTTACGTTGGAGCCTTGCGACCTCCTTCTCCTGTGCTTCCAAGGCGGACTTAAGTTGTGCAATCTCCTCTTCAGCGTGATCCAATTCGCTTGCGAAAACAACTGGAATCTCATCGAATTCCTCTTCGATTCCAGCATCGATTCCAGCAAGTGTAATGACTGTGGGTACAGGATTAACATCTGGAGGCACCGGTGGTTGAGGCTGAACCTCTCTGACGGGTGGGTCATTCACATCAAGTGATGGCAGACGCTCTGCTACGGAGGCGGGTGGTGACCATAGAATACTGGGCGTCTGTTCGTTAGGTAATACATCCTGTATGGTGACATGAGAGCCTTGGGGAATGACAGGCGAATGGTGAATAGGAGTTTCAGGTGTTAGATCGGACTCCACCAGATGGGTTCTTTTTTCGTATGCACCTCGGCTGGCAAAAGGTGGGAGTTTGATCGTCAAGCCGGTAGGAGCGTTTTGGGGTAGTTGCGGTGGATTTTGAACGGTAGGAGGGTGGGCCGGGGAACGAGGTTCGAGGTTTGGGGCAGGGGCAGAAATGATTTGCGAGGGACCTGGTTCTTGATTATTCTTGGCTCGCGCACGTCTAGGTGTGGACTTGCGTGCTATACGACGAAGGTTTTTTTCGGTGGTACTCCTCCATAGCTTTCCGGAAACTGGGAGTTTTGAAGGAGAGGCGTCCGCCTGCTGCACGAGCCCCTCGACCTGTTCAACCGTCAGCTGAAGCACTTCAGCCGACTTTTCAATCTGAAATTGGCGTTTTCGTGGACATGGTTTGGCCCTTGAACGTGCACATGGCATACAACGCAACGAACCCTGCCGCGATGAAGGGTAGCACTCGCGTGATTGTGACACACACGCTGCACACTGCAGAACAGAGAAATCGGTAAGCTGTGAGCTAAGAACATAAGAAGTTTAGAGGGGGTTCATACCGCAGGCTGTCTTTCAACCCATTCCACGATGACATGAAGCGGCCATATCGTTTGCCAGACCTCGTGAAGTTTTGCCATCAGCTCCGGGTTATCCGTGACTGTTTCCGTCCTATCTTCCAATAGTTCATCAACTTCTCGTTCCTCGTCTACTCCCATTACATCCATGATTTCGGCATAATACCCACTTCCCGTTGCAGTTTTGGGCATGAGAAAAGTGTCTGGGTGTGATCCTAGTGTCCACTGTCGATGTGGAATATGTGCGAGGTGAAGCCGTGAAGATCTTTGTCACGTGTACATTTTCGGTTGCATCTCAATTAACTCATTACTACCATTTAAGTTCTCAAGTTACTAGCTTGCCAGCTCGCATTTGAATTTTGCATTTCAAAGCTACTGGTTCCACTTGGGAACAGAACACAGTTGCCGCAGGACGTTTCCACAAGCAACTTATACCGGGCCCAACGGTCAAGTATTGGAATGCTCTACATACTGGCGAGTCATCCGAAGTCTGAGGGAAACTATTGCAAGACTGTCCTACAATCCAGCCCCTCTACGTTGTGACCGCGACTGGAAAGACTTTGATTCATCTCATGGTGGCTGGCTGTGGCACGCATGTTGCCCTACACCAGTTGCACTCATCCTGGAAGGCAGTGCTCTTATCTTCAACGGACAGCGCGCAATAAAATCACAGCGCATTATCTCTCGTATAAGGCATATCTCGTGTGGAGCGGTGGTATTGGTGAGGGACACTAGCATTTTCTTGGAACGGGTCACAAATGTACTGTGCAGAATTTTGCGACGTCTGCGTGGACTACCCCATAGCATAAACAGCGCAATGTTTGTCCGTTCGGCAGGCCAGGCCAATCCATCAAGAAACGTGTTTTCTATTTGGTCTGAACTCCAGTTGGCCGGGCATCCTCTGGCGAAAAAGCTAATGATCATGACATCACATGTAGCAGACTGGTCTGCCGGTCTTCAAAAAGACGTTGATACGTCTGGTGAGTGTCTAATTTTCTTTACTGTATAGATAAATACTTAAGATATTTATCATAAGGTTAACATGAAGAGAATCCCTCGACCTCAGCAGCTCACAGCTTCTCTTTGTGTTACGACAACGGACCTATTGCAAAAGCCTTCGAATGATTGGTGCACGTTATATAAAAGCATGATAGGAAGAACATAACGGCGCCGGACATTCCGTGCAGAATTCCAAATGTCGGCGTTACACGACCCATAGCATAAAGGGCGCAATCTAGGATCACCGGTATAAGTCAAGGCCTCCAATTATCTAGATGCATATTATCATAGTGATTTCGCTGTGCCATGTTCATCCCCAAGATCCCTACCAAGGATTCGCCTGACTCGTTTGAATTCTGGTGGAAAATGACCACCAGCGCATTCCTTGTTCTTGCGGGGGGCGTCTTCGCTGGGTGGGTCGCTCATTGAGTCCAGCAGATGTTGATCCAATTGATCTTGGCAGATTAACAATTGGTCTCATAGGGCTCGACGAACTTCATCTCCGTGTATTAGCCACCTCATCAGAGGAAGAGGCGGAACGGACAAATGCACAGATTGGTGCGTGCAATATCTGACAGGTGTCATCCAACTTTCAGTTGATGATGCTCAGTGTTGAACCTCATGCAAAGAGGTCGCCACTGGGTGCTGGTGGTAAGTCTATACTTGCTCTCTATTCTTCTCACTCTCAAGCTCGTTCAAGGTGCTTCTTCTCAGCAATGTGGTTCGTATCATCGAGTATATATGATTTCGTTTTGCATAATGAGGGTCGTCTTTTAGATCATCAACGAGAGCTTGCCAATCTTTCTTGACAGCGCGGTGAGCACATTTTCGGCATATAGCCCCTCTTGGTCCAGAGTAGATAGCCTTATCAATAATCAGATTGGAGGAGGTTTACTTGCTATAGTAATTTCAGCGACTGCCATTGGTAAGTAGTAAAATTCACGCATCAAATCCAACTAACCGGATCGTCTTCAGTTATATTTGGGTATGCGTGCCGTTCATTTTGAATATCATGAATCGAGAACACTAACATCGAAACCTTCCTTTCTTGGCGGACAGAGAGTAAGTACAATGTGGCGTACACTGTGGAGTTGTTTTTGAAGCTACTTACCAAAAGGATCATACCTCAAGCAGTTTGCGCGAGACACGGTCTCGCCATTGGCGCACGATGTGCGCCATATGTTCTTCTTCTGATGTATCTCTTTGGTATGTACGCTGTTTTGATTACCAGGAGTTTGTAAATGACCTCTCCCTGGGCACAGCACCCGTCGCATATCCAATCGCAAAAATTCTCGACCGTGCCTTAGGAGTTCACGATGCGCACACCTACAAGAAAGCTGAACTTAAATCCTTTCTCCAATTCCACCGTACTGGCCAGGAGCCTTTGCGCGATGATGAGATTGACATTCTCAACGGCGTCCTAGAGCTCAGCAGTAAGAACGTGGAGATGGTCGTGACTCCTATTTGTGTCGGTATTTCTGATAATTCCTTTTGTTGGGCGCTCAGCACTTACGGTGGGTGTTCATTATTGCAGGATGTTGTCATGTTGAGTTCGGATACAATTCTGGACCACTCCACTATTGACGCTATGTATTCGGATAACTGCTTTTGTCTTCGCAGAAGCACGCTCACATTTCTTCAGCCTTGCCAGCGGCTACTCCCGGTTTCCCGTGCACAAGCCAGGAAATCCGCTCGCATTTGTGGGCCTCCTTTTGATTAAGAAGGTGCATCTGAAGCCACACTTCGTCTGGATAGCTTATTGACAGTCGCGTGACAGTTGCTGATGTATGACCCCGCACGAGGGCTTCCTGTCTCGCACTTTCCTTTGTCCATCTTACCTGAGGCCTTACCATCAATCAACTGTTTCCAAGCGCTCGATTATTTGTACGCTCTCACTACGTGTTTCTATTCATGCAAGTCAGGTGATGATGGAAGCGATTTTTTTAGCCAAACGGGACGTGCGCATTTATTGTTGATCAGTCGGACACCTGGTTTACCTGGCGGCGGAATTGGTGTGATTACTCTAGAAGGTAAAACCAATCATGTGCACTTGTCGCTGCCTAACAATTTTTATATTTCGGTCAAGATGTCATCGAGGTATGGTATTCGTTTAACTTTCTCAGGTATATGATCTGATGTTTCTCCCAGGAAATGATTTCGGAGGAGATCGTCGATGAAACTGATCAGTACGAGGACAACCAGAATAAGCGGCATGCTCAGCGTATGATCAACGCTACTGTCATGAGAGAGTGCGTCTGTATCTTGTTGTTTGGGCTCGATTATAATTCCCTCCTTCTATCTAGCATTGTTGAACTGGATAGAAGTGTATTCACGTGGACACCTACTATCGAACCCACGCAGGTAATTTCTGTGAACATCGAGACCGTGCCCCTCCTTCCTGGGTCAAGCCAGAACGACTTCCCTCAGGCTTATCGTTATGTTTATAATTCAATCGGCGAATTAGAACACTAGAATCATCAATATCCAGGAAGCTGTGCATCCCATCTATGTTGAAAAGCCACATTTGCTAGGCATCGTTCTGTTGTCTAACGTTTAAATGCTCATCAATCGAGCTCTTGGCATCCGGCTTTCTTTTCTCGGAGACCTGATTATGATTGACATGTGTCTGCGTGACTCGCTTCTGAGACAAATGCAGCCAGGCCCTCGCGAAGGTTTTGGAACTGTGATATCTTGTTGTCGAGGCGCTTGCCCCTTCCACCAGCTTCTCTCATGGCAAGTCCAGCATCAAGATGAGCATCCTTGTTACCAGCAGTACTCTCGTATCATAATGCCTGTACATTGGATCGCATTCAATTAATGTTTTAGGTTATATCATTTTCCTAACTGTCAAACTTACTCTGTCCTTAGCTTGCGCGCATTCTTCTGGCCGCCTCCGGACCTATCAATATTTCTCGTTTGGTGGTGAATCCCGACAGTTTTGGTCAGTTTGTCAAGAATCAGCCTACGCCAATAGAGTCTTATCATATATACCGTTCCTGTATTTACACTCACTCCATTAATGTTCAAGAGTTCCCTAGCCCCTGGGCGACTATATTCGCCCGCCTTACTGCGCGTACTTTACAGTACATGTTATATTATCGTGTCGGTTTTGATTTCAACTGGATGCACGTCCGAGTCAATCTCAGATTCAATTAGAGTTTCAATTGTTTTGGAGTGTTTGGTCGGTCTATGCGCACGCTACGAAATCCCGAAGACGAGTCGAAAGGCTTGTAGTCTGGTCGTGTAAGGATTCCATATTCTCTACACCCCGACCAAGCTCTAAAATGAACACCAACGAACCACGCGGTCGCAATCGTCCACGTGACTCATTGATGCGAAGAGCGCAACTCTTCGCATCCGAGTTACGTGGATGCATTCCTTCATCTCCCTTGTCCATTTTCTTTCGTTACCTTACCTTGTGCTCAGACCTCACCATCTCCTTGTCTCACCGAAGTATTTTCACCTCGCCTTACGCTTCATGTTCTCGTTCCGGCCTAGTCAAGTATTCGAAAACGTATATATACTGCTCATGTACTCTCCTACCTACAGCGAATCTTAGAGTCAGATCCCCGCTCCAAGAACGACCGAAAAGTCCCTCAGAAAGTCTCTGTCACGGCCATTTCCCAACTAGTCTCGAAACTATCCAACTCGTCCCTCTTCAGAATCGTTTTATTTGCAATTCCCTACCGAACTCACACTTAGCCTTACAGTCGGTTTCTTTGTCGTCTCTAGGCCAAACTCACAAGACTCATTCGTCTACGATAAGGATTAGGCCTATCTGTAAAACTTCTCCATCGATGGTCATAGATGGTGCGCGGACCCCTGTTTCACACGATTTATTTACTCCCATTGAAAAAAGGCTTAAGTTGAAGGAGAGACTTTCTAAGTAGAATTAGAGGTACAGGCGGTAGGGGTGGCGGCAGCCTTCTAAACTGCTAACAATCCGCTTTACTAGCCCTCCCCACGTTAACAGCTGCCCTAGGGGACGGTGGACTGCAGCAAGGTGCGAAAATGGTGGTCAGTCTGGAACTACTCCACATAGACTAAAATTCTATGTCTGTGCCGCCTCGTTCCTCGGCGGCTTAGAAACGCAGCTAGTGGGTGAAACTGGCAGATCGATAAGGGCGCTACAACGACACGTCGACACTCGCCCATTTCAGACGCCGATACCAATACTTGAGAGATCCATCCGTTGACTATAAAATCAGCCTCACGCACTCGCTTGCCCTACCGCTGACTCAGTGACCCGGTTGTTGGTACCAGTATGTACCACAAATATTTGATCCTGATACTAATACATACTCATCTTGTAGCCTAGGTCGCTCTTACCTATATGTCACTGATTCCCCGGATATCTTCTTATACATACAAGCAGAGAAGGTGTGTTCGTCTGTCGAGTGGCCACGTCCGCGAGAAAAATGGAGAGAATATCAGTAACACGATGGCGGCAATAATATTCTCCCGATCTTCTCCGCTTTATTCGTTTTTTGAGGAAGACTGCGGTGTTCAGGCTGTAGGTGAGCTCATCTATGATGTTTGCATGAGTGAAGCTGAAGAGAATTTGCAGAAGAGACGACTCGACGCGAACTGCTTCCGCGGGATCAAACTGTGCAAGTGCGCTCCCGTCCTCGGGGAAAACAGGGCTCGAGGTATTTCAATGAAATATCTCTTTCTCTGAATTTTGGGTTGCAGGTCAGTTTAAGTTTATCTGTTTTGTCATGCAAGCATGCAGCTGAAGAGAGTTCGGAGAGGATGTGATGACTCGACACATTACTCCCGCGGGAATAAGCACTGCAAGTGTGCTCGTGTCCTCACGATAGCAATCGGGGTACACTGCAACTTGCATCTCATGAAAGAATCAGTATACTCCGATCGCTTTCGCTGGAATTTTGGGGTACGACCGGGGTGTTCGAGTGTAGGCAAGCTTATGTCTATCTATTCATGCGTCGCTGTGACGTGTGACGAAAGTAAAATCGTGTCTCTACAGCACGCTAGTAGGAGCTACCCCGGCGTCGTCGACACGACACGACACTTACGTTTCAGACACCAATATCAATCCAACCAGAAGCCCAATCGATCCATCAACGAGCATTCATAGTACGTAATGATCAACCAATATATCCGGCTGTCGGTGAGAGAGGCAACTCTAATTACACTGTTGTTATCAGTTGGTCGAGATATCTATGCTAAATGCATCCATGCATCTCAAAGCCATGTAGTGGTACACGTGGTTGTAGGCGTTCGACAAAAAATGCAATTGGTTCGGTATTACCAACAGTACAGGAACAACTATCAGGAGACACTATAACAGTACTGGTACAACTTTGTATCAAACGATAGCAGTTCAAGCAAGTTCCCAGTCTTCCCCATTATCCGTGTAGAAGAGCTCCTTCAAGCTCGGATCGCTCTTAGAGGGGGGCCCCACAGTGAATTTGTTCAAAAGGTCGCTAAACTTCAACCCCACCTGAGGAGCAGGGGAAAGAATCACTTGACCGCCGTCAGTGATGTGAATGGACAGACTGATGGTGGGCAATGTGATAGCGATCTCGTCAGAGCCAATCATGACGATCCCTGCACTGCCCTTGTTGCTGATATCAACACGGAAGCGAGTGCGTTCGTTGCGCGAAACATAGACCTCATTTGAGGCTGTGCCGTCACACAACAGGGGACAGTACCAGTACTCGTAAGGGGAGGTTTTGGAGCGAATGAAGAAACTTTGGTAGGGCCGCTATCAGCGACATGTGGATCACCCTACAAGGAACTAACTCACGAGTTCCCACTGATGTGGTCCACAAGATGATCAGGCGACGGGATGACGCTCAACTGGCGACCACCTAGGTCGTCCATCAACAAGAAAATCACCTTGTTGAGGAATTCAGTCGCAACCCCAGCCGTGACGAGGGAGTTGGCCGCGTTGGCCTGGTTCACGTCATGGAGGTAGAATTGGGCGTTAACACGCCGGATACTGTTCGCGAAACTAACGACGGAGGAAGTGGACACGGCACGCCACCACTCGTCGGCAACCTCGTGGCTAGCAAAGGCCATTACGTATCGATAGCTCCAGGTGTCGGTGCTCTGAATAGCGATTTAGCACGACATCACAGACATTAAAGAATGAATTTTTGGCCAACCTGTTTTACATATGCGTAGAAAACCATGACTGTACGTTCAATAGGAGAGATGATTTGTTGATTGAGGTTGGAATGAAGTGAGTCGCTCGAATACTGCACATTATATAGGGAGAGCAAGTTATTTAGTTGGGTTGATCATGATATCACCGGAAACGAGCTACTAATGATGTGCCGGGTCTAGTGATGCTGAATACTGCAAAAACCCTGCAGGGAAGGCGGGGAATTCATGCAGTGAGTATGTGTGCCGGGTCTGGTGACAATGCCGGGCCCGAGGCTCTCAAGCTGTTACGGTCGACCCTATCCTTTTTCTTACTTCCTCGTATGACCCCGCAATATGGTGCCTGGTACCCTGTTATTGTTCGAACCTTCTCGCTGGTTCCTTCCAGTAATACTATGCAAGGCCCGGCTTCAGGTCGTGGGCCGAGCCGAGCTGAGCCCTTCCGAAGGGCTCATGAAGGCTTAAGGCCCGAGTTGAGGTATCTGCAAGCCTGAGCTGGGCCCTCGAGCCGCAGCTTATGATCAGTGGGTAGTAGTACTAAGTACTTTATGCAGGTACTCACTTCTCTAGGTTCTAGCGTGTTTGATGTGCTAAACTTTCACTTTGTCGCTTACTTAATCATCTGTCATATGATTCGCCTGTCACCCGATCCATGCTCGCTTCGGTTCCTCACCTCAAACTTACGAAGGACCAATTTCTCCATGCATCAATCCAATCGATCCAGCTGAGATCGACCGTTCCGCCACATTGTTCGCCCCCGCAACGCCCCCAGCAACCCCAACACTTGTCTTTCGTGATCAGCCCCAGCAAAATAGAAATTGCACGGCAAGTGTAGATTCCGAATGCCGCGCCTTCATATTGGTACCTGTCACTCAGGACCCACTTTCATTTGACTTTCCGGTGGTCGAACCTGTTTCTCCGAGGTCCCACTGGCAGGGACCTGCCAAACCAACATCGGCTCAAAGTGCCGTGAAATCCCAAATTTGTGATTCAATTCATGCACCATCCGGCCACCAGACTACTTACATTGTCATCATCCCCAATTGGCATGCCCCAAAGGGATGCTCAATTTAGTAAAGTGTTGATGTCTTACATTTGGGATCCAAGCTAGTCACTGAAGGAGGGAATTGAAGTGGAAATTGGATGGACTTACCGCGACTCGTACTGTAATTGTAACTCACCGCCTCGTGATCAGCCATTGTGACCACCACCCTGGAACTTTCGTTGCGAAAGGAGCTAACTTGCACCTCACATCAGCACTTCCCGGGGTTGGCAAGATATTGGCTGTCGCGCACTAGCCAGGAGCAGCCGATTGGTTGTCCCAAGCTTCATGTACGTGACATTCATTTCTGAATACATCACTGCTGATAGCAGGGCAAGCATGGGCCATTAAGATCTACAGCGGAAAGACTTGCGCAGGACGAAGTGGGAGCTGCTATGAATTACGAGCGCCAACTTTGTATCCGTGTCAATGAGGTATGACGAGCTTTTCTGCTGAAGTGATGTTATTGTCACGAGATGTAGATGGGAGTCTCATCCACACGTCAGAGTACTCAAAGTGATTGGACAACACAACTCTAGTGGCGGTGGAAGTCATGTTGCGACTGTGAGTTCGATCAATGATTGTATGGAGGTTCTGGCTGACGCACGCATAGCTGGACTTTTGGACCAGAGAACAAATGTCCCACAGCTTCATGCATCCACAAGAGTACTTTGAAGTCCCTGCGTGTCTTACTATTGAGAAGCTCGAGTCACTACCGTAAGCCGAGGCGAAAACTCAAGACCAGTAAGTTCACCAAATTGAATTTCGAACTGCCTAATACGGTTTGAGAATACTTACACCCACATAATTTAGTAACGCTGCGGTCGGATACCATCCACCACTAGCACTCGCTGATCACTGATCTGAGTCAACAATTTCGATCGATGATGTATTGGTCGATAGGGAACTTGCTGATGAGCGCTTGATAACGGGATGGAAGATCTGTTATCTGACGGGCCAGGTGAGATAAGCAAACGTTTAAACTCATAGCCCACAATTTGCAATCGTAGCATGCTGCTAGTAACATAGTGCGGCGCGCTTTTTTAATTATGCAGGTGAGAGAAGTCGGCCATTTCACATTCATCGAGGGTTTGTGTTGGCCATGACACCGTCACGGTGGCGCTGCCTCCCAACCAGGATGCATCAGGCAGCCAATAAGGTGAGGTGGGAGTGAGTAGACCATCCACGTGCGAAGTTGCGCACTTGTGCATGCGCAAAGGCTTGATCGCAGTTGTGCACCCCATGCAAATATCACAGTCATGGATGTCGCCCCTGCAGAATATGATTAATACAACCTGCATCCAGCAGAAGCTGAAGGACGTCTTCAAATTCTTCGTGGGCGACAAAGAGACAGCATTTCTCGCTCCAGAAAGGTGTGCGTCGGATAAACAAAACGCAGTGCTTAAGCTTATGTTTATCACGACTTGATACTCTGACTTCCTTGCATGAAGTGAACTGTGCTGAAGGTACCTGCATACTACGGGGTCTCCTTCACAAGATTGTGGACAAGGAAAGAAAATGATGCACGCCAGCCACGAGTGATATATTGATATACGAAACGTGTTGAGTAAAGTGCTAGTTTATGTACGCTGTCGCCGAACTAGGCTCGTACAGATCATCTTATTTGCGGTACCTGGAATGTAGCCATTAGCATGATCCATGACAAATAAGAGTACAACTCACCAAAGCACATTCTTCCTGCTTCTTCTCATTTTGCGCTGAAGTTGCAACATACCATAAAGCAACGCTTCAGCAGTTGGTGGGCACCCAGGGACGTAGATATCCACGGGCACAATGCCTATGAGACAAATATTAACTGGGCCGCCGTTGGACCAGAATGAAAGAATGCTTACGATCGCAACCACGGACAACAGCGTATGAGTAGTGGTAGTAGCCACCGCCATTTGCGCAAGATCCCATGGACACAACCCATCTTGGCTCAGGCATTTGATCATAGACTTTACGGAGAGCAGGAGCCATTTTGTTTGTGAGGGTACCAGCGACAATCATAACGTCAGATTGACGCGGAGAGGCACGGAAAAGAATACCAAAACGATCCTGGTCATAGCGAGTAGTAGCCATGTGCATCATTTCGACAGCGCAACATGCGAGGCCGAAAGTCATGGGCCATATCGAACCCTGGCGTGCCCAATTGACAACTTTGTCTAATGTTGACAGGACGTATTCTACAATCCGATTAAGCCTACTCAGTGAGAAGTGCATGAGGCATACTCACCAGCCTTGTCCTGGGGTTGCTCAAGGCTGAGTTGATTTGAGCCATGCATTGCTAATGTGGTGATCGGTTCAGAAGCAGAGGAGACTGAAGTAGGTATAGTTTCTGGGGCTTGCGGAGACTTCGACGTGTGCACAGAGCGAGTGGCTGTATCAGAAAGGTTAACTTAGAAAGGGTTCAAGAGTAATTAATTGATGGAACATACCATAAATCCCGAGAGCGGGTCTGAGTGCTGCTACTTTATAGGCATTGGTAACTGCACGAGAGGCCTATGAATTATATTGAGTAGCACAACACATGTATTCACCTGGAGCTCTTAAAATGCCGAGCGACATGACGATCAGAGGAGAAAAGTTGAGCTCGATTACTGTTGTGGAGTCTGCCATTCTGCCAGCTGGTTTGGCAGAACCGGTTCTGCCCGGCAGATGGCTATGTTGTGGGCAGAGCTCTGCCGTTCTGCCACATGACAGGGCAGAACTGGCACTGCCAGGCAGGTGGCAGAACCTCCTCCCGGGCAGAATGCAGCGGAACTCAGCACCGTGGGAGGATGTACTGTATAGTATACAGTATCAGACCAGTGTATGATAGCGTGATTTGATCCATTTAAATTCTCTGCAATGCCTACAAAGTCTGGAGGCCGGCCTCTGAATGCCCTCATTGAAAACAACTTCAAAAAGCGGGCGAGGTTGAACGGCTCTTTTCAGACCTTGGTGCCACGCAAGCGCTGCAATCTCTCTGTTGGCACATTCGAGACACTTGGCAAAATTCGCACTCACCTTCGCTATCATATCCACTTTAAGAATGTCGCTGACGGCAAGCCAACACAACGCCGTCATGCTCACATGTGATACAACCGAACTTCCAGGCATTGATACAGATGTTGCCAAGCAGCTCGAGACCGACTTTTCATGTTCCTCCACTTGTGGCAGCCTCTGGTGACGATCTCGAAGGCCCCGAATCAACCTCACTTGACGACATTGATGCCGAGTTTGCTCGACTTGAAGATATTCGTAATGCGGAAAGGACGCAGAGTTTGCTTCGGACTGTGATGTGGATAGGAAGGAAGTTTAGAAGGGAGTGTTCGACTTTGCAAAATTGCAGTGTTGACGAGGGATTAGTACCTGCGGCAATGGAGGACGAGATTATGGTCACGGATCATGATGCAACTGAAGATGGGGCATGGAATATCAATTCCATGTCGCTATCGAGCGGTCTCACATCCATGTAGTTAGTACTCTAGTACGACGAAAAAACACGTGAAACCAAGAGCGCGATTTTTGTCCAATACGGTCCCCCATACCTGCGCAGTCCAAGAGAAACAGATTTCGATTCTGTTGTGTAGTGCTGCCGCGGTCCGGTCCAGAACCACGGTTCGAACCGAACTTTTGGTCCGGTTCTCCGTGGTTCGGTCCATGGTTCTCTTGCCAGCCAGAACCGGACCGGAAAGCGGTTCTGGGTTCTGGGTATTCCCAAACGGTCCAGTTCTGGTCCGACCTTCCCGAACCTTCCTGAACCGAACCTCGACTTCGACTTCCACTACGATGACGACGGTGTCCATGTCGACGTCAAAATATCGTCTTCGAGATTTGCACTATTGGTTAATCAGGCTACCGTTAGCCTTTTTGAAGGTAAGTACTAATCAATAGACTCTCAAGACTCGGTAACCACGTGTTTACATAATTCGATGGACACCAAGAATAAGCAAGTCGGGGGCTGGCGCAGGCGTGTACCGTTACCACGGTGTCCTTGTGGTCTCAGCAACACTTATACGCCGATCGTTTCACTTTCTTCGAGACCTTTGATCGAGGCGGACAAGCTGCTACTACGTACGGGGCCTTAATAAGTCTCTTCCTGACATATAGTACTTGACATGACCTGTCAGTCGAGTGGAACATCATATCAACCTGATAGCAACTCCGAATCGATATCGCGATTTATGAGGATTTGAACATTCAGATGACCTTTACAGCCATGTACCCGAATGCATCGCGCTTTCGCAATCACTGAGTTGCTCGTTCACATTCTCTGCGAGGTGTACAATAATGACGAGGGACTTGACCTCCGCCGAGGCATCAAGGACATGGCTAGGGTTTCTCAGGTCTGCAAGACTTTCCGAGATCCTGCATTGGATTTCCTTTGGAGAAATCTCGACAGCCTGCTCCCGCTTCTTCGGCTGCTTCCTCTTGAAATTCACGAAGAGCATGGTGATAAAGCTCGGCTTTCAAAGGTCGTCTCGTCGGCCCGTTACCAGCCACCTTCAATTTGCTGATTTTTCTGCAGGTTCTTGAGGACCTAAAATCGTCAGAGCGCCAGCGTTATGTCTCAATATCCAGCCGCGTGCGCAGTCTGTCCTTTTCGGAGCCACGCGAGCCTATCTCTCGCAATTTAATAAACGATATTGTCAAGTATAATCTCTTCTTAACTCCTCGCGTAGATGTCCTCCGCCTTCGCATATCGTCCGAGGCTGGCCTTCGTCTTCTCCCAGCCCTTATCACACCTGAATTGACCGACATCTCCATCTCTTTTGACGAAAATCTGTATATTTTCGATCGCCCACTAGATTTAGGCGACCTCATCAAGTCGGTATACATGACCATCTTTCGGTGTGCGCCCAAGCTTGTACATTTCTCTGCAGTTGATTTGTACGAAGTACTGCCGTTTTTGTCACTTACTAAGGCCCCGGGTCAAGGTCATCTGGATATATCATGTCTTCAAAGCCTGACACATGCATCATTCCACATAACTGTCGCTTCCTTACCGCAAGTCCTCGATCTAACGTCACAGCTTTCCAAGCTGAAGGACTTGACCATTCAGGCTTGCGAGAAACCTTTCGAAGAAATTCCCCGCCTCTCCTCCCTCGCGCCAGAGACATTCAGCTCGCTGAAGAACGTCACGTTTGATGGCTCTCCCGATATTATCAGCCGCATATTCTCTGCATTCCCAGCTAATCGTGCCATCCAATCCGCGATTCTACGGATGCACGGTCTTTACACCAATGCCGATATTGCACTGGTACTCTTAGGGGTTGTTGCAGCGGTCTCCAAGGAGTCATTACAAAAGATTATAATGACTTCCGTGCTTTCAAGCAACGACCTTGCATATTGGGATGCTGATTCGGGAATCGACACTCGCCAGTTCATACTAGACATACATGCTATTGAGCCCGCCCTGCAGTTCCAGAATCTCGAGATCTTTTCGGCCTGTCTAGGTATCCCACTCTATCTCACAGATGAAGACCATCTGCGCATCGCGCAGACATGGCGCTCTGTGCGGCTACTATATCTATCGCCGATCGTCCAGCGTGTTGTCTGGACCCACAAACCTCCAGCCAGCATTGCGTCCTTGGTGCACTATGCACGATATTGTCGCCACTTGAAAGCGCTTGGGTTGTGCCTCGATGCATCTACGGAAGCCAGTATCGATGCATGCGTGCAAGCTATGGACGCCTGCGACAACATTTTAGAAGCAAACACCACCCTCTCATCCCCCTCGATCCAGATGATCGAGTTTGGTCCTTCATGGCTGGAGTGTAACTTCGACCCTGTGCAAATCAACTCTCTAGCCAAAGTATTCACTAGGCTTTTTTCCAACCTAGCTGCGTGTCGCGCGTGCCGGACGGAGGAGCTTGGGGTGCCGCAGTCTGCGTGGACTTGGATAAAAGTGCAGACACTGTACGAATACATCCTCTTTACGGAACAGGGCTGCAACGTAAATACCCACCGGAGCGTGTGGAAGTTGAGGCTGTTTTCCAAGGTGTGTCGTATGTAGTTTTCTCGTTGCCGGGTATGTAATTGTACCTCCAGTGGATCTTGGAATACGGAAAAGATTATGAGAAGGTGGCCCTGGCGGTACCTGGTTCATCCTTGGAAACTGATTTCGATGAGTATGTTCTCTTTTGATCTACGGGCTCACTTCCACACACTGAGCTTTTGTGTTTCAGTGATCAGAATGCGGAAGCGTTCAATCAGATTATGTACAAGACAGCAAGGGACGAACTCGCGAAGATATCTAAAGAACATGAGGTCATTTGAACAACACCCGCAAAGTGCAGGGCGTCATGTCTATCGTTAATGTGGTCTTCATCTACCCAAAGTGCGGTCATTTTAGGAGCACATGAGGACCCACGCCTTGTTACCATTGTATTAGCTGTCTGGGGCCACAGAATAGGATTCCCCTATGATTGTGAGTTGAGGTCCAGAAGCGGAACCAGACTAAGTCATTAGGCGAGTTGGCGGTCATATTGTTGGTAGTGCCAATGAGAAGTCGACGAAGCCTCGTCATCGGTTTATCAGGTGAATCGCACAATTCACCAGTTTGCTCGTTGATTCGAACCCGCTTCCTCGATTAAACTCGAAAATGTTTCAAGAGACTTTGATTTGAATCGAGTTACAACTATGACCTAGTCATCTGAGCGCAGCGTCAAGTGTGACAAATACTAATCAGCGGCAACTGGCGGTCTACCAGCACCCTCAGAGGGGAGCACATATCTACACACGAGGACTGGTTTGTCGTCAGTGGTAGCAAGGTCTTGGGTGGCGTCGGTAGTTACATCATCGTCACAGTTGGTACGAACTTGAAGAGCTTCGTTGGCTTGGCGTGTATTTCCCTTTGCTTGCCAACACCCCAGTTAACCCCAACTCCAATAGTGATCAGGACAGACACAGAGAGCACCCCGCTTCAATTGAAGCTCAATGTCCTGGCGGAATTAATTACGAACATTGGAAGCATTGCTGGCATCGTTATCTTCTCTACTCTGATGAGAACTTCCTGGGATGTGTCTTGGACTCCTGCGGGATGATGACCAACTCCTCCGTCATCTGCGCGGACAAGACCAGTACACTCATTTCGCTGGTATAATAACTGTCCTGCAGGATTTGTCGAGGCGGACAGGTCTGGCAAAGTGTCTCCTCAGCTCGAGGATTCATTGCAGTACTCGCTCGACTGTAGTAGATTCACATTGTGACGCATTTATCACGAGTTCAATGCAGAGTTACGGTACTCAATTTCCTTAGACTCTTCCTGTCGAGTCTCAAGAAACCAGCTATCGAAGAGTTCCTTGACGAGGATACCCATGGTAACTTCAACACCCTGGTGCACTTGCGTCCAATACCATCCTCAATTCAATGTCATCTATGATGCCGGAACCTCTCCTACTCTTGGTATTGCCTCAATTTCATCCTCCGTTCGTTGCTCTTACCCGGTGCTTATTTCCTCTAACTGTTTTTTCATACCTGGCAGCTTACAAGATCCTTACACACATCATTTTATGGTACTCTCGTTCTCACTGCCTTCGTCGTGGATATCGCGATTACATGGTGTACTGTACAGTGAACCCTTGCAATAAACTATATATTTCGTCCCACCCTATTTTTAGCCCACTTTGAATGTACTCAGTGCAACGGGAACTTGAACGGCTACATATGCACCGCAACAACGATGTCGCTCGGTCTAGCTTCTCAGTCTGCTAGTATGAGGAAGCACCGACGCTATGCCACACTTTTACACAGTCCACGGCACACGCGCAACCGCATCTCTGATGGAATCGGCATGCCTTGTCCTTCGTTATGTGCCCTCACAAACCAGCACGAACATCATGCATCATAAGAGTCGTGCAATTAGCTCTTCAATAAGTCGTTCGCTCAGACAACCCTGAAATCGGACTTTAATAAGTGCGAGGAACAGAAATAGCTTTGAAGAGTCTCACTCCTCTCGGCACTGTTGCCAGTGTTGTCCATGTGCCATGCGGCTCAAATCAAGCTCAGGACCTCCAGGTATCACTAATGCAGTCCCAGGGCTCCAAAATGAATGTCGAGAAGTGGGTGGTACCCAGAATAAGAGCCGATGTTTGGGTCCTACCACCCATCCATTGTCAACATTCAGGACAAAGGGGGTTGAACTGCGGTCGTCATGGGATGCTCCCTCAGTCAACTCAAAAGTGCTGCGCAGCGCGCGGACGGAATTGGGCGAGAAGCAAATGAAATGATTGTTCGAAGTGCTCAATGTCGTGGTAGTGGGGGCCTCGATCGTGGGATGATCATCTGAGAATGCTGGATGATCTGATTCGGCGCACTGTTGCGATGGCTGCCTCATCGCTGCATCCCATAACCGAACAGTGTTATCCCAAGAACCAGTGGCGGTGCGAGTACCGTCCGGCGAGAACAAGACCGAGGTAACTGAATCAGTGTGCCCCTGCAAGGGCTCACCAACTGGCTTCCCCGTCGCTGCAATCCACAGCTGAACAGTCTTATCCCTTGAACCAGTGACGATCCGAGTGCCGTCGGGCGAGAACGAGACCGAGTTAACCCAATGGGTATGCCACAGCAAGGGCTCGCCGACTGGCTCCCCCGTCGCTGCATCCCACAGCCGAATAGTGCAATCCATTGAACCAGTGACGATGAGAGCGCCGTCCGGCGAAAATGAGACCGACCTAACTGAATCAGTGTGCCCTTGCAAGGGCTCACAAACTGGCTCCCCCGTCACCGCATCCCACAGCCAAGCAGTGTTATCAGAAGAACCAGTGACGATGCGAGTGCCGTCCGGCGAAAATGAGACCGAGTTAACTGAATCAGTGTGCCCTCGCAAGGGTTCACCAACTGGCTCTCCTGTTACTGTATCCCATAGCCGAACAGTGTGATCCCTTGAACCAGTGGCAATGCGAGTGCTGTCCGGCGAAAATGAAACCGAATTAACTGAATCAGTGTGCCCCCGCAAGGGGTCACCGACTGGGTCCCCCGTCGCTGCATCCCACAACCGAACAGTTTGATCCCTTGAACCAGTGACGATGCGAGTGCTGTCCGGCGAGAACGAGACCGATACAACTGCATCAGTATGCCCCCTGAGCACGGTCTGAACAGCCGACCAGTTCGCATCATGTCCAGATGCTACACGAAGAGTATTCGGAAACTGCGCAGAAAGCTTTCTTGATAGCGGAGAGTTGGCAGGCGAGAATGGGAGTGCTGATACATACAGATGTGGCGTGCTGTATAAAATCAAGCCGCCGAAGACCTGAATGAACCTCTGTACGTCCATCACAGTCGATGAGACATCTTTGAATTCGGGATGATCCTGTGGTTGCGCGTGAGCGCTTTATCTGGCACTCAGTAGCATCGTACTCACCTTCAGCCACTGGGGAATGTGTGGGAGGGCAGCAACAACACTGAGCGCGTTGATGAGAGCGAGTAACTCGAGCCAGAAAAATAACCGCTCGTGGTCGAAGAACAATTTCACTTCTTTCGCGAGCTCCACGTCGAAGACTGTGGTTCGTACGTGTGAAGCCCAAAATCGAGAGGAATATGACAGATGTGGGGGGATGCATTTTCGAACTCGGTCTTGCAGCCCGAGATCTCCATGATTAGGCAGATACGAGGACTTTAAGTCACAGATATTGAAGCGAAGACCGTCTTTCATCACTCCAAGTGACGCGAATGCTAGGTCGCGTTGTGCCTTTGACATATCGATGAAAAACTCTCCACTGGATGTTTCGTCCGTTAAGAAATCATGGAAGGATGTGTGAAGGGGTCGGATTGGGGAATCTGGGTTGGTAGTGCCGCTGAGGAGGGAGCCCATCCTTTTTACCACAAGCTCCACGTCGGAATCGTCTTTTTGAGTTGGAAAGTGGCGCCTCATGGCGCTCAGGGAAGCTAAAGGAAGGGGTTCGGCTGTCCCTAGTATTTGTCCCATCACTGAGCGAAATCTCGCTAACGCAGTCAAACGCAGTTCCTGCGAATGCAGAGATGTGTTCCGGGGTATGATATTTGTTAAAATGAGGCGATACATGTCATGCAACAGTGGGCTTCTCTTAGCAGGATTGCGTGACACCACAGCCTCGTAGCAATCCTTCGGATGTACCATATCGGACTCTTTGATGTATCCGCAGGCGAGACGCGCCCACTCGAAAAGTCCACCAGCTTTCTTAGCGAGGACCGCGAGCTCTCTATCCTGCAAATCCAGTCGTTCCAACTCCTTGGATACATAAGCACGGATGTCGCGCTCGGCGAATGCTGTTGGAATATCATCCATCGACATCTGTCGAATATGCCGAACACCGCGAAACTCGTCTTCGATGTCACCAAGTGGGCGAGAGGTAACGATAAAGCGGAAGTTGTCTGGGAGGTCTGTAATTTTGGGAGCGGAGGGGTTTTGATGTTTGCCAGCTAGAATGTGGAGGAGGTCTTTCCGTGTCTCTACTCCACCGCTCTCGTCCAGTGCATCGATCATGATCACGATGGGTTCCCCAGTTGACCCAGATGACTTCTCCACTGGTTCGATAAGAAGCTTCTGCCACTGCTGGATGATATCCGCCGTCTTCTTGAGTGAATTTGTGGTCTTAACTGCATCTGCCAATGCCCGCCTCATCTCCGGATCACGGTCAGCCAGGTCGCGCGCGATCGTCGAAAAAATCTTTTCATGGCGACGATCTGCTTCTCGCTGGCGATCGAAACAGTAACAGGAACCAAGCCCTCCCACGTCGTTGACCCACTTAGCAATGGTATGGCCGATGGCCGATTTGCCCTTGCCTGCAGGGCCAGATAGCCACAGCACGCGCTGAACATTGTCCCCAGTGCTGTTGACCCGTTCCATGATGTCGGAAAGGATTTCCGTGCGGGTCCCTTGAAGGCATTCTTTTCTGGTGTCTAGCCCCGCACCATCTGCATAAGTCATACTGCTGAGGTCCAATGTTTCTTCTGAAAAGGTATGAATATATGTCAAGTCACAAGGACGTCGGAACTCTTACCCATACAATGGACGTGTATGGCTATGTCATGAACATGTATGGATACGTCGCGAGCAACCTGGTCCCGAAAATTTTGCATAAGCCTATCGAACACGTCATTGTACTTTTGGATCGTATCTGTCGTTTCCGAGACGACGTTCTTTCTAAGTCTGTTCCCTGTGATGATGGTAAAACTCAAAACGGTGCAGAGCGTAACAGCTTGTTAAGACTCACAAAAGTTCTTGGTCTTCGAATAATTTTTGATAAAATGGGCACATTCACGGGTCTGCTGAGAGAATTTACCAAGGATAGCGTGCATCGACAAAATTTGGTTAAGCTTCTCGTCTTGTGTTATGAAGCTGTAAACTTCACACAACTTCTCGAGCAGTTTGAGTACCGCTGTGTCGCGATCTACTTGAGCTAAAATAATCTGCACAAATAATTTCTGAATAACAATGGGGGATAGGGAGAAGATGAAAACTTACTTTGGCTGCACAAGACAACACGCCCAGTGCCATCTTTGCATATGGATGTACCTGTGTCCCAATTAGTTCGGTTCCAGTCGAGAGGAGGGCCTGCATACATCCGCAATCTTCCCAATAACTTCGTCGAATATCCTGAGGGATTGGAGATAGGTGTCCTGGAAACTATCAGCAGCATTGAGATCCCCTTCTGCGTCTCGAAGAACAGAAACCACGGCTGTCGCATGTCCTGAAAGTGAATACATGTCCTCTACAGCCTCTTGAGCACTCTGAAGTGCCGGTTGGGTATCAGCCTCCACTTCCACACCAGACGGAGTAGCCTGAACCTGCGCGACCACAAGAATTTAGAGAGTGCAGAGACTGGAGGGCAAGCATGAGAACCTACCGAGGTCGATGAAGCACTTTCATGATTGACATTCGGGGGAACAGGGCTGCGGCTGCGTGAATCCTTCGAGCGCTTATGGCAATCTTAGTTGTATTCCAGGACACTCATTATCACACATGCTCATGAACTCACCGAGACCCTTAACTTGTTCGCACCATCCTTAACCTTTTCCAGAAACCGACCGACTCTGCCACGGGGTCGGTGCTAGACGAAGGATGCGTCAATGTCAGTGTTTGCAGTAGAATTAAGCCACATACCGAACCCTGACGAACTGTTGCTTCGGTATCTTGAGTCGAGTTCTTCGATGAATTGCCTTTGCCTTTGTGCATTGTGAAGCGAAGTAAGTTGGTTAGAAGGGCCCTACTAGTTGTCAGTTATATAAGATAACAGGCCATTATTAGTACAAGCCTCGAGGCATTGCACTGCCAGCTGGACCATATTCAGCAGTTGTTCGGCAGAGTGGAATCGCTATCCAATCCGCGATTCTACGAATGGCACAGTCTTTATATATATACCAATGCTGATAATATTGCACTGGTACTCTTAGGGATTATTGCAGCCTGAGGAACGTCACGCGTCACGTTTGATGGCTCTCCCGATATCATCAGCTGCACATTCTCTACATTTCCAGCCAATCGCGCCAGGATTCCAATCCGCGATTCTACGGATGCATGGTCTTTACACCAATGCCGATATTGCACTGGTACTCTTAGGGATCGTTGCAACCACGTCCAAGGAGTCATTACAATGACTTCCATGCTCTCAAACAACGACCTTGCACACTGGTTCAGGAATCGACACTTGCCAGTTCATACTAGACATACATGCTATTGAGCCCGCCCTGCAATTCCAGAATCTCGAGATCTTTTCAGCCTGTCTCGGTATCCCACTCTATTTCACAGATGAAGACCATCTGCGCATCGCGCAGACATGGTGTTCTGTGCGGCTACTATATCTATCGTCGATCGTCCTAGCGTGTTGTCTGGATCCGCAAACCTCCTGCTACCATTGCGTCCCTGGTGCACTATGCACGATATCATCGCTGCTTGAAAGCACTCGGGTTGTGCCTCGATGCATCTACGAAAGCCAGTATCGGTGCATGCGTGCAAGCTATGGACGCCTGCGAGAACATCTCAGAAGCAAACATCACCCTCACATCCCCTTCGATCCAGGTGATCGAGTTTGGTCCTTCGTAGCTGAAGTGTACCTTCAACCCTGTACAAATCAACTCTCTAGCCAAAGCATTCACCAGGCTTTTTTCCAACCTAGCTGCGTGTCGTGCGTGCCGGACAGAGGAGCTTGAGGTACCGCAGTCTGCATGGACGTAGACATTGTACGAATACGTCCTCTTTACGGAACAGGGCTGCAACGTAAATACCCCACGGAGCGCGTGGAAGTTGAGGCTGAGGCTGTTTTCCAAGGTGTGTTGCAT